GCTACTGTCCATTTAAAGAAAAAACTGTTTGACCGGATTGAAGTATTGAAAATACTTGCGAAAGAAAAAAGATTCTTCCCAAGATTGGTACGCGAAGCCATTGAAATCAAAAAAACACCCCAATTTCAATAGAGAAGACGGCCTAAAATTGTCAAACACCTGGGATCCAATAATATCCAAATTAAAATCTCAAGAAAAACAATCCGCGAAAATAGAGGACACCGTGAGCCATTTTTGCCAAAACCCTCCATCTTTTAGTCGATACCAACTCCGGGGTAATAAATACAGATAAGGCAACTTTCTCTACAGCTGTGATACTTTTTGACATCCAACATCTTTTGTCTTCAGTCACCGTGACCACGCACGCTGTAAAGCACGCGAAACGTCGGATAAATTTAAAATTATGTTAAATAGTTGTAAATTTATAATAATACATAACTTCAATCCGGTCAAACAGTTTTTTCTTTAAATGTGTAAAGGTTATGTAAATCAAAGACAATACTACTGTCCATTTGCCCCCTGTTTCTTTAGACAAATACATACACATAACATTTATTGCTAACATAACACACAAAAAATAATAATCAAAAAGGAATGAAAAGTAACCATTTTTTTTCTTTTATAAAGGACGTACGTTTTAAGTGTGTTGTGGTTGTAATTGGCCTTCAGCATTATGCTGAGGAGCAGACTGTTCCACAGCGAAGGTATTTTTGGTCTTTAAGTATATCTACTCGAACCAATGATCGTTTCCTCAGAACCAAGGGCCATATGGGCGGAGGTCACATGTATTATTTCCATTAGATTTTCACGTCGTTTTTCTTATAAACAAAAACAATAATGGACTCGTTGTCCTTTGTTTTTCGGAAGCGATTTAGAGAATCTTGAGGTTATTAATTGCGCTGTAATGGTTGGTTTTTGTGACTGACATATAATTAGGAAATTGTTTATGTAATACTTTTTGAATATAAATTTATATTTGTTTTTTTAAAATTCTCCCCACTGAAACCTCATTTATTTATTTTTTTTAATTCGTGGAGAGAAAGACACTTAAAATTTTATACAAAAATATATATTTATAATAGGCCTCCTTCAGCTGGCTCCATATCTCTCAATCTTGAACATTTTTCTCCCAAAGTTTCCCACAAAATTCTTTACGCTCCCCAATAGGAGATGTAGGTACCTACTATATGTATGTTCATTTTTTTAAAGTCATTTTCTGAATTAAATCGGATTTTATTTGAAATATTAATAAATAGTTTTTGTTGGGCTAAATAAATTATATTTTACAGAGTTAACACTTTAAAATTATTATAATAAAAAATTGTGCGTGTACAAGGTGTACAAAGTCATACAATCATAATGAAGAATTTATTCTTTATGTTCGAAATTATTCGAAATTATTTAAGAAAGTTTGTTACGCGGCCAAGTCCTTAAATATCAAAAACAAGATTAAAAATAGTACCAATAAAACTAAAATGACTTGGAAGATAATTGATAGTGAAACTGGAAGAGTCAGGGATCGCAATCAAGACATCGAACTATGTGTCGATAACACTATAATCAAATCTAACGAAGAGATAGCGATTATTTTTGATAAGTACTTTTCTGACATTCCAATTTCGACTACTAAGTCTCTTCAATCATCTCCCGCCCTCGCCGAATCGCTGCTCAAAGATAATGTAAACGAGTGCAAGGTCAGTTTTTCATTCCGACCCATTGGTGCCGACGATATAGTGAGGATATTTAGAACCATAGATATTAAGAACACTACCGATCTTTGGGGTATTTCTGTAAAAATAATTAGTAGCATAATTGATGTAATTGCTCCCCATCTAGCTATAATTTTCAACAATTGTATTAAAAGTGGCGAGTTTCCCGATCTAATGAAACATAGTAAAGTTATTCCTTTATTTAAAGCAGGTAGTATGTCCGACCCCAGTAACTTTAGACCAATTTCCGTACTACCTACTTGTAGTAAAATATTTGAAAAAATTATATTAAATCAACTGGTAAGTCATTTTAACGTAAACAAATTATTACATAATAATCAGTTCGGTTTTACCAAGGGTCGCTCGACAGCCGATGCCGGTGTTGAGTTATATAGATATATAGTTAAGGCTTGGGAGGAGTCGCATGACGCATTAGGTGTTTTCTGCGACTTATCCAAAGCATTTGATTGTGTCCAACACGAGACCTTAATCGGGAAACTCCGCCACTATGGCATCAAGAATACCGCACTGAATCTTCTGACTTCCTATTTACACGGAAGAACTCAGAAGGTTGAAGTGAATGGTAAGAGGTCCTCTGGGTCGGCAGTAGATATGGGGTACCACAGGGCTCAATTCTTGGCCCTTTCCTCTTTCTTGTTTATATAAATGATCTACCTTTCATGGTAGAGAGAAAACATCAGATAGTTTTGTTTGCTGATGACACGTCCTTGATTTTTAAAATCAAACGACAAATAACAAATTTTGACGATGTGAACAATGCTCTGTCTTCGATTGTCCATTGGTTTAGTATGAATAACCTTCTACTTAATGCAAAAAGACAAAATGCATTAAATTTTGTGCAAAAAATGCAAGGGTTATGGATACTAGACCAATTATAAACGGTGAGGAATTGAATCTGGATGATACAACTGTATTTCTCGGAATCACCATGGATTCAAAACTTCAGTGGTCCCCTCATATTAACGGATTGGCGAAGAGACTTAGTTCTGCAGCCTACGCGGTTAAAAAACTTCGCTCACTAACTGATGTCGATACAGCTAGACTTGTTTATTTTAGTTACTTTCATAGCTTAATGACTTATGGCTTATTATTATGGGGTCATGCTGCTGATGTCGAAACTATTTTCATCCTGCAGAAGAGGGCTATTCGTGCAATCTATAATTTAAAATGTAGGGAATCTCTTAGAGATAAATTCAAGGAAATTAATATACTTACCTTTCCCTCGCAATATATTTATGAAAATATTATGTATGTATACAAAAATAGTGATAAGTTTACTAGAATAGAACATACGCACAATGTTAATACACGGAACAAACGCAGGCTGCAATTTCCCCGTACTAGACTATCTAAAGTTAGTAATTCTTTTTTTGGGGAAAGGGATACTCTTCTTTAATAAAATCCCAGAGGCTCTTTTATCACTGCCTTTCAATAAATTTAAGAAATGTATTAAAGAAAAGCTGTGTAAAAGGCTTACTATAAAGTCAACGATTATCTAGTTGATAAAAGGGCCTGGGACTAGTGCTAGACAGGCTACTTCTAATCAATTTGCGATATTTGTTTTAAATAAGTGTTGTTTGATGATTTGCTGTTTTAAAAGAGTACCGAGAGTTTTTTACGCCGGCTTTTTCTCTCGGCCTACACCCTCTGTCTTCTTTGCCGATGAGTAGGGATGCCTTCAAATTTAATGACGTGGAATAAGTGATACATGTATCTTATGTTCCATAATAAACATATTTTTTTTTTTTTACACACGTAAGAAGTGAAACTAAGAAATAAGATCTTATTTTTCGAAAAATGATCTACTATACGCAACTTTACAGAAATTCGTTAAATTAGATAAAGTTTAACAAAAGGCTTTTATTATCATAGACATGAATACAAATATTTCATTTTACCTTATTACTACGAAGATTATTATAGAATTTCATTAATTGTAATAGAATTATTACTATCATTGAAAAACGTGACGATTTGCTACAAAATTTCTCCCATACGTCGATAAAGAAGTTTCATTCCAACGCCGATAAAGAAGTTTGACTTCAAAAAGCAACATGGCGCGTAACCGAAAAATGTGACGCGTAACGAAAAAATGTTACAATAAATTTTTTTCCAACCCCGATAAAGAAGTTTCACTTCAATAATATATTTATTGCCTATAATAAAAAACAACTACTATGACTACTATTTTTGTGATATGAATTAAGTCTTGCATAGGCCAGGGCCACATTTCTAAGAAAACTCTTCGTTTAATGGATATTGAAACCGAATACCATTTATAAAACACCAAAGAGAAAATACCAAAAAATATAATTGTCATCCGCTGTACAAAAAAATAGTGTAAGTTTCAAAGCATGATTTTCGTTCCGGATTAAGCAAAATAACAAACTCAGAAATCCCATTACAGAACGGTAGGCTGCACTCCAATTGAAGCATTCTTAACGTTTTTTTGTAAAACTTAAGTCGACAATTGTGAACAAACAACTGCTGTTTGCTCTCGGAAAAGGTTTACGATGTCGGCACTTTAGATGAAGAGGAAGTTTGATTTAGATAAAACTTGAATTTTTGCATTTTTTATTCTAATATGGCGTTCTTACTATAACTTGCGACACGCCTTAATAAAGTACCTAATTGTCTTATTACACTGATTTCCACGATAAGATCTTAATCGTAAATTATTACATGTATTTTTTACACTGAAATTTCTTTTGTTTGAAACATTTATTAGCTTTCGTCTTTCGCCATAAATAGTAGATAATACTCAATATAAGATTAGTAATTAATTCCGCTTAATGGTCACACGCTAGTTTTTCATCGACATTACAAAAGCGTTTGTAAAAGCGCAATTTTTATTGGACAGAAATGAGTCTTATATAATATGCATAAGGTGTATTTTCTCATGCACGTAACAACAAATATTGCGGCATTTGTTTACTTTAAGTAATCCATTGAGTTGTCCGATTCCCGGTACTTATTTATTTGCTTGGATAAACATTTGATATTTGAACGGTGACGGTTTCTTAAAAGGTTTACTTTTTCACATAGCCTCAAAGGAATTCTTAGCGCGATAGCGTCAGCTATATTAGGTAGTCATGTTGCAGTACTTATAATTTAGTATTTTTTATAACTATAATTTTAATTGTCACTATAGTATGATAATGGTTAAAGGACTTCTTTGTAAATAAATACAATTTTAAAAGTAGCTTAGTGTGTTTTATAATCCTGGATTAAATGTAACAATATTCTTAAGGATATTTTCTCTTCTTGCAGATGGCCTTGTTCACCGGAATCCTATCCAGCGAATGTTCAGTCCACGCGAGATTTCTTCTCTGCTCGGCATTTGCACCACTCTGTTCTGAGGACGTGTCGGGCTCAATCAGCGCCTGTCGATCTGTCTGCGAGAAGGTCGTCGAAGACTGTAAGGAGCAGATAAAAACCCTTCCTGCAAACATCGTGCTGGACTGCTCTGCATTTCCTCTCAGACCTGATAGACGATTGTGTATGAGACCACCAAATGCTAGTGAATTGGAACAAGAACCCCCACCACCTCCACGATGGCCATTTCACGAACACGAGCTCCGAGAACACGGCTGCCCTCCAGCCCATACCAGAGCCCCCACAGGAGAATGTTGGCCCGCCTGCGGTCAACACGCGCAATACACAGAAATTGATAAACGCACCGCAGAAATATCGATGAGCACACTCGCTTGGTTATCTCTGCTCTCCACGGCATTCGCCTTATTAACCTTCTGCGCTGAACCATCACGTTTCCGTTACCCAGAGAGACCTGTTGTGTGGATGGCGGCTTGCCATGCTATCGTGGCATTGGCTCACGTAGCCAGAAGCTGGTTGGGAGCCAAGCTAGTCTCTTGTTCTGGATCTACGCTAGCTGTAGACGGGTTAGCGTCACCAACGTGTGTTGCATTCTTCTCACTGACGTACTACTTCACGCTAGCCGCTGATGCCTGGTTTGCAAATGCCTGTGTTGCCTGGTACTTGACAGCAGCCAGTGAGTGGTCCACAGAAGCATTGGAACGCGCAGCAGCGTACTTACATGCAGTTGCGTGGGGTTGGGCTGGCGCATGGACGGCAGCGGCTTTAGCTCTACGAAGAGTTACAGCTGATGAATTAACTGGAACGTGTGGGATTTCTGATGCCGCAGCTGCAGCGCTTATCGGGGTTCCAAGGGGTGCTTTATTAGTGACGTCTGTTGCCTTAGCCGTTGGGGCCTGTCCAGGTATCATGAGAGTACGAAGAGCATTAGATTCAAGAGGGGCCAAGCGTGTTGGAAGATTAGCAATACGCGCGGCAGCTGGAGGGTTGTTTTATTTATTACTATCTGGTTTTGCTACCGGAGTCAAAGTCATTGAATCTCGAAATAGAGAAATACAGAGTAAGCTAGCGCTTTTTGCTGCTTTAGAAGCAGATGATATAGAAGAAACGGCTGGATCGAATGGGGTCTCAGTGTGTTTATGGCTGTCGTGTGGTATTGCAGCTGGAGCGTGGGCTTGGTCGAAGAAGTCTGCCGTGGTATGGAAGAAAGCGCTATGCCCCCCACGTAAGGCTCCTTGCTGCAGCCCCCCCCTTGCTAAGAACTCATCATCCGTATTATAAACGACCCCTTCATGTGTCTAGAGTGTAACTGAATTTTCAGAAGTGTGCCTTGACAATTATACCTTTGATTCACATCATGGATGTAGTCAAACCTAATTTTAAGTAGTAATTAAAGTGCCTCTAATTGCCTTCTGTGAAGGCGTTCTCGATATTGTACAAATGTGTAAATAATGTAAGATATTTTTTATATAATATACTGTTGATTTTTTACCATAGTCCAATGTTTTATTTATTCTCTTGTACTGATATTTTAAACATGATAACACACAGCATCAATAGTCTAATTGCAAGTAATAATAATTAAAAATTGATAAATAGAAAATTTAAAAGTTTGATCCCTGTGGCAGTGTACCTTTAATGCTGGCAACATTTCCTCGCTGTATTGCGATACTTATTCGTTGAGCGAGGAAAGCACCAGCTTTATGGTCACCTGTACTATCTACTAGGCGACAACTTCGTCGTCTTCAACTTTCAAATCAAAGTCGCCTAGTACAACGTTTACCTGAAAGCATGTTCTATTTCCATATAGTTTTATCAGATACCACACGAGCAAAATTATAACAGGCAATATATAGGGTTTTTATAATTTGACGTATTCCTTAGGTGATAGGGGAGACTATTTGCGATGATTTTAACCGTATGCACTATGTAAAAGATCCAGTTTTGAGTTATTTAAAAATATATTTTTTAACTATATCAAGTTTGGAATGTCCGTTATGAACATTAAGGTTTTATGCAAACATTGGCTTCGCGATTTAAGTAGTTATCTGAAATTGACATATAATTTTAGGGCTATTGGCAGTGGCGTAACAATAGGGTGGCAGGGCTGGCAAAATGCCACGGGCCCCGGACCCAAGAGATATGTTCTATGGATGAATGTGAAGTCTCCAATACGCTTTGGGACTACAGACCATTTCCTTTCGCCTAAGAGAGGAGGCCTATGGCCATTAGTGGGACATATACAACGTGTAATTAAGTACTCTAAAAATCTGTTTATTTAAATTAAACTGAGTAGGGACGTCTTTTACTGATAGGGCCCCAAATGGTATAGTTACGCCACTGGCTATTGTTACTTCGACGAATCCTGTATTTTATGCATTATGCAAACGTAAACCGTTTTTGAGTTATCGTGATTTTTAGCTTATTTTGAATAAGTGAAATTCCTGGCATCAGAGGTAATAAAACAATTGTGAATGAAACACATTTTATTAATAAATATCTAACATTAAATCGATAGGTAATATATAACTCTCTATACAAAGACTAAACATTTATATAATTACACAATTTACACTATATTAACCCTGGTTATTTGATAAATATAAAACAAATTTTGATAAAAAAACAACATTTCATAAAACATTGGAATGTAAACATTGCGAAATAAAACGAGTGAAAAGTTCACAGACTATAGTCAAAATATAAACATACTCTATGCTTCAAGGGGCTCTACAATGATTTGTCTATGTCTTGTCTGTCTTTGAATTGAAATGTGACAAAACATTCGAAAAGTTTCATTACACTGTTTTATCTATAATATTCACACATTTCTTTCTCTTCAATTGTTAATACAATCACAAAAGCATCTCTCTTTCTATCGTAGTCATTAATATGCTACGATAGAAAGAGAGATGCTTAGTTGTAAGACTTATTTAGTATCCATTTACGAATGTGACAATAACTATTTAAAATACACAAGAACATGGAAAAAAACAAATGTTATATTAGTTAATTAGTAATACTATTACGAAAACTATTTGACATATAGGCCAACATTCAGAAAGACATTTGACACATGACTATATTAGGCTCAATAGACTATTTTTTTATATACACCAGTTACAATCAGGGGCGGATCTACTTATGATTTTTGGGCTGCAGACCAGGGCCCCATGGATACAAAGGGCCCCAGTCCTCACTGGCAAAATGATGGAGATTTTCAATAGAAACAAATATCTACAATTAAAAAAAATCCAATTATTGGTTGGTATCCCTGAGCTTAACTCATGTGCGATGCGGCGCCCTATCGAACGGAACAGGGAATTCCCCGTCGCTAGTTTTCGATCGGTGTAGTTTTTCGCGTGCGCGTCTATTACGGGGGACTTCCCCGTAATAGACCAGAGCTCCACAAATTTACGATCCGCCCATGCTTACAATTCATGGAGGTTTTAATACCTTCATTTGATTGATATTGTCGTTGGTAATTCCACCTTAACACGAAGAAATAAAGGTGAAGAAATTATATCTTTTATTGATAAGAGCCAAGTGTAGCGACGATTTTCTAGTTATAAAACAGTTTTTCGCACTTATGACAGAATCTCGCCTTGATTTGCGATAAAAAAGTTTGTATAGCCACGTTTAAAAACTATTTCATATTTTAACAAAAATCCATTGAACTAAAATGTCAAACCACACCAACCACTCTACAGCCACGTACCAATATCCACGTCTCGCTATCCCTCTTGTGTGGACATCAGCGCATCGAACTCGGAGTTAATCCCGGAGCTGAAATAACTAGAGAAATTGAACATGCCCGACTCCCTGACGTTGTCCGTCGAGCCAAATTGAGCTTTATTGCTGTGCATTGGAGTGACATTTGCACTGAAGGACTTCTGGCCTAGCTCGGGTTCGTAGAGTGTCGCCTCCTTCGCCCCTACTGCGATATCGTGGTAGGGGTTGGTGAGATACTCGGCAAATATTTCACTATGTTGTACTTCGGGGGTATCGGTTTGGGGATTTGAGGTGGCGTCTGGGATTGGGTTAATCGGTGCATTGGTGGGAGGATTTGTGGCCGGTTGTGGTTGGATCTGATTTTGTGACTGTAGCGATATCCCGATGGGTGTTGACACCATCTGAAAGAAATGATTCTACTAAAGTATGTTTGAACAAGTCCACAGACCAGTCACATGAGGTCGTTAGACGGAACGTGTAGAATGTTCACAGTCCCCATCTGCTTGCAGGTACAACTTCTAGACTTTTTGGAGTTGACGTACGGAGATAATTGCGTATATGGCGGACTTGAAAGATAAATGAGCATCCTAAAAAGTGCTGGGACATTCTATTTTTTATCTAGTAAGGGTGATGAAACATTGTAAAAAAATTGTCAGTATTTTTCATGAAAACGCAACTGGACGTGAGAGTTATATCCACTTTCATGCTTGGATGGTGAATCTGATAAATATACATGATATTGCACAAACAATTAAATTTTAGATACATTAAGCACTTTAAGCATTTGTTGTGAATCACTCAGTCAGAGATGACAGTAAAAAGTTCACTTGTTCAATGATAAAAATATCTTTCTTTTCTTTCTCGTGACTCTAAACTTGACCTATTTATTTTAAATTAAAAATTTATTTAAGTGTATTTCTCGCGTTTTTTATCGAAAGCTTAGGCATAATACAACAAATACAATTATTTTTACGAATATAAACGTATCGACGTATGTTATATTTCCGAGAACTTGGAGTCGTTCAGTTGCAATGAGGCAAAGAGAGCCAGAAAAACTTGGAGCGAGGTGAAGTACGAGGCTCAAGACTGAATGCGATGGAGACTCATTGTGGACTTTCACTTTTCAGTTTAGGGGCACATTTTCTAAATTTCTGACAATATAATACATTCATAAATATACTTTCCAGGTCTTCCAGAAACCTACCTCATTCAAAGGCTGTAATAAAACTGATGACGTCAACGCAGACTGATCATACAACGGGTTCCGTATGGCGACCATACCACCGACGGGGCCACTTGGAGTAATCACCCTCTCGTTATCATTGGGTACCGGCACCGCGCCAGCTACTGGGACTGGCGTCACCAACGTCGGCCCGACGGGTGGGGTCAAGGGCAAATTGATTGGCGAATTTGGGCCCACTAGAATATTGGGAGTCTGGCGCTGGATGTGAGTTGGACTGGATTGAATATTGGACATACTGTTGGATCCGACCGGGATGAGGGTTGGAAGCGAATGGGGAATGGAAGGTTGCATGTGGCTCGGCAGGTTCTGTGTTGGTTTCGTGTTGTCGTTGACTGAAATTAAAAAAAAAAATGTGTGTGTACTTATTTTACGCGTTAGAAGTTATACTTCTTTGGCGTAAGATAAACATCTTTTCAAAAATTGTATCCTACGTTTGTAGAAAAAACGACACTAACAATAGAAAAAACTAAAATGTTGACAATGGCTAACTTCAGGGTGTCGGTTTTTTGTGACGGCATGCGCGTATCGTAAAAACTTACTCTCAACATTTTTCCCTAACGCGCCAAAAGAAGTATTGCTTCAAAAACGTTGGAGATTGGCTAATCTAGGCCTCAGATTTTCTCTTCTGTTTCAGCAAGTAAGATCAGCCTTCCGTGTCTGACACACGCCATAGACTTTTGGCTCTTAAGCCGGTTTCCTCAAGATGTTTTTCTTCATCGTACGAGCGAGTGTCAAATGTGCACATAGACAGAAAGGCCCTTGGCATCGAACCCAAGACCTCATGGATGATAGTCACACGTCGAAGCCACCAGACCAACACTGCTTTTCTAATGTTAGAAATTCTTAAATAAAAAAACGTTTATTTAGGTTAATTTTAGTAATAAATACCAACCATCTGGAAACAGCTCTTGCTTCAAGTTGGGCAGGAACTCGCCAATCATGTCCCAAGTCAGGTACCAGAGGTCGTTGTAGCCTTCGCCGTTGCTAAAAATCTATAATAAGAAAAATAACTTATTGGACTGGGAATCTATCCTTTCTTTCCTATCAAAGAAAAAATACCAAGGATAACAAATAACAAATTAAATCACATAACTTTAAAATCGACTTTTATTTGGCTTTTAAATTACGAGGCCTAGAATTTAGTCGCAACACACGAACACGAACGCACACGTATACGTACATACTCAGATGTTTTTAATTTATACATGTCAACCCGGGAATACAATATTTTGCTTTTACGTATTTGAATAGCTTTGACACGACTAGCTTTCGTTAGAGTACGATGCGCGAGAGTACGACACGAGGACACAAATCACGCGGCGGACGACAGCGCATGCGTGGTCATAGTCCCTTCACTCTCCACTACACTTTTACTTACTCTGCGCACTACACGACACATTCAAAATAAGAGGTCAGTAGAGGAGGCATAGTATGCAACTTACAGATACTTTTATAAGTAATTAAAGGTCTAAAATCTTAAAATAATAAAGTAATTCTTACCTTATAAAAAATCAGTATAAGCAGCTAACTAAAGTAGTCCTGTCTCTTTTGATCACAGCATAAACACAATATGAAAGAAAGAGACAAAAGAAACCTACCTTGACAGAATGCATGACGAGGAGCATGTTCTTGAGTGACTCCAGGGCACCTTCTCTGAGAGGTTCCGCCGACGCCTGAAGGAGTGATTGCTGAACCCGGACTATCTTCGTCCAAAGCGATGCGAAAGTCGCGCGACCACTGAGCGCTTGTAAGTGTTGGAGGAAGACCTGGAGCCGAAGTAAAATGTATCTTAACACAGTGCAATAGAGACGAAATTAAAAGAGTTAATTCAAATAAAGTTATTTTAGTAAAAAAAAAGCCAGAAAATTATATTGGACTCAAATCTAATTTATTTATTTATTAAATTTGTATTTTTACAGCTGATACCCTAGCTAAGTGTTTTGGGGTAAAAAACTTATTTATAAATATATCCATAATTAAAAATTACGCTTTTTACACGTTAAACACGTGACAAAACGGTCACAGATAACCGATGGGCGATGACGTAGCATGCTTGTAAACTAAGCCATCGCCTGTCTATATCTAACACTGTCTTCGATTTTACTTTCGTCGAAGACTGATCGAAGAAAAAAAATAAGAATATTTGTCACGTTAAAAATTTAACGTTAGTTTACGTCTACAGTCATAGGGACGACGCCATTATGATTGGAAATGTATTTTGGCGGGTTTTTAAAATTGTTAATTTTTGAAGAAATACTTGTTGAAAAAAGTGTGTATGTGCGCACAAAGTACACATGTCAGACGTGGAACTTCTTTAGCAAACTAATTGTTAAGTCTTGTTCATATATTTTATACAAATCTAAAACTTTAGATTTCCGAGACTTAGAGGGAGGGAAAAGAAAGATATGTTAGGAATTTAATTGTTAAAATATTAAAAGTGTCGGAAATTAAAACAAATATTTTTTCTTGTTTTCAATTGATTTCTTCGGTATTAACACACGTGGCATTTTAATTTACAATTCGTCATTAGAGATTTCAATATTGTTCATAAAATATAAAATACTAATATTTCTTTACGAAATTTTGATTTTAAAAATAGAATTTCTATAAGGTAATTTGCCCTTCTCACTCTCTCTCAATCGGTCTCAATCTCTCTCTCCCTTTTCTAAAAACGCTGCGCTTCTTTGTGACGCTAATATTATTATTATTGCGTTTCATCCGTAAAAATTTTACCCTCATGCGCCTAAAGAAATTTCACTTCAAAAAATAAGAATTAGTACTATTCTCTCCTTTACCTTGCACATGAGCGTGTCCGCCCTGGCAGCGGTCTCATGTCTGGGCGGCGGCTGAGTGAGCAAAGGAAGCAAGACGTAGGAGAAACAGGCTTCCCACCCAACGCCGCCCAAGGACGATAGTGCGGGAGCCAGCAATGCTCGCTGGAGGTACGCTATCGCACTGTTTGACACCTGGATTGATGGATTTTTATACAGTTAAAACGAAGAACCTGGATAATGTTAAAATTAATTTTATAATATATTTGTTTGTAATAATGTTTCTGGGAATACCACGGAGAACAAAAATATCTAAGGTTTTTGTCGACAGAGATTACTTTAAATTAATAAATAATATGCTTGCTGGGGAAGAAGAGAAAACATTTTAAGCAATAAAATCGTATATACAGAAGTCTGATCACCAACATTAAAAATCAGAGATAACCCACATTATTTTTGAACACTTATTATTGGAACACCATGTATAGTCACAACTAACAAAGTATAAAAAAAACTTTTGTGATCTTTTTTTTCGTTACATAAATTAAATGACTATTAAGGTATGCCGGTTTCCTTTCACCATACGAGTAGTTAGTACGCACATAGTGATTCCATTGGTGAACAGCCGGGGTTCGAACCTACGATATCAGACAGACCTGAGAGAGACGCCAACACTGCCTACAAAACATACCTGTTTCCTTTTATCAGTACAAAACTCAGCAATGCCTTGTAAAAGGGGCTTCCATGCGACCTCCCAAAGGTCGTATTCTTCAGCACCTACAATAATCATATAAATACATGGTAATTTGTATTATATTGTATAATTATTGGTATAAATAATGAATTCGACCTAGGGTCAGGGTCCTTCAAGAAAAGAGCGTAACAATTATTAAAAGGCTGACACTTGCCAGTCCTCCAGCATTGAGTGTCCATGGGCGACCGTATCACTTGACATCAGGTGAGCCGCAGAATGTCCCTTCAGTAGGGACTGAATTATCCGACTTGATATTCCATGGATCTCACAACCTTTTCCGGACGAACTTCGTAGCGAGTTTATTTTACAAGTTATGTTCTATCTCTCTCTTTGTGCGTAAACACAACAAGACAAAATGAAACAATAGTCTGTTATTTATTAGTCTGGACTGAAGATTACCCTGGATATATCTCTCTCTGATATTCAGCTTTGATTGTCGATACCAGAAAATATTTTAAAAATCCATCAAATACATGAAACATACCTTGCCCTTGGTCAGCTTCGTCCCTCCACCATTTGAATATTTGCGCCGTCCGACTGTGCAATGTGTGCATTAGGTCGAGTAGCTGAAATATTTTAACTAGTAATAACTAATGTAAGTAACTGCAAAAAGCTAATTTAGAAAAGCATTTAGAAATATCGTTAATTTTAATAAAATTAAGGCCTTCTTTATTTCAGTTTATTTAAAAAAATATTCCGCATTGTAGCGCGATAGACTCGCGTTTGTACGTCTACGCACGCGTACGCACGAACTCCGCGATCGCATAATGCGATGCGTCGGTTGTGGAATTCCTGTATAGCTACACTTCAGGCAGTACTACGCTTCTTAAATTGCTTTGCTCCCGGCAGAGCTACGCTCGCAAAACCAGTCCGAGATGAGCTGCCTTCGGGTAATGATAACAGATAGATTCCAGAAAAAGAAGCTGGTGGCATTTATTAGCAAGATATCTGCGAGTACGATAGCTCTACAGGTCTTCTGCTTGTGGACCTAGTCTAACTCGACCCCAAGTTAGAAATTAGAACATAAGGGCTGCCCCACGTCCTCTCTACGGTGCAACGTTGGGTACATATTGTATGTATGTCAAGAAAAAATATATTTTTTTTAGATTGTTAATTATCTGTCATGTGTCAAAACTGACATTTAATTTAATTGTTGTATGTTAGGCTATGGAAAAGACGCGAGTTTTGGCTCATCACATGATTTTATTTAAATTTTTTCGAATTAACTTAAAATAATTGTTTTGAAAGTACTTTTATGACTATTATGGTAAGATATAGTTAGTTTTTGGTTTATTATAAGTTTTAAATTTTTTTGTTTAAGAATTAAAGAACAAAAACGCATTTTCTTAAGATAAAATGAATTCAATAAAAAATATTCTTAACCCGTTCTTACGTAGTTGAATTCTAATAAACCACATTACGTGAAAATAATAAGCAAATTTTATATCTATCGAGTCACTTCATATCAAATATTCAAAGCACATAGAAATCAACAAGTGAGTCTCGCTCACCTGAATGCTGACCATGTGGTAGCTGTCCAGGGAATCCTCTTCATCACTGGAATCGCGACCGCGACCCGCTTTACGTCCTGAACGCGATTTGCTCGACTTCCCTGAAAAAGTATTTTACTTGGTGATGCGGCACACAGAACTATGTTTTAATCTTGTCATAAAAATATATTAATCTAGATAAAATAAAGCCGCAATTCGTAAATATGTTTGTCCACAAATTCCTTGGAAATTAAAAGTCGCATCGAGACGATCTTCGATTTATAACAGGTATATTCGAACTTAGGTAATAGTATAATTTACATCAAAATGGCTACAGCAGTTTTGGAGATAACACGCGTATTTGGAGAGGATACGTATATTTGCAATAGGTTTTCATTCATATTTCTAGCATAAAAATAAAAAATATGTTTATTATGGAACATAAGATACATGTATCACTTATTCCACGTCATTAAATTTGAAGGCATCCCTACTCATCGGCAAAGAAGACAGAGGGTGTAGGCCGAGAGAAAAAGCCGGCGTAAAAAACTCTCGGTACTCTTTTAAAACAGCAAATCATCAAACAACACTTATTTAAAACAAATATCGCAAATTGATTAGAAGTAGCCTGTCTAGCACTAGTCCCAGGCCCTTTTATCAACTAGATAATCGTTGACTTTATAGTAAGCCTTTTTACACAGCTTTTCTTTAATACATTTCTTAAATTTATTGAAAGGCAGTGATAAAAGAGCCTCTGGGATTTTATTAAAGAAGAGTATCCCTTTCCCCAAAAAAGAATTACTAACTTTAGATAGTCTAGTACGGGGAAATTGCAGCCTGCGTTTGTTCCGTGTATTAACATTGTGCGTATGTTCTATTCTAGTAAACTTATCACTATTTTTGTATACATACATAATATTTTCATAAATATATTGCGAGGGAAAGGTAAGTATATTAATTTCCTTGAATTTATCTCTAAGAGATTCCCTACATTTTAAATTATAGATTGCACGAATAGCCCTCTTCTGCAGGATGAAAATAGTTTCGACATCAGCAGCATGACCCCATAATAATAAGCCATAAGTCATTAAGCTATGAAAGTAACTAAAATAAACAAGTCTAGCTGTATCGACATCAGTTAGTGAGTGAATTTTTTTAACCGCGTAGGCTGCAGAACTAAGTCTCTTCGCCAATCCGTTAATATGAGGGGACCACTGAAGTTTTGAATCCATGGTGATTCCGAGAAATACAGTTGTATCATCCAGATTCAATTCCTCACCGTTTATAATTGGTCTAGTATCCATAACCCTTGCATTTTTTGCACAAAATTTAATGCATTTTGTCTTTTTGCATTAAGTAGAAGGTTATTCATACTAAACCAATGGACAATCGAAGACAGAGCATTGTTCACATCGTCAAAATTTGTTATTTGTCGTTTGATTTTAAAAATCAAGGACGTGTCATCAGCAAACAAAACTATCTGATGTTTTCTCTCTACCATGAAAGGTAGATCATTTATATAAACAAGAAAGAGGAAAGGGCCAAGAATTGAGCCCTGTGGTACCCCCATATCTACTGCCGACCCAGAGGACCTCTTACCATTCACTTCAACCTTCTGAGTTCTTCCGTGTAAATAGGAAGTCAGAAGATTCAGTGCGGTATTCTTGATGCCATAGTGGCGGAGTTTCCCGATTAAGGTCTCGTGTTGGACACAATCAAATGCTTTGGATAAGTCGCAGAAAACACCTAAAGCGTCATGCGACTCCTCCCAAGCCTTAACTATATATCTATATAACTCAACACCGGCATCGGCTGTCGAGCGACCCTTGGTAAAACCGAACTGATTATTATGTAATAATTTGTTTACGTTAAAATGACTTACCAGTTGATTTAATATAATTTTTTCAAATATTTTACTACAAGTAGGTAGTACGGAAATTGGTCTAAAGTTACTGGGGTCGGACATACTACCTGCTTTAAATAAAGGAATAACTTTACTATGTTTCATTAGATCGGGAAACTCGCCACTTTTAATACAATTGTTGAAAATTATAGCTAGATGGGGAGCAATTACATCAATTATGCTACTAATTATTTTTACAGAAATACCCCAAAGATCGGTAGTGTTCTTAATATCTATGGTTCTAAATATCCTCACTATATCGTCGGCACCAATGGGTCGGAATGAAAAACTGACCTTGCACTCGTTTACATTATCTTTGAGCAGCGATTCGGCGAGGGCGGGAGATGATTGAAGAGACTTAGTAGTCGAAATTGGAATGTCAGAAAAGTACTTATCAAAAACAATCGCTATCTCTTTGTTAGATTTGATTATAGTGTTATCGACACATAGTTCGATGTCTTGATTGCGATCCCTGACTCTTCCAGTTTCACTATCAATTATCTTCCAAGTCATTTTAGTTTTATTGGTACTATTTTTAATCTTGTTTTTGATATTTAAGGACTTGGCCACGTAACAAACTTTCTTAAATAATTTCGAATAATTTCGAACATAAAGAATAAATTCTTCATTATGATTGTATGACTTTTCAGCGTAAAGGTCATACAACCGTTGTCTACTTTTATAAATTCCCGCTGTCGCCCAATCACTAAACGATTTACACTGCGAATGAGAGACTTTCTTTGGGGTAAAGATGGTGTTGAACTCTTTATTAATACAATCACTTAGATTGTTGTATTGTGTATCAACGGTAGTACCTACCGGTAATAAAGGTAGGCGTTTACCTATATTATGTCTAAATCTCACCATTCGCTTTTTATTCACTGGAACAAACACACTGCTCTTATTTACTTGTTTCACCACTTTACATTTTAGCGCCACTAACTGTCCACAATGATCTGAGCTAAGATCAGTTGTAATTGAGGTTTGCATTGCCTTTGCATCTGTAAATACATTATCTATACATGTAGCAGTGGAGCTTGTAATTCTAGTGGGCTCAAGAAACAAGTTAACAAGATTGTAAGATTTTAATAACAGATTGAATTTTTTACTAATGGAGGTATTTTCTAATAAATTTATATTGAAGTCACCACATACAATAATATACTTATTGTTCTTAAAACTAACTTTACACAAAATTTCCTCCAACTTTTCTTCAAAAAAATCGTAAGATGCACTTGGTGGTCTGTAAACACTTAAAATAATGCAATTCTCAATCTCTATACAGGCTACTTCCAAAGAGTGTTCTACAGACAGACACACGATGTCATTACGCTCTTTATACTTTAAATTTTTATTAACAATAATCAAAGAGCCCCCATGATTCGCCGACAATCTGCAAAACGAACTTGCAACTTGGTGCTGATCAAAGTTAAAGATGATTTGCATTCATATTTCTAGCATATACATATATATAGTTTGTTCTGTTAGCAATAGTTATGATAATAATAAAACTTTAGTTAGCCACACAACTCATATATTTCCCCCCCCTAATCAACTTAACAATAATTAAAAAGTTATATTTATATGGATCCCCGCGGTTAAAATGCCTACTCCAATAAATTTAAAAAAATCAAAGTTTTTCTCTCACCAGCCTCAACTTGCACTTAAATACATACTAAAACATATATTTTTTTTAAATTATAGATAGTAGTCCTCACTTTTATTTTAGCAGAGCACACCCCACATACACCTTCACGTACACACCCTCACTTTCACACCATCACACAATACAGCCGAATTATGTACTACTTAGTTAAATATTTTTTGACGTGACAACGTCTAATAAATAATGAACGCTGGCTGTACGCACGGCAAATACGACTCATTGTCCCGTTACGCTCACTGTACGCTTGCACCGCATCTATCTCTCTTCCACTCGATTGGCCTATGCATCCTAGGATTCACTCCTTCTTTGTATCAAAAGTATGCAATCATTTCATCAATGTTTTATTATGACGTTGTCACGTTAAACTATCGTCCGTAAACAATTTTATCCTTTTGTTTGTTTGAACCTTTTTGTAATTATTATGTATTTCATCTTTGGCTATATCTTTAGTATAATTGTTTCTTGTTAAATAATATTTATGTTAGCTGTAAAATTTCGAAATAAATATTTAAATAATTATTATTATTCGCAAAGTGTGTAAGTTTAATTGTACTATTTTTATTGAATAAAATCAGTAGTACGCTATATAAGTTCTTGTTCCCCAATCACTTACCTGAGTGTAAAGTAGCTCTGGCCAAGAGCCGTACAGCCTTTACAGCGGCCCGGCAATTGTGGGGTGTGACGTGAGCCACGTCTCTTATAACCAATGCTAGAGCTTCAGCACAACGAGCTAGCGCCGAGCTGCGGTGAGCTCTGAGTGTCACTTGTTCCAACTCCACTTCTACCGCCTCTGTGGTTTTACCCGCTTCGTTTTTAACCTGAAATGAAAGTGACACATTTATACTACGTGTTGTTGCCGCAGTAATGGAAGAGCATGCTCTTATTTCACCGTTTATTATGTATTCATTAATATTTTATTTATTAACTAACAATAATTAACTTAACATGTGATGAGGAGCATGATGTAATGGTTGCAGGTGCCTTGATTTGAGTGGCAGTATATGAACATTTGTACGATGTATTTCCGAACCAAGTCGACTTTGGGTCCTTCAAGAAAAGAGCCTACAACTCCTAAGGCAACGCACTTGCGATCACTCTAGCAATGTGACTGTCTATGGGCGGTAGTATCACTTAACATCAGGTGAGCCTCCTGCCCCTATGCCCCCTGTTATATAAAAAAAAATATTTATTGCCTTGTTGGTTCGGTTTGGATTTCGTTGCATCTCTATTAAGGACTACATATTTCATTAATAACTTACAAGTATCCAGCCTTGAGTTTGCGGTGAATGCGACAGCTCGCTGTCAGAGGATCCACTCGTTGGACGTCGCTCGATCTCATCTTCCGATCCATCCGAACGACTAGATACTGTAAATAAACATACATACTTATGGATTAATTATAGAATGCATTTAAAACATTTACTTAGGTACATAATAATTATTTTGGATTGATAAATTTAATAGGTAAAGATGGCTTATTTTAGCGGTACACTATAATAGACGTATTTGTCCCATCTTAATTATTATATTTTATAGTGTCCAGACTTCACTGGACATTTATTGTTTAGAAATAAATAGAGCCATGTTTTAAGTTCGGTGGTGGTTGTTGTATGTTCAAATATATGTTAAATGGAACAATGTTTGAAGCTGAGTGTCAACTTTTAATCGTTTAAAACATGAGCTTATAACTAACACAAAATCAGGGGAAGTGGGGTTGCGACGCTGGATTAACAAAAAACTATCTGGAGTTATTAAAGGGTTCTTAAATCTAAATGCTTTCTAGAGCGCGGGATAAAAGAAGCACTCTTGAAATAACAAAATGGACTGGACCTACTGGAAAAAGATGTATAGGACGACAAAAGAAAAGATGGAGAGATGGAGTTATACAAATAGCGGGAAAAACTGGATGAATGTTGCTCAAGACAAAGAGAAATCAAAATATGGAGCAGGCTTAAACCCATACAAAAACTTGACCTCTAAAAAAGAACTCAAAATTTAACTTAAATTTTTTAGAACTTATACTAACACAATATTCATATTAAAATCGCCAAGTATCACGATTTTAGCGGTCTGAACCCTTTCGAGCAGGGAATCTGTATCTGTTTGGATATGCTCGATGAGTCGGTCAGTTTCTACGCTTCCGCTATAGGACCTATACAGGTACGCGTAGAATCGCGGATGGTCATCGCAGTCTACGCGCAACCAGAGGTTAGTCAGGTCCGTTCTTAGACGCGCCTTGAGGCGGCGAGAACAAAAATCCTCGCTGACGTGACTTATATGAGGCATATGAGTGAAAGAACTCTTTTCTTTACCTAATAAACTACTAACTACGAACCTAAATGAACCTTTCCTAAGTTAAGATTCAGTTACATTAACTCTTAAAACGATTGCCGCTGTAATTCAATAATCTAATTGACCATGACCTGACGTATCAATTAATGATTCTGATTATACGTTACCAAATTTATAATGGATAGCTCACGGACACATATAGATATAAAAAATATCTTTAATTAATTATCGGTAACTTACCTATATTATAACTAGGTAAATGTTATGTGTTACTTAAATTTATTTTTGTTAAAAAAACATCTCGGCTAAACTAACAGGACATGCTATCTTAATTCTAAACATTAATGAACACCAAAAACCATTGGCGCTATAACCCTTGGTTAGTGATCAAACTTCTGCGCGGGAAACACGTCCTTTCCCATACGACAGAGTGTTAAGCGCATGCTAAAATAGAAAAAAGGGCCATAGGTACACAGCCGGAGTTCGAACCTACGACCAGGCAACACTGCTTTTAAATGTATGTGATATAAAATTTATGTAAAACTCATTAAAAGACAAATTTGCGACCAGTCAAGTAGCACCCGTTCACGAGTATGACGCATGGCCAGCCATATTGTACCACAATAACATTTTTGTACCATATTCTTGCAAATATATAAATGTTACTAAAACATGCAAAAATCTGTCTTTCCCATAGGCCACCACATCCCATGTATTAAACTTTGAAGACATGCATACCTTTCTCAAAAAAATTCTAACCAATACAATCATGAATTTATTAAATTATTTTCATAACCCAACATTTTCAGGCATATTTTAACTTAACTCCAAAAAGTGGCTAATCAATCCTAACCAAGCCAATCAAGGTTAACCTTAACCTATTTTGACTCTAATCAATTAATCTTAAACCTAATAGTTAAGGTCAAATAGTTAAATGATAAGATTAACTAAATAGTATATAATTAGTAGATTTTTGTTGACTTTTCAGAGAACCACCATGAAGATTCTACTAGTCGCCATCAGTTTAGCTCTGTGCTACGCAGAGGAACCATTCCCAATAACTTTGGACTACCATGAGACCATTGGTATACCAAAGGCTAATCTTATAAGACTGGCTGAAGAGGGAATTGACTTCGACGGTAGCAGGATCGTTGGTGGTACACCTGCTCGGCTAGGAGAACACCCTCATTTGGTAATATTTTATTGCATTATTTTATTTATGTATCTCTTTCTTTAAAAAGTTTTCTTACACACAAGAAGAACCCGTAAAGCGTATAAAAATTCGTAATTTTCCCCTATTATTTAAAGAAAAGGATTTCTTTTGGATTCAGTACTAAATATTCTTTATCTCTGTTTGTCATTGCATCAATCTACATTAATGTTTGGCATAAATAAGACAAAAAGTCTAATTTTGAAATTTACGATCTTCTACATAGACTTTTGACTTTGGGAGCGTATCTGTGCGTGGTGGTGGAGGCATCTGAAGCAGACTATCTGTTCACCGATTTCTGAACAGCACCTCTCTTATTACCGATTTTACAACAGAAAACGTCAAAAGCAAAAAATTCTAGTCAAATTGAATTGGTTCCTGGTGTTCAGAACTCGGCTCTATTATTTACAAACAGCAATAATTCACACAATTAAAGTCAATTTATAAATTACACTTTTAGGCCGGCCTCCTAATAACCCTGATAGATGGCCGACAATCTGTCTGTGGCTCGTCTCTCATAAGTAGCACACGACTTGTGACAGCAGCTCATTGCTGGACGGACGGCCGCGTCCAGGCCTCATTCATCACAGTGATCCTGGGTTCTATTCGTTTGTTTTCTGGCGGTACTCGAATCGACACCAAAGATGTTGAATCTCACTCAGGGTACAACACGCAGAACCTTAATAACGATGTTGCAATCATCAGCGTGGAGCCTGTTCAATTCAGCAGTAAGTTAGACCAAAAATATGATTTATAATTTCAAAATCTTTAAATAAAAATATAGATACATAATAATTGAGAAAGGAGTAATAACGATATTCATTGTAATTCATCAAATACTGAGCCGATTCTTCAGAAAGCGCTTTAGTAGGTACTTAAATAGTGTGTAATTTTTAAACGATGATTTACTTAATAATTAAGAAAAGGAAAGGGATTTTATTGTAATTTAAAAAGTCGTCAAAATACATTTCTACTTTTACCCTTAAGAAATTTAATTTCTAATAACCTTTCTGAACGTATATCACCAGTAAAAATGGTGCCAGGTTTACCCTCTCCGTGACAACAAAATATATCTATTTACAGACTCAATAAGCCCGATAAAGTTGGCAACTGGATCCAACTTATATGTGGGTGTCTTTGCCACCGCCGCTGGCTTCGGAAAGACAAGTGACTGTAAGTTCTGATAAACTAGAAAATAAATATTTGTTTTTAAGTTTTTAATGTGTGCTTTATGATGACCGATAATAAATTATTGATTTGTTATTTGTTAAATTACTTCAATTTATTCATTGTTGTTGTTTCTTGTTTTCTTTTTTTGTGTTGTGTATATATAAAAGCTTCTGTGTATTTTTTTTACTTGTAACAGAAATAAGGATTCTATAACTGCATATAATATACCTTCGGATGAAAGAAATATTAATGAGATCACTTTAATATGTGATTACAGAATTCACACGTGTAGATCTTATGTTTTACATATTTCGTAAGTGATTGATTGTCTTCGATTTAACATGTGTGATGTTTATGAACATAAATACATGTACATATTTTTATTCATTTAGGGACCATTATATATACCGTTATATAGTATATATACATATATAAAATCTTTAACAATCCAACAGGGAGCTCCGTGAGTCAAACACAGAACCAAGTGAGCCTCCAAGTCATAACGAACCAGGCCTGCGCCTCTACATATGGGAACAGTGTCGTCGTGTCTTCGACAATTTGTATTAGCGGATCCGGTGGTAGAAGTACCTGCGGTGGTGATTCTGGTGGACCACTAATCATTGGTAGCGGAGATGACCGAGAACTGGTAAGATTTAGTATTAATGTTTTCGTATCCGTTAAATTTTAAACCAATTTGAGATTTCAAACGTGCCTTGTATATAATGAAAACACATGTTTCCAAAAGCACAGTGGTACTTTTGAAATGCAAATAAATGTTTTATTCTGCTAAAATAGGGCACAGAAATCTATTAAAAACTCTAGAAAGTACGATTTTTTTCTCTTTTAATCTTTAATAGTGTTTTGTATTATAATAATGTAGTTTTCACACATCAAATTTGTATTTTCTTCTGTCTAAAAATTTTCTACTGTGTATATTAAACTATTTGCCGTAATAAAGCATTATAATCTTAGTTTGTAAACACAATAAGATATTTTTATAATCTTTATATGTCCACTGTCCATATATATATATCTATATATAACTATATGTGCTCTTTGACGTGACAATTTCTAATAAATCGTTAACCGCCGGCTGCACGCACGAAAAAGCATGACTCATTGTCCCATTACGCTCATTGTACGCTTGCGCCGCATCTATCTCTCTTCCACTCGTTTGGCCTATACGTCCGAGGATTCTTCAATGCTTTGTATCCATACCAAATAGTGATAATTAAATAAAAATTAATCAATTTTATTCATAAACTTATGTAATCATTTCATAAATGTTTTATTATGACGTTGTAACGAACTAACATCCGTAAACCGACTTTACAGACAACAACTTATTTACCTACTTTTTTTTAAATTTCAGATTGGTATCGTATCATTCGGTTCATCACGAGGATGTCAATGGGGATTCCCGGCTGGATTTGCTCGGGTCACCTCCTTCGCATCATGGATTCAAGCACGCATGTAAAATGGACTGATTTCTCAAACAAATAATATATTTCTTAACAAAACCAAGTTTATTTATTTACATATACATAACTACTATATGCTACCAGGTAGTATCGATCTTAATGACATCGTGTCTTATTCTATGAGGTGCAAAATCGTAGATTTTTGCACTCTTTAAAATCACTTGTTGGACCAAATCCGGTTTTAAGGTTGTATTTTTAAATCATAATTAGCAACGTCATACTGGTTTAGTACATTTTCTTTATTTTTTAGCGCTTATGCTATTGTGGAAGTCTGGTATGGATAAAAAAGTATAACCGGATAACCGGGTAACTTGGCGGCTATAGTTGTGGAAATTCATAGAATAAAATATGAACGAAAATTTTCCCCCACTTTTATAAAAGGTTTGACCTTATAATAATAATTTATTTGCAAGAATATGGTACAAAAATGTGATGGTCCCAAAATTTAAAGTTCGTACATCTGCCACACATTGCGCGCAAATTTGTATTTGTCTTTAGAGGAATAGAGGTTACAATTATATTATAAAATAAATATTAATTATAATGTATCACGCAAATAATCATTAATAGAAAGATATTTGAATTAAATAAAGTATATGTCTGAATACTTAAAGTAGTAACTCAAACTTAACAAGTGTGCACAATTTTTAACATAAATTAACGAACAGTTTAAATAAGTTAAAAAAGGTTTAAACTGAAGTTAATTAAATAAAATTAAATATAAGAAAGAGCCATAGAAGTCAAAGATAACTGATTTTCATGGTTGACTAGGTTTCGTCCGCTCTCTTCGATAAATCTAAGCCTATCTTATGTTTTGGATGTTTTTGGGTAAATCGCGGCCATACATACAAAGGTTTTTATTAATGCATTCTTTGGCATGTTCTGACATAGACCTCTGGACCGATTGGTTCTCTGCTCGCGTGCTAAAAGAAATAGGTCGTCATAGAAAAGATTTGACTTACCGGAAGGCATAGACGCATCGCGGGGCCAGGCACCAGCTCCAGCAGCACTAAGTATGGAAAGTAAGGCCGACCATTCAGCTCCACTGTGAATGTTCTGTGCTGACGTCTTCACTATTTCGTATACGCCACACGATATCTAAAACATATATATCGTATAAGTAATATATATTCATTAGTCTGAAGATATTATATAAATTGAATTATTTTAGAATACAGTTCCGGCTTCTACATATAGACTATGTTACACAGGGATTATATAGCATTCTTACCGATATCCATTGAGCATTCTGATAAATGAGCTAGGTCTGGATATCCATCCCCCCTGATTCTTTGAAATCAAGTTTCCTTTAGCTTTTATAATTTAATTTATTTTATCTGTTCGTGTATGTTATCTTTGTCTATGTGCTCGTTACATTAAAAAATATATATTGTGATCTTTTACCAATGTATCAGTGTGCCGAACGTTGGCTAGCTTTGAATGAATATAAAAAAAAAATTCATGAGAGAATGTTTTAATATGTCCAGTAGTTTTTATAACACACATAGAAAAATTCAAATACATTATTTTTATAAACAAATGTATATAAAAAGTTGTGTTTCTTTACGAACTAAAGGTAAAGGCGTGTTCTTAGACTCTTTATTTCCCTTAAATCTTTATTTAGAAATACGTATACGTTAATTCAAACTAAATAAATAGTAATGAAAACGATTTTTGTTTTATTTCAACAAATTTACTCAAAATAGAAAGATTTTTATTAATTAATTTAATTGCAAAGAAGCAAATGCGTTTAGAATGGCAATGACTTACCACATCAGCCTGCTGGTAGAAGAGTTTATATGGCAAACGGAACAGCAGTTGCAGGTGTAGCAGAACTGTGGGCGCGCATAACTCGCATCGCATCAACCTCGCAGCTGTTCGTAGAAGTGCTGTTAATACGCGAGTCATCGCGTAGTTACCCCGACTGGCTGCCCAGAATACCACTCGTTCTAAATGGGGACCGGACTCCTCCCATACGGCCAGGAGACGGTCGCTGGAAGAGACCATTTTATGGATTTAGCCGGGGCGTATCTCTCTCGTATAACATGTTCCTAATAGTAACGAGTGTTGCTTAACCTTATAAAAATTCGTTCGTTATTTTTAAGCTATTGCATAGATTTTATCGCGGGCTTTGAGCGCGGCGACCGAATCAAGAAATTTCGTAAGGAAAAAAAACCTAACACACGATGACGTAATGTAGGTGCGGCAAATACGCGTTAGAGTGGGACAGAACGCATACTGCGCATTCCCATCTCTCTGACGAGATCAGGGACGTAGCGTGAGCACGGCCGGTACGCGTTAGAGTGAGACAGACTATATAGGTGTTTTAGTCTGAGTCTGGTAGAGTGGTACAATTAAATAATATCATAGAAAAAGCTTGAATTAATATCAAAGAAAAACAAATACTGCATAAATAAAAAATAAATAAATAATTATAACTGCATAAATTGATAAAAAATTCTATGCTATAGCTTTACCGCGGCAGTCCCTGAGTGCCACACGTTTTTTTGTTTCCTAAGTCGAATTGGTTCGTTAATAGTTTCATAGTATTTATGTCATAACATAACAATACCAAATCTATATTGTAATTCTTAGTGGCTACTACTACTAAAAAATATTTTAGTAGTAGTTGCCACTAAGAAGTATAGACTGCAATATGAGAAATATAAACTTGATAATATTCTTCGGTTTTAGAAGTGGGTTAGATATGTATAATATTATCTTAGAGAAGTTTTTCGTGCCGACTATAACATTTGAAGCGACGGACGTGCTTAAATATATTTATTTATGTCTTGTAAATATAATACCCTTCTGATCGTCATGATTATTAATAATAAGAAAATTATTAACGACTTCACAAAATCTCTTAGTATTTCATACTTATTTCTATTACAGTCAAATAGATTGTTCCCAACACTCACCGATTCTGGATGAGCGTCTGACCCAGCAGCTCGAAGAAGAATATCGTGATATCTTCCAACTGCGGATTCAGCTGTAAACTGTCGGAATCCGCTGGAGTTCCCACCGTTATCATTGCGTGAATTAGCTCCTGGAAAATATATATAATGTACACGACTGTAGGTTCCTTAGATATTTTTTGGAAAACACACAGCTTTCATAATATCATAGACAATGTTAGACATTTTATTATCATTTGAAATTCTCGATTAAACTAGAATTACCAATAGTATTAAGCTGACGGAAGAGCAGTTGGCCTAGTGGCTTCGGCGTGCGACTCTCATACCTGAGATCGTAGGATCTATCCCCGGCCGTGCACCAATGGACTTTCTTTCTATGCGCGCATTTAAAATTTGCTCGAACGGTGAAGAAAAACATCGTGAGGAAACCGACATGTCTTAGAGTTAGACCCAAAAAGTCGACGCACTGGAGGCTGATCACCTATTTGCCTATTTAAAAATGATCATGAAACAGATTCAGAAATCTGAGACCAAGACCTAAACAGGTTGTAGCGTCAGTGATTAATTTTATTTTATTAAGCTAACGGTCCTTCTCATGCTGCTTGAAAAATATCGGTGTATAATGTATATCATTTATTATATTATGCTAACCAGTGTACGGTTCCTGGGTCAACGGGATGCTTTAAATAATAGAGGATGTTATTTTATATAATATATATTTACTCTGTATTTAACATTCACGTATAACAAGAGAAGAAATGCTTATAAATTAAATGGAAATAAGTATGAGTGCCTGCGTCTGGCAATACTCTTGCGGCGTAACTCCGACAATTTAAGAAATCGCCACTTATTAAACCTTTCAAAAGGTGATTTTTTAATTTCTCTGTAAAGTTTTGGATTCAGATTCAAAATATTTTGTAGCGGGAATGGTGATATGGTTTAAATGGTTCTTTTGTCTATCTCCACATATAATTCAGTTGCGATAATCGCAAGTAAAAAAATACCTGTAAGCTCTCGACAGGCAAAAACTTCGTCTCCGATACTAGAAGCCCCGGGAAGTTGCAGGACCCCACACATTCCATTGCTGCATCTATCAAAGCTTTCTCGTGGGGTGTTGGAGCACGGATACCTGTAAAGATAATTCTTTAAATGTGTATTTAACTAATTAAGATAGCGAGATAGTGATTAAAAAGAGTGTCGAAGAGTTTCTTGCCAGTTCTTCTTGCCCTCAATCTAAATCCCGAACAATTTAACATTTTTTCTGTTGACGTTCATAAGTGTACTTGGTTACCGATGTGAATATTATTTTGACTTTGAGAGACAAACCGACATTTGGAAGTCCTTTTCGAGTTTATATTTTGATATAAAAATTTATTGTAAGTAATTTTTTTGGTAATGGCAAGAAATTTTGACATAAAAATTTATTGTAAGTAATTTTTTTGGTAATGGCAAGTAATTTTGACATAAAAATTTATTGTAAGTAATTTTTTGGTAATGGCAAGTAATTTTGACATAAAAATTTATTGTAAGTAATTTTTTCGGTAATGGCAAGTAAAAGGGACGTTAAATTAACTACGATTATAGCAACACTAAGTATAGTCTATAAGTCATACATGTGTAAATTGACATGACATTTGACACATTTATAGAGTTCAGAGTGAGACTCAGACTTCGGAGAAACTATTTTTTTTTTATCAAAGAAACTTGAAGTTCTAGTAATTTCTTTATAAAATCTTACCAGATTCCCCGAGCGCTATGTACGAGTAGATACTAGAGAGTAGACCGCTTTCAGATCCACGAGCCGCTTCCCGAACTAAAGATACAGTTCCAGTAGACGACAGGTAGTCCTCTGCTTCTACTAAACACTGGGAAAACAAACATTTTTAGAGCAAAATTCAATAATCTGGTCGAGTCTATATCAGTTTCTGTGAAAAAACATGTTCTTATTTATTAGCTGACCCGGCAAACGTTGTTTTGCCATGTATATTATTTCTAGGAAACATTTTTTTAGTTCAATAAAAATAAGTATCTACAATAATAAAAATAGGGGTTGCTCGTAGAGGGGAGAAAATTAGGGGTTGTATGTATTTTTGTATGCTGTATCATATGTATCATAAAAAAAACAAAAAAATTGTCTAAAAAAATATAAAAAATTGGGGTGAACACCCCTTATCACTTGGGGGTTTGAAAAATAGATAGTAACCGATTCTCAGACCTACTGAATATGCATAAAAAAAATTCATAAGAATCGGTCGAGCCGTTTCGAGAAACGAACATTGTGCCACGAGAATTTTCAACGTCAAGTTTTTGATCCGTATACTAGTCATTCATATAGAATAATATTCATAAATACTAAATCAGTCTTTCAACTCTTTCTTTCAAATTGTGTTAACGGTGTGTAGAAAAGAGACAGATGTAAATACTGAAAACAGTACTTTGGTTTATGAAATTGCGTGCGTTTGAGCATTAGGATGACAAGTCTTAATACAACGTGTCAGGCACAGAAGGCTATAAAGTATGAATAAAAAAAAATACGGTTATTTATGAAGAGACCGTTAAAATTACCTTAGGCAATAAACGTCCTATATACAACGTATTAGTGATCTCCAATAGATGTCGCCAACTCGTGCGCACGCACTCAGCGTGTTGGGCCCACACTGCGCACGCGCGACGCAACGCCAACTGCGCTTTACTTGACTGGCCGAGAGATACCCCTGTTACGTTTTATTAAAAATAATTAGTTTTTTTTGTATGTGTATTTGTTGGCTTTATCGAAATACCTCTGTTGATAAGACTTTGAAAAACCTGGTTAAATGAGATTTGACTGTAGGATCTTTACAATGTATATATCTCTATAATTGGGACTCTGTATATCAATTATCTGTATAAGTGAGTCAATTTATCAGATTTTTACAGGTTACGAAGTGTACAAACATTAGAATTTCTTTGTCATGTGCTTTTCTTGTCAGTATCTCAGGTTTTTACCTCAAGGTAATGAAATTGTACAAAATGTACAAACGTAAATATACCACATTATCAACATCTGAAAAATTGGGAGCAATTCAATTATAAACCTGTCAAATTGGAAAACTGGATAAGTGAAAACCTCTTCAAATGGTACCAAATCCTTGGTCCCCTGAAATCCTTATTAATCAGATTTTACTGTATTCTAGAGTGTGGCGGAGAGTTTATTGCCAGTTCTTCTCTTCCATTCTACTCCCTTGATTTGAGACTACTCCCTTGGTTATGATATGAAAGCATTTCATATCCATATTTTTGACGTTCATAAGTGTACATTGTGTTACCTATATGAAAAACTGATTTTGAATTTTCTACAGGTACCACTAAATAACCTCTTGAAACTTACCAACAGCAATATATGAAGCGTGCTGAGGAGTCAAGAGTCCCGTGAACTTGCAAAGAGTCAGCAGCAAGGTATCCAGGGTCAAAGTCTCTGCCGGCAGTCTTGCTACCAACGCCGCACATCTCTCTAAGCCGTTGAGAGATATCAGCGCACTACAATCGCGGGCATTCGACTCTATCTCTTCCACTGTCGGTGGTGTTGAGCGTTCGAACGCTGCTGATAAGGCTGTTACCTAAAATTGTGTGTTATGCTTTTTATATTTTTGATCAGAACTTGAGTAATTTTCACTTTATATAATTTTTTAAATATCAACTTATCATTCGCTCGAACGGTGAAAGAAAACATCGTGAGGAAACCGTCTTGCCTTATACCCCAAAAAGTCGACGGCATGTCTAAGGCACAGGAGGCTCTATTTTTTGGAGATATATATATAGAGATTTTAACCAATACAGCATTAATCCTTATCCAATTAAATACCTTAAATACATTGTTGATATAATATAGATCTATATGGCCCTTTACAGTATATGATTTAAATGAATATTTTCGGAGGCCGCGGTTCTCCGTATAGCACTTTGAATTTAGTATCAGCATTACACAAGTGCGAAGCCAGGGCGGGTCGCTAGTAACAAAATAAAAATGTGTGCGTGTACTAGGTGTACACACGTTAGAAGTGAAACTTCTTTATGACCTTATTAGAAACTATTTCTTTAAACACAGTAAATTTTGATACACTGCCTAGCATACAATTTACAAATTAATTGCTGCAAATTGCGATTAGCAAATTTCAAGTCGAAAATGTAATCCGTTGTCAAACTTCAAAGTCAAAAACATACTATATGTCATATTTTAACGCCGATAAAGAATTTGACTTCAAAAAGCAACATGGCGCGTAACGGAAAAATGTGACGCGTAACGCAAAAATGTTACACTAAATTTTTTTCCAACCCCGATAAAGAATTTCACTTCAAAAACTGTGTGTGTACAAAGTACACATGTTACAAGTGAAAGTTCTGTGGCAAACTAATCTTTAAGTGTTGTTCATATTTATACAAATCTAAAAGTTTAGATTTCCGATACTTAGAGGGACGGAAAAAGGAAGATATGTTAGGAATTTAATTGTTATTAAAATATTAAGTGTCGAACAAGAAATAATAAAAAAAGTGACGGTAAATTTTTTTCCAACGCCGATAAAGAAGTTTGACTTCAAAAAGAAACATGGCGCGTAACCGAAAAACGTGACGATTTGCTACAAAATTTCTCCCATACGTCGATAAAGAAGTTTCACTACAATAAATCAAAAAAGCTTCCATTATAAATTTCCTATGAAACACAAATTATCTTACAGCAGGTGGACACACAATGGGCAGCAACCTCGCATGATGTGGATGAAAAGGGGGAATCAGGCGAAATATCGCAGCGGGAGTCTTTCCCCTTCTCTGAAGAACCCTCCATAAATACGCATCACGGACTGGACCTACTCGTTCCGCTGGCATTACCATCTCTTCATTTCTGAAATACAAAATCGGTACTTAGTCGTGCGCAAAAACGCGAGCGTACAAACGCGTGCGTATTACTTTCTATGTGCGCTGACAGTCTCGTTTTGTTCTACATTGTATGAAATGTTCTTGTTCTTGGTCTCACGTGTCTCACGTATATCTGTATCGTGACCAATTCCTTAATAGGTGATCGGTCACAAAAGCCTGATCATGTCGATTTTTGGGTTTCCTCACGTTTTCCATAATGAGTTTCGTTTTCTTATTGCGTACGTGCACGTACGTAAGAAAACGTGAGGAAATATGAGACGCAAAAATTGCCCTATGAATAATAATTTTAAATATTTAGCGGTCGAAATAACTATTTAGCGCGGTTCAGGGAATGACGTCATGGATACTAATAGTTTAGTATCATATTAATCTAATACATGAAATTCTATATTCTCATCTCACAATGTTTGTTCCCATACTCCTCCGAAACGGCTCAACGATTCTTATGAATTTTATGCATATTCAGTAAGTCAGCTAGTTTATTTATAAAATTTTGCCAAAGGCTCGGCACACTGATTCACTGGTACAAGAATAATTAAATATAATATTTAATGTAACAAGCACTTAAATAGGCATCATCCACGAAGAGATAAAAAAAAACTTTTTTTTTTATAAAAACTAAAAAAAATCGATTTCAAAGTGTGAGAGGTACAATTATGGATATCCAGACCTAGCTCGTTTATCAATTCTCAAGATGTGCGGACGATTGTCTCGTTCCAACCCCGATCTGTATTTAAATATCACTTAACCAATTAACGCCCGAACCCAATAACCTATCTCAATCCATAATCCACCAACGGAGATAGTAATCTTAATGTTGTAACAACTATTTTTTTTTTTTTTTTAAAGACAATTCACACCAATTGACCTAGTCCCATGCTAAGCTGGTGAAGCTTGTGTTATGGGCTAGTACCCATACCCATAGCAACGGATATACATACATATTATAGATAGATAGACATATAAATACATATTTAAACGCCCAAGACCTAAGCACAACACCAAATGCTCATCACATCGATGTTCGTCTCAGCCGGGGATCGAACCCGGGACCCATGGATTTGCAGTCAGGGGTACTAACCACTAGACCAATGAGTCGTCTAATAGCCATCTGTCGATACAAGCTATCCATGGGAAGTCGGATCGGTGTCTGTAGATAGACCTTTGTATGAAAATGACAGTTGACGAAAGCTAGATTTCAACAGTTAATTATTTTAACCGAATTTAACTTACACCAGTTTTTTAAATAATTAAAAAAACTGTTTGTTATGTTTTAAACATACACATGTATATTTTAATGTTATTTGTACGGTTTTATTTACTTTATTTGGTTTACATTGGTTATCAAATATGAGTGTAAACTCGGTAAAATGGAACGACAAAAAGCATTTTATCCGTCGCCAAAAATGGATTGTCTTCGTAGGGTTTGGTTAATGGGATGCAGATAGGAGATCGATAGACTGTCTGTTGTCACGGTCTGATTGAAGATTGAAAACAATCTGAGATTGTGGATTAATTATTGGGTTCGGGCGTAAGTAAACCCAAATAACTTACTTAATAGAGTGGAACACCTCTTTCAACATGTCAGTAGGAAAATCTCCTGAACCATTACACCCACGAAGATTTCTGACAAAGTCCTCTTGAGTCATTGGAACGTTGAGTTTCTTCGCGTTGTGATTGTGTTGGTCCATGTTGAGCATTATGACTGCGTACGCGAGTCGGAAAGCGGCGTCCGTGTTCGCGAACGGACATCCGTTCGTTGTCTGTACATTAATTAGTTTTTAGTTTTAACAGGTGAAAATTTATTGAGGGAAACACAACCAATGATATGATCAATGATAGTGATGCCGAAAACCTTTATGGAATTTCCAACAAATTTATTACAATCCCTTGAATATATATTTATAATTAAATTTATTTTAGCTACACCATATTTAATATGACATTGTCCTTGTCAAAAGACATCCAAAGGGGATTCAAACAAAGTTTCCTTTATACTTTATAAAAAAATAAAATGTTATCTTTACTTGTGCGTTTTTTACGGTTTGTGATGAAAAGGACGTAATTACGAGTACCACATGCCGTTAAACAACTTTTAATGTGGGGTGCTCCACTAAATAAAATGGATACATTCACTAACAAATAAAATGTATGTATATTGTATAGACTCAGATGTTCAGTCTCGTATTGAAATTGAAAAATGTGCCGGGCAAAAAGGTTTACCATCTCTGACATGTCATAAAATGATAGCTGTCAGAAATCTACGGAATGAAAAATCAGAGTATAGGTACGTACGTACGTTACTTACTGAGCAAGAAAATGTTTTAAAATTTACAATACAAACTCTTATTACAATGTAAGAGATACACTGGTCTAACTTATCAAATCTAAACAAGTTTCAATGAACTTGAAGGTAGTCGGGAATTTTAGTAAAATTTAAAAAGTTAAAGAATTACAAATAAAATATTTTTCTTACTAACGACAACAACCAACTTACATGCCATCGTTCAGCGAACTTCTCCATAACGAGAAATATGAGCGGGGCCTCCCCAGGCAGTCTAAACGTCTCTAGGTACAGCCGCAAAGCTTGCTCAATTCGCAGCTGAGAATAATCAAAACTGTCCGCAAACGCTGTTAATACGCTCGGTCCGTCGTCATCTTCGCCTCTGGACGAACGTTTGCATATATATTCACCTAAAAACAATTATATTTCAAAAATATTAAGAGAAGATTTCTGAATCTGTTTCGTGATCATTTTTGACTAATAGGCAAGAGTTGCCTTCTGTGCCTGACACACACCGTCGACTGGGCCAGGTGAGTTGTTGTCTGTCACATTCTCTGGCCTCGGCTTAGCGTAGAAAAAGGACAAATAATATGAATGATATAAAAAGATAATACACTTCTTGATTCAAATAGTTAATTTTTTTAAAGTTTTTATGTTATATTGTTGTTTGTATTATCACCGTTTTATTCATATTTTTATGTACGTCAATTTGTTTGTTGTATCATTCATTTGTTGTAATTTGTGGTCAAATAAAAAAAATTATATGTCAAGTGATAAAGCAATCTAACTTTGGTGTATTAGGGTGAAAAATATGGGAACAAAAAAACACAAAACAGATTCTTCCTCTTAATAGAGACTATTAGACACTTTCTTATGTCAATTATTATTATTAAAAATTTTGTCGTAAAATAGGCTAGATTGCAATGGGATGCCTCAGTCAAGAGACAACTTAAAGATACACGATTTAGAGACCATTAGCTCCATATTTACTTGATACCTCTATATCAGTGATTCCCAAAGTGGTCTATATCGACCCCTAGGGGTCTATGACAACCTGCCAGGGGTCTACGTCAGCGAAAAAAATTTTGTGGGGTCCATGAAATGAAAATGAGGGTCCACATAGTGGATCTCTACACATACACTGATAGAGGAAAACAGACATCGCCTATTTAACAGATTTGTTTACAAAATTTAATATGGTTAATTTGCAATTACAAGGCGACAGTTTAAATTTGATTAAAACAAAGTCCATCTTATCAGCGTTTTTTTGCCAGAGTTAAACTAATGAAGCAAAATATTGGACGGGGCGAATTTTCTCAGTTCCCCAATTTGTAACTTTAAGTTTTTAACACTAAACTTCACTACAGTTAGAAATTTAAAGGAAAACAATATCAGGTAAGTAGGGGGTCTACCCAACACGGAAAAACATGGCAAGGGGTCTACGACACAAAAAAGTTTGGGGAACTCTTCTCTATATATATCTTTGTATGACAGCCAATGTGAAAGAAGTTGAGCATAAAGACACATAAATCGACCCTGTACATATATCATCACATTTTTTAATATTTCAGAGATTTTTCAAACTTTAACTGGCACCTTTAAATATTTTAATCTCACCTATCATTTTCTTGTCTAAAGCAGGATTTTCTCTGAGGAAAGTGGCAACGTCCTTTGGATCAAGTGGTGTTGCCAGTACGCCGTGTTCTTGCAAGTATTCTATACCGCGTTCTGGTTTTTGATTAAAAAGCTCTGTGCCTTGGGTAACCCACTGAAAAAATGTGGAATATATAATATACTAGTGTACTAATTATTGTCTTAATGTACGACTGTGAGGTTAGCAGTGATTGATGTGCAGAAACTAGGACGGGTCATGGAGAGGTTGAAAAAATGCCTAATTAGAAGAGATAGAGAAAATAGAGCCCAGCCCAGCCCAACATTATAGGCGAATACAAGGCCCATCGACTGCGTTAGCTGGGGCATCATGAGCGCATGGGCCAAGATCGAGCGGTGAAGGAGGTGTACCCGATCCGGTGTAGTGGTCGGAGACCAGTGGGTCGGCCTAGGTACCGCTGGATCGACAGGATGAAGGAGGGACCGCTGCAGCTGGAGGCCAAGGAGTTTTTGGGAAGCAGAGCCAGTGGAGTGAGTGATTTACCTAGGTATACCTTAGGTACAGAGTCGATTTTGATAAAATTTGACAGTTTCCTCGATTGGAATATTTGACAGTACCAAGGATTGTCTTTAACCACACAAACCTAAGAATTTTAGCACACATATATATATATATAACCTTTTCTTTTTTTTGTAAGTGGATGAAAATGTTTAACGAGAATCAGGTCTAATTTTCAAATGTTTAATACTAATGTAAAAAACTAACCTTCTTCAAATTCTTGATGTTATCCAACTCGGCCTCCGTCGGCAGTTCCATCGTGGGCTTATGTCTCCCCATTCTCCCCCCAAAATACTGACTTATATCATGAGTCACGTGATCACTGACGACCGACACATCATCCAGTCCCCCCAATTCCAACGTAACATGTCCCCCACGATCAAACTCCCCCTTCTCCTCCACAACTATCTTCTCCTCGAAACTCCTTTCCTTCTGGCTCGTCCCCATTTCGATCGCTTCAATGATCGTCATCAGCACCTCCAATGACAACGAATGGATATTATACGCCGTGGAAGAGACAACGTTCTTCGACAGCAGTTTCGTCATCTCCTCAAAGACATTCATACAATAAACATCGCAGTCGAAGTTCAAGTACATCTCCGTACAGAGGCCAGGAATTCTGAATATCTGGGACAAATTCTCCAACGTGATGTGGTGGATCTCCTTTAGCTCGTAGATTGCTTTGGTTGTATCCGTGGATATTATGTCTATAATCTTCTTGAAGAATGCTTCCATTTGAAATTTCAGGTGGACGCGTAGAGCTTCGAAGAGGAGGAACCAGATTTGTAAATCCAGGGCGTAGATTGATATTCTTTCGGTGTCAAGAAGCTGTAACAAATACAGAACCGAAGATATAGAAACCCAGAATGAAATAATACGAACACCCATTCTTGGACCTAGGGAAAGTGCTGCCAACGCATTTACCACTGAATTGTGAGTCAATTAGCAGCTGTTGTATAAATAAATAAATTATTCAGAAAGCCCTTAAGAAAATAATTAGAGATAAATAAATAATACAATTGAATTTATTAATAGATACATACATTAAATCACCACCTAGATACCTTTCTTCCCTTGTGAGCACCTGTATCTACATAGTAATATATTTTTTAATACAGTTGCTCAAAAAGTGGCGTATTGCAGGGAATTATAGCGTTCGGGATGTGGGCTATTACACACTCGTGCTTTTTTTTACCATTTCCGAACTAGTGCGTTTTCTTTCCCAACTGTCAAAATAATGTCTATTAAAAAGAAAAAACCAACCACGAAGTTTTTACTAAAAAAAATCATAGAATTTTTTATGATTCATGCGAATATTTCTAAAAAGAAGCTACTGCTTTGTTTCAATATAAGATTTAATGATTTGATTCAATGAGTTAGGTTAGATTTCATTTCATCTCCTTAAATTTCATTTCATATCAATAAAAAATTGTACTGAAGACTTGGCTGTATGGGCATAGTTCCCTTTGCCTACCCAGAATGGGTGAAGAAAAAAAAATCTGCTTATATTCTTTTACGGTGGGCGCCATTCTCCAAAAATGTTCTATGCGCGTTTAGTTGTTTGTTATATTATATATTAAATATACAAGAATAATCATACGAAATAAATAATAGTTTGTCTCAAACAGTAAATAAATATGCAACCTAAAACTTCTCCAGTTAGTATAAAAAACTGTACCAATGTATATGTGAACAATAATTTGTATAAGAAATAAATGATTAGTGATTTGAGTTAATTGTTTTTTTATTATTTTATTAAATTGCATAATTTTTTCGCAACTGTATTAAAAATAGTTGTTCAGTACACGTGCGGAACCGTCATTGCAACTTGTTCCGACTGTCTACCCTCACCTTCGGCTGCGCCTCGGCTCGGGTAGACATTTGTCGAAACTCTTTGCAATGACAGGCTTTCCGCACTTGTAATGAAATATACTATATCTGCTGCTTTGTTTTTTATAATACCATGCGTCTATTTTATTTCAGTATCGTAGTTTTTTAGTTCTAGGTACATGTTCTTCACATATTATTATCAAACTAATGTATACAAAATATTGTAAAAACTAGAAACGTCGGTTAAATTTAAAATTATATAAAATAATTTTAAATTTATAATAAAACATAACTTCAATCCGGTAAAAAAGTGTTTTCCTATGTGTAAAAGTTATGTCAATAAAAGACAAATTAAATAATGTCAATAATAGACAAATTAAATAATGTCAATAATAGTAGGTAAGTATGGAGTTTCTTGCAACTAGAGTAATTGTTTTAATATTTTAAACTTGTAATTTTAACTTTCAAAAGTGCCTTTTAATAGGCCTAATTGAAATAAATTATTTGACTTTGACTTATTCACTGAAATTTACATAAATTCATTCAATTCGAAATCGAGATATACCTTAATAATAAAACCCGTTTTAATTTCCATTACAAATATAGAGTGTACAGATATAGATTGGTTATAAAGATTTTATACTTTTTTTTCTAGTCATCCTATATATCCTAGCTACTTTCAGTAACGTTGATCCGAACCCTTTCATCCTCCAGCTTTTTCCAACTGGTTGTCTATGGTTTTCTTTCTCCATTTACTTACGCTTCTATTTATCTACCATTTTTGGGGCGCCCTATTCTAGGACGAATATTATATATACGATAATAGATATGACACTCACACTCAACAAATTCCTGCAAAGTGGATCCTTGACTAGATATAGCAATGAGGGATATTGTGCCAGTCTATCGGCCGACACTTCCAACGCAGTTCCGACCAGCTGCAGTCCCAGGTGTACCATCGCTGACGTGTTCTGAGTGTCCAGTGGGTTACATAGAGATATTAGGAACCTGAAATAGGAGTATATATCATACGTGAAATTACTGGATTAGTAATAACAAAAAGCTCATAAAAGTTCGTGTGAGCGTTCAAGTATTACGTCACGCAATTTTTAAAGATTATTGTCACCCTCCCCCATGTGACCAAGTATAGTAAAACGTTTCGTGACCACCTAGTGACTCTTTATACCTAAAAGTTACCATTATGTGGTGTAAAGTACTGGCAAGTCGAAAATAATATTAACAATAACGCGTAATTCAATCGCCGTCCCGCATCGTTACGTTTTACAAAAGGACCCCCCCCCCTCCAAAATTCGTTACGTAATACTGGAACGCTCCCTAACTTGAGCTTAAATGGTGTAACTAATTATTGCTTATTTAAATATAAGTTAACATAGCATTGATAACTATTAAGTGATACCGCCGCTCATGGACACTCTCAATCCAGAGGGCACGCGAGTGCGTTGCCGTCCTTTTAAGAATTGATAGGCTCTTGAAGAACCCTAAGTCGAATTGGTTTGGAAATACTTCAGTGGGCAGTTGGTTCCACATAGTGGTAGTGCGCGGCAAAAACTGCCTTAGAAAACGCTCAGTTGTGGAACGACGGACGTCGGGGTGATACGGATGGAATCAATAATGAATTAATTACTCAACTCATCTCACTTTATTAACATTCTACTAAATTAAAACTTACCTAAATATCTCCCTAATACAGCTAAGTCCATACGGTTGCAAGTTAGTATCATCCTGGGCCATGAATCTAATACCGCGATGGTTGACATATTCCTCTACCTTTTCTTCTTTTGCTTCTTGGTTTACATCTTTTTCTGCACTTTCGGGAGCTTCGAGTGATTCGGCTGACACTAAAAAAACGTTTCCGATAATGTCCAATAACATAAGTGTTACTAAGATTTAAGAACTCTTCAATAAGTCAAGTTAGTTTTTTGTTAATCCAGCGTCGCAACTCCACTACCCCTAATGTTAGTTAGTTATAAGCTCATGTTTTAAACAATTCAAGCCAGTTGTTTGTATGCATACAACAACCGCCATCGAACTGAACTATTGTCAAGTTATTCATGGTAAATTTTATACAAAAACTCCGTTCTTAAGCAATATTTTGCGGATTCTCTATATTACATTTTTTTAACTCTTTCATCTTTTACAACTCTTCTGCATAAACATTTCTTAACCTTATCCTATCCTGATCAATCGTGACTTTCTTCTTTTATTATTTTTCTTTCTTCACGTAATTCTTGTATTTCCTTTTCTTTAGTTTAGTTTGTTTTATTAAAATTTTTGAAGTGAAACTTCTTTAGGCGCATGAGGGTAATTTTTTTACGAATGAAACGCAATAATAATCGAGCGTTTTTTTCGAAGAAAAGGGAGAGAGCTATTAAGAGAGAGTGAGAAAGGGCGAACGTAGCATGAAGCATATAGCCACGGAGCGAGAGTAGGCAAGCAAGTGAGAAAGATCGAGAGAGAGAGTGAGATAGAGCGAACGTTGCATCACGCACAGTGCCATGGAGCGAGAGGTGGGAGAGAGCTATAGTAAGAAAGATTGAGAGAAAGAGTAAGGGAGATCGAGCAAAAAATACACGCTATTGGTTGATGTATTCGTTTAGTAGTTACGTATTAGAACTTTAGATGGCAATTCTGTCGTCTTGTGCAGTAAAAGTTTTTATTTATTTATATTATCATTAGCACGTATACAATGTGTAAACAGTGTGAATATAGATATACAAATACAAGAAGTGATCATATACTGGTACATGATCATCTATTGGGGCTTTTACCGTTGTAATAATTAATGTACAAAGATTTTTCACTTCTGACATGTGTACTTTGTACGCACGCACTGTTTTTGTATTACTTTAGATTAAGGTTCTATAAATTTTTTAAATATAATTTGGTTATGCACTTCTTGCACTTTACCCATCATATTTAGTTTTTTAGTTTTGCGTGTGTTATTGTGTTTTTTTTAATGCAACGAAATGTGAATAAAAAAATATAGTATTGTCTTTGATGAACATAACCTTTACACATTTAAAGAAAAAACTTTTTAACCGGATTAAAGTTATGTATTATTATAAATTTACAATTATTTAACATAATTTTAAATTTATCCGACGTTTCGCGTGCTTTACAGCGTGCGTGGTCACGGTAAATGAAGACAAAAGACCACACACGCTTTAATCCGGTTAAAAAGTTTTTTCTGTAAATAAAAAAATAATTACGTCCTACATAAAAAGGCAAATTAAGTTATCTATTACTTATTATAAATCAATCACAAGTTAGAAGAAAAATATGATCTTCCTACTCACCTTCATTCTCCTCTTTTGCATCACCTGTAGTCACTTCATCCTTTTCATGAGAATTGACACATTTCTCCAGCAGTTGACTGATAGGTGTGTTACCATTAGCTAAGTCCATGGAAGAGTGACGTCCATGCTTGGTCGTTGGTTTAGTTTCGTCTGGTTCTATCGTTATCTCCTCTTCATTTATTACATCTTTGTCTTGACTAAAAGGCGATATTATTGTTGATTTAATATAGCAATATATTTATAAATATATAGGCAGCGGCACGTAAGTCTAGCGCTGGCCGATACGTGGACGGGATTGCTGCGCATGTGTACTGTCGCGCGGGGGACGGAATGCGACTGGAGAGCCAATCGACGCTACGCGCGCCCGCTAGTCCCCCTCAGGTACCTTATTTTTTACTTCTGCGCAATAACGGTCAGCGCTAGAGTTTCGTGCCGCTACTTGTACATATATGAAAACGTTTAGTTATTTAAGATGCAACGCTCCTTTGCATTTAAGGCCCCTTCGTTTATAATAAAATTTCCAAATCTATGGATTCTGAGATCGTTAAACTATCCAGATATAAACTCGCAAGTCACATAGAAATTACACTAGCCAAATTGGATTTCGTATCTACAGAGGCATTACTACATATCTTGCTATGACTTTGAGCGTCCAAAAACTAACACAGACACAGTGCACGATCATAACAACTTTCAACTACACTCTCAAATACATGCGCATACACACCCATTCACACACTCACTCATTCATTCATTCATTCTTAATTTGTAACACAATTTTAATAGAATAAGGACATTTACTTTCTATTCAAAATAAATTAAACATAAATGTAGTAAAAATTATTGATATTAAAGCCAACAGACTTCTCCAATATACCTTACCTTTGTTTGAGAACTGGGACCTTACTCGATTCGGTATCGGGTTGGGTGTCATTTGCTAAAGCGTCAGTAACTGGCGATTTTCTGTCCAAGGAGTTTGTACCTATTGATTAGAAACATATTTTTATGATTTTTATTTGTATCTGTACTTAATAGCAGAATAGATGGAAAAAAATCCAATACGAAATCATCATGGGTAACTGTTAAACATTAATGTTCTAATCATTGATATACAAAAAACCTAAGATGCACAGTCTCATATAAAAGTAACGCTCGAAAGTGTCCCGAAACAATATTTCTGTCCATAACAGTATATGTTACAAGCATATATTATTGCAAAATCAACCTTACGCGAATTGCTTAAAGTTGTTATTACAACGCAGCGTATACGTACTTAAAGCAATAAAATTTTACGACCGACCGTGGTCGGTAGGACAAGGTATTGAGTGGAGTCGAACATGACTTTTTTATTTACAACTATTTAACATAATTTTAAATTTATCCGACTTTTCGGGTGCTTTACAGCGTGAGTGGTCACGGTGACTGAAGACAAAAGGTGTTGGATGTTAAATAGTTGTCAATTTATAATAATACATAACTTTAATCCGGTTAAAAAGTTTTTTCTTTAAATTAAAAAAAAATGTTAAATTGGCTACCTCCTGACCCACACTTTATATAGCGTAAATATATTTGTCAAAAACTACACACAAAGAAGTTCAAGAGTACATAAATTTATTTATAAAAAAAACACAAATAAATAACATCGACTCCACTGTAGACGCGAGACTATTTGAAATGAGCGCACAATTTAGAATGTTGCGCTCATTTTTTGAGGAAGTTTTTTTGACGTTGAGTGTGCATCTTGGGTTTTTTGTATATCAATGGTTCTAATACGATAAACTGTTCCCTCAAATTAACGAAGGTATTTTAAATAAAGGTTCCGAATCAACAAGATATATCCACAATATATCGATTTTAGATTTCTTCTTTAATAATAATAATTTAATCCAATTAAATAACATAGATTCATTTTATTTAGTACAACTTGAAGACTATAACAACATCAACAACAAATAAAAATTAATTAAAAATTAAATACTAAGTAATGAAAAGGGATTTAAATAAATAAGTATTGGTTATATGTATCTTAGTAATGTTGTAAACTTAATATTTATTTTGAATTCATTGTACTTTCAATTAATCTGTAACACGACGGACTATTGGGCGGTGCGAAGGTCGTCGGAAAATTTTTAATATAAATCAAACCAAAAATTGTAAATGTATTTTAATATTTAACGTATTTTCTTAAATATTCCCAACATTAAGTAGTACTATCGAATGGTGTTAAATTGAAAATTTCCCTTTCTTGAGTGTTGGACTTCGCCTAATATTGAAATTTGAAATATGCCAGTATAGACAGAGCGATACAGAACTCAATGTAAGGCTTTGGTATATTGATGCTTTGTGCCCTGCTCAGATCCTTTTAGTTATACAGGCGTTTGTGGGCTTACTTGGCGGAAGGCAAGATACAGGCTAAATTAGTAAAATACCTGCCTAAAACACAGTTGTTCTCTTCGTTATGGTTTACCCAAGAGTACCTATGTTCTTATTCGACATGTTATTAGTTATTGACTGTTATTGGTAAACATTTTAAATTTGGAATGTCCGGTGTTATTTGCCTTTACTTTCCCATTAAGGATAAATTAAAATATCATCATCGTACCGTGTTATTTAATTCTTATAGATAATTCATAATGTAACTACTAACTAGTTACTAGTGAGTTTAGACTTTAGAGTTATTATTTAATAAGACATTTCCTCAATAAAAGGTTAAAGGAGGCGCCGGTACATAGGTGGTAGCCAACTGCCTCTCGGAAACAAAAATTATGTGTTGAGTATGTCTTGATTACCATACCCCGCGCACCGGAAACCGGCACACGTACCATTCAAGCGGTAAACACCCTTTTAGCAAATGATACCAAGGTAAACCATACATAATATTTCTCATATACAGCGATAGCGCGATTTAACTCGCTAAAATGCCATCTAGTGGCGAGTAATGTAAACACATTATGGAGGATATCAAATATTGTAATAAATTAAATTTAGCCAAGACTTTATCTATAATATATAATTATATATATTATAAAAAGTCCTGAAGACAAATTTGATATAAGAATTAACATATCTCTCAGTAATTTTACTAATAGTTTAAGTAACTTTTTTGAGGTTTTAACAGAATGGAACTGATATGAATCTTTGTTTTTATAAAGTGGAGACATATGTACATGTTTAAAATCCATTAACATTCCTTCAGCAGTCTAAAGATGAAAGTGCAATAAAATCACTGTTACAAAAACTACATTTTTCTAACCAAAACAATACAAATAATTTATATAAGGAAATTTCAAAACTTTACTAAAATATTAATTACAGCTATAAAATCTGAACATTTACTTACTGTGAGCATTAGAAAGGGATTTCTTTTTGTTAACCTTATCTCTTCGCTTTAGAGACAGGCCAATAGTGGTAAAAGTATTGTTATCTTCAGGAGAGAACTGAGGTAGTCTCATAAATATAAGTTGTGTCATGTCTCGGAGGCACTGTTCAGCATTACGACGAAGAAGCTCTGATTAAAAAAAAATTCTTACTTAACCATTTTCATTTACAGAATATTTTGGATTAAAAAGTATCTAAAGTATAAACCAAGGCATTCTTGATTTCATCATAATCTTACCTGTAAGCCTAGTTTCAAAGCAAATTCGGAAACAGCTGAGCATAATCTCACAAACACTGTCATCTGTCAACATGGCACCCTCAGGACTCAGCATCAGTGTTCGTAATACCTAAATAAATATTTGATTACATTGTATTTATTTATTTATAGACATACTAAATAAGTACAAAAACCAAAATATTATCAGCGCTTAATCTGTGGCAAAAAAGCGCTTAATCTGTGGTCATACCTTAAACACATTATAACAATCTTAGGTAGTGCAACAAGTACTAGTAAAAGAAAGTTTTAAAAAAAGTACAAAAACTTGAAACTCTACAAAGCTAAAATTATAACAATGGTATCAAGAGGCTCTTATGTTAACAGGACCTGTACTAACTTACTTGTAATATTTTCATTAAAACAACACCATCCGATGAGTGGTCTGTGCCAACAAACCGAGCATGTGTTACAGCATCTGCTATATCCTCCACTGTGGCAGGAACACTTGGGTGTGTGGGGTCTATAATTTAAATATAATCCATATAATTTAATACTTATAAAAACATTTACAATTAATACTATTAGAAAATCAAATAAGTTTTAATTGTACTTATATTTGTCTCATTCATTTTGGATCTCAGATCCAAAGAGTAGTCTATTTACATATTTCCCTACTCTATTTAAAACTGAATTTAGCACAACTTAAAGTTGATATTTATAAATTATTTACCTATCAGCCCATATGATAAAAACTTATGTATAGATGATAGTGCTAAGCTTGTGACGGGTCCCGTTGTTTCCTTGCTTCGTATCACTTCTAAGAAAGGGCTTAAATAAGTTGCAGGATCTAATAGACGAAGATCATCAACTTGATTCAAAATTATTTTCAGGTCTTGAAAGGTTCGCATGAGCATATCGTATTCTTCGTTTGGGAAAGAGTGAGATCCCCACCGTGCACTCCTTCGCATGGCGGTGACCAGCATAGCCATCTCGCCCTGGACCACAAAGATTCCATTCCCGGGTAAAGACATTTTTAAACACTTTTATCCAAAATCTATTAACAAATTATTGGTCATTGGTTCTGGGACTAGACTCAACAGTTACATATTTTAGGGCACTTAAAACGACACTACACTCATCTTTAGAGAATAGGCTGGATAAATTAATATACAATCTATAAAAACAGTCCGAATTCATTAAACCAAGAATGTTCGAATTCGATATCGTCACTGACATCTGACAAATAAAAACAATGACCTACGTGTTGACGACTGACGTCTTAAATGTTTAGTATAGCTTGACTCCGCTAGATAGCAGCATTCTCAATTTGTATTAACGTAAATTTATTTGGAAACTATATAAAACAAACTTAAAATTCGAGATCAAATTAATATGCTCATTGTTTGTATTATATTTATTTATTAAAACTTTGTTGCAGAAACGAAATACAATTGACATAATTAAATTAAATGGTTTATTGGCGGGCTTATCGCTTTCGAGCGATCTCTTCCAGGCAACCACTTATATATTGTAATTTATTTAATATCGTTAGGTAAATATGCATTTAGGCCGCGGTGCATTTAAGTCGATCAAATCTCAATATTTACAATAGTCAATTTCTAATAAGGCCAATTGTCATAATATAATTGTCAGAGTTCAAGATGTCGGACGATTGTGGTTTACTTTTTTGACAAAAGGAAATTTTTCTTATAATAATCTAGAGAGAGTGACGTTGTTCCTTGTAAAATATCTACTAGATCTCACTAAGTAACTGTAAGTTCATGAATAAAATACATAATAATTATTAAAACGTTACGTTTTCCGTCGAATTCGCAGTGAATGTGCGTCGTCATGCGTGCAATGTCTATCAACGTTTTGTCAATTTTGCTCTTTTTGTGATCGTAGGGTTATTCTTAAAAACTGTATCTGATTACGTTGCAGGCGGTGCGTAGCCCAAATTAAGTTCTCAGAATGGTGAAGAAAAAGAGACAGAGCGATCCATCGGAAAACGGTGATGAATCGACTGAATCTTGCGATGAAACTATTAAATCCACATGCCCTCACGTTGCGAAGGCCGTGGACCTAGCAAAGTTGAAAAGAGCTCTTAAAACTAGTGGATTTGAAAAGGAATGTGCCGAATGCAAGAAAAATCCGAAAACCGAGGACGACGACCCGAATTTTGAGATAGATTTGTCTTTATGGATGTGTCTTCGTTGTGGGGGCCAATTATGTGGAAGAGCCCGAAATAAGCACGCCCTTAACCACTTTAACACGCCACACTCTGACTGTCATGCCCTCACTGCTAATACAACCTCTTGGGAAGTGTATTGTTATAACTGCAACAATGAAGTCACAGCTACTAGTTCTAAAAAACTGCATGAATGTATTGAATATCTTAAAAAACAGGCTACTGGAAACCCTAGACTACCACCTATAGAACTGTTTCTTGACCCTCAAAACAAGAATATAGAAGTCCCATTAACTGTAGAAAATATAATTAAAACCGATAAGCTTAAAGATAAAGCTATGGCATTAAATTTACCTAGGGTTAGAGGCCTGTCAAACCTAGGTAATACTTGCTTCTTTAACTCAGTAATGCAGTGCCTAGTGCAGACTCCATATTTGTTGGATGTGTTGCAAGAGATGGCTGCACCAGGGGAGAGATTTACATTACCAGGTGGAAAATTAAAGCTCAAAGGTGAAAATGGGGATGATGGAAAGGAAGTTGACCTTCCTCCAATTACAGGACAACTTGCAGAGTGGGGACCTTTAACTAGGACACTGGCGGAAACATTGGCTGAATTACAGACAGGTATGTTCTTTTACAGTACACAGGTGATATAAAATCATTTAAAACAATTTTATATAAAATAATTTAAAACAAATAAATGTCTTCATTTCAATCTCTTGAATAGTTATTAAGGAAAACAAAATAATTACTTCCTTATTAGAATTGTAATTTTACAGGTAAATTGTAAGTTTAAAGTTATTTTTAAATAAAGTAGCATCATTATAAGAAATTTACATTGAAGGGAATCCATTCTAGAATATTTCATGTTAATAAAATAATAAATAATGTGGAATATATATTCTAAAACATTCAAATATATAAAATTGCTGTTATGTATTTTAACCTGTTGTTTGTATTGATATTACATAGTGCCATTTTGACAAAACAGCTAATTGAGATGAATATAATTATTACTTTTATAATTAATTAATTTATGTAATGTATTTTTCATGTAATTTAAAATGCGATATAAGTTTTACTAAGTATTTTTACTGACCTATATATCTCATGCCATTTCACTAAAGAGATATGTTAAATATTTATAGATACCACATTCATAGATATATTTAGAATAATGCTTCACAAATGGGTGATAGTCATTTTCTAAATTAGTCTCATGTAATTTTGTGCACTAAGCAACAAAAGTATTTATTAAATATTGAGTTAATTCAATTGTAATATAAATAGATCTTTTTTATAAGTAGGTTTGATTAAATATTGATGCCAGTTAAGATGAAGCAAAAACTTGGAGCTTCTGGGTGATATCTACTGTGCATTACTAAGTACTCCCTGGGTCTGGCATAATAATAAGAACTTTAAATGTGTAAATTAAGAGATAACTAAATTATCCTAAGACATTATTAATTTAAATATTATGTAAATACATATGAACTATGTTGTGACATAATAAAAGGGTTTCAAACTGATTACATAAAAGGAAGCCATTTTATTTAAGCTTGCTTAATTTAACATTGAATGGAAATTGCTAGATTTTTCTATAATCCTATATATAGTTTTTTGATAAACATAGTACATCTCAATATACTGCTAACTAATGTAGGTTCTATAGGTAAAAAATGTATTTAGAGATTTTTTTTAAATCAGACCTGTTTTACTTGTGATACTTTTATTTTCTCTAACTGTGGTATATGTTCAAGACCTACAAAATTTTGAAAGCACCACACAATCAACCAATAAAAATGTCATGTCATGTCACAATTTAATTAACCATAATATAACATTTAAATTCATATTGTCTGATCAATGGAGGCTGTTGATCATGAGGAGGATGTTAATAACCCAAAATAACTACTGTTTTTCTTAGTTCATGAATTTATTACTAATATTCTTAAATCAAATAGATATGTATATAGAAAATTACTTGATTTGGTTAATTTTTTCAGGTGAGGGTGGGGTGTACACTCCACGTAAGCTGCTCTCGGCTCTAGTCAACAAGTTACCACAATTTGGTGGTGGAGATCAGCATGACTCACATGAACTCTTGCGACACTTACTTGAAGCTGTCAGGTTAGTTAGTATTTGTTGTCCTGGTCAATTATGCACGTAAATTTTTGTGAGAAAAAAGGGAACAATTTTCATTAGATTGTTCCTTTCGATCAATGAAAACAACTAGATATTCTCACACTGGCATCAGCATTTCTTGGTAGCGTTTTATTTATATAATAATACATCTGTATCATGCATTATGTAATTTTATTCAAAATAGACAAATATCTTAAATATTGATGGTTAAAAAGAAATCTGGTCAGCCATGCCCTCAATTAAGTTTACAATGATGCAATTATCATAATTAAAATTTTGATAAACCAATTATAATTATGATAAACTAATTATACAACCAAATTTGATAATTTAACATTGACCAAACATATTATGTAAGATACATATGTTTTCCTTATGAACATATGTTTACAATTGAATGATTTCTTAGATATCTTTAAAAAAGAGGGGGTTCTAATTTGAACTGCTTATTATGTGTATCACAGAGCTATAGGTGCCTTTATAGATTAATTGTAGGTTTTTTTTTTTATACATTCTAGAAACATTTTAAGATTTGTGTGTGTGCTTTGTTGAAACTGATGAAGGCAATTTGTCGGTAGCTTTTTATTTTAAAGAAAATTTGAATATATTTAATGTGTATAATAATATAGTTTCTACTGCAAAATAGATTTAGAATTATTCAAACAAATTGCAACAAATACAAAAAAAATAATGAAAATGTCTCTAGTTCTTTAATTAACTTTAGTTAGGTAATTAAAATTTGGTATTAACCTAACCAAGTTGGGTTTGGGCTAAACAATTATGTGTATGTTTTAATAATTAATTTATAATTACCAATACCAAACAATTATTGTTTTGCTGGGAATCAAAACGGTCCAAGCTTTTACTGTAATTATGTAAATAATTTGTAATATTTAATTACAGATCAGAGGACCTTCGTCGTTACCAATCGGTGATTTTAAGCAGCCTTGGTATGAACTCCAAGGTTGATCCGTCCAAAGTGGATGGTGATCTGAAACAGAAAGTCAAGTTTTATGGACAGCAGGCATCGGATACTATGCTTAGACCTGAGCAGGTTATTTTTTTAATTGTTAACAAATTGGTGTTGGGTCAAAGGAATATAGAATAGTTCATGATCAGCCTTCTACGCTTTGCAACTATACAATAACTATAAAATATTTGTATGTAACAGAAATAATTAAATATTTATTATTATTGTAAATTGTCATCAATCATAAACAACTTTGAAATTCTTTGAGAGAACCGGAATTATTTTAAAAGATATGACTAAAACAAACATACCATTACGCGAAACAAAAACCATTAAAAATATGTTTTAATATACATTGCAGGTGTTCCGTGGATTTCTAGTGTCAACACTGGAATGTCAGGAATGTTACCAGCAATCAGACAGAGCCGAGTACTTCCTTGACTTGTCTTTGCCTGTAGCAGCTTCACGACCACAACCACCTGCCCTTACCAGGAGAAGAGCAAATGGTAGGTTTTATATAGACTATTTTTTGTAGATAAATGCATCGCCCCTAGAATTGTCGCTAAATTTCGCGTTAAGGAAATAGTGAATAATCGTTACATGCCGACCCCCCCCAACCAGAATTATAAAGACAAGTTCACAGTGGCCAGTTTTAGGAAGATCATCAAATAATAATTTACGTATGATATAAGAGTGATAGCTAAATGAAATTTACAAGAGGAAAAGCCTGTAAGCTAAGGATATTTGTGTTTTCCATTTCTTTAATAATATTTAAAAAAAAACTTGCACCTGTAGGTTTTATGTTTTAATGTCAAAAAGGCTAAGTGTTTAAGCTAAGTATTAAAAGAGAAACAATTGTTTATCGTCATTATTTTCAAAGATACACCAAAAAATTACCTAAAAAGCGGACTTTCACCAGAAACAGAAAAAATTATAACTCCACTTTAAAGTTCGGTGGTGGTTTACATTTGGTTTGCGCTTCTAATTATTTGTATATTTTATATAAACCTTAACTCAAGTTAAGTTAGATACCTCTCCTTAACTACAAAAAATCCTAGAAGATACATGGGTGATTTGGGTTCCTCTAAAGCAGCAGAGGACCACTCGAGCAGTTCCTGAGCAAACCGCATATTGCAGTCGGTCTTGACTGCAATATGCGGTCCGTCTATGGCCCGCTTAAGGATGCTCTATCTCTGGACCACCACATGGCAAACTATTTTGAGCTGTCAAACATTTTTTACGACGGCAATACACAAGAATAATGTTTTTTTTTAAATTCGATTCATAAGAGTAAATAGTTAAACATGACTTTACTCCCTCTTTATTAATCTTTGCTCCCGATGCTTTCAAACCACTTCCCTTTTGTTAGTGACTAATGTGTTACGTCCCTTTAACCACTGTACACTGCATGAACCTTTTCAGACGAATCCACATTCAATGTTCAAGATGAGAACAAACCTTCTAAACATCAGCTCAAGAAAGAGAGACTCGCTGCCAAGAAAGCTTCTAGAAGGAACAAAGGTTTGTTACTTTTTCCTATATAGTGATTGGGTAATTTAAAGTTTCAACAACAATTCATCAATATATATTTATTTATTAAGGTTCATCAAAGAATATATAATGAATTTTCTACAGTATATATCGCAAGCTCTCTATTCTAAAATACATGACAATTATGCTGAACATAATTTTAAAAATACAATTATAATATTACACTTCCAATTTAAGTCCTCACTAGTAATATCTTGCTTAACAATGCTTTTTTTTTTAAATTGGTCAGCCCACTACCGATTATATCAAACTAGTATTTAAAGAGAAGACCTTGGAATTTGGAAAATTCTTGGAAATCTTGATAGTTGCGTACCTTTGTTTAAGATTCTCAAAATTTTATCTCTTCACTGTATGTGTATTTAAGAAATGTCCTTATTCGTTCAAAACAACATACATATTTTTATATCAACGGGAATGGACAACTGTTAAAGTAGACATGGGGAGAAATTGGCTAAGCCAAAAATTGATCTGGAAATGTATAGGTTCAATCAAGTTTTATAATAATGTACCAAAAACATTTAAAGATCTTTTCCGACTAGAGTTTTTAAAAATCGACTATTATTCTCTTAATTTTCGTAAAATATTATAATTAATATTAATTTGATAACGTAATAATATATTTTAATAATGTGATATGTGTGGCAGAATATGCGAACTTTAGATTGTACCACCATAACATTTTTGTACCATATTCATTACCACATTCACCATATGCAAATAAATTATTATTATTCCGTATTTGACCATTTAATATCAATTAGTTAGTATTTGTATGACTAGAGCTGAACTCAATTTAATCTTAATATTTATTTTCAGGCACTAGAGACAAATCTACAGAGGTGAACGGCAAGGAAGACGGTAAATCATCTTCTGAGCAGTCTGACGCTGACGTCGAGGACAACTTGGACGAAATGCCCAAGATTGCCCAGAACCAGACTTCTAACACCCCATCCGTCGCCCACACTGCAGCTAACTTTGCAGCCTACCACATGGAGTCTGGCTACAATTCGGAAAAAGTCATCAGCTCCGACTCGATCAGAACCAGCCCGGTCGATTTAGACAAGGAGAAAACTGATAACACTCCAGAATCAACCGATAAAGACAAGGACTTCGCCGAAGCGGCCTCGTCGACCGTAGCCCTCGATTACAAACCCCTGAGCCGCCTGGAGAACCTCTCGAACCCGGATTCGGGAGTGGCCAGCCCCGATGCCACCAAACACAACTCCACAGAGACGGTGGACAACGTCGACTCGCCTATCAACGGAAAGGAATTGGGAAGTCACAGCTCCCTATCCAGCGAAATCAATCTGGATCTCTCCAGCCCCCTGCATAAGTTGTCCCCGATCAAGAACGACTACGAAAGACCGGTGTCGAGAATATCGTTCGCTCCCGAGTACACGAACGAGGTCGTCTCTCGCGGCATCAGCACCCAAGGATCGAAGGACCTCTTGGAGAACAATTGGGAGTTCAACGCCGTCGGCCCGCAGAACGACATAAACAATCAGGAAGTCAGCAGCAAATTGGAAAAGCTGAAGTTGGATATGGACGACATTAAGCCCAAACCGACTCTGCCGTCGCCCGTCGACGACGCGCCACCGGCTTTGCCTCGATCCAATCTCGAACCCGAGAGGAATTTCGGGGGAGCGAGTCGCGATTTCATGTCATTCTCCAGGCCGAGTCCTCTCTTGCCGAGATACGTTTGCGACGAAGACGAATGCAGCATTCAGTCTTGTCTCAGCAATTTCACTGCGCTCGAGCTGTTGACGGACAACAACAAAGTCGGCTGTGAAACCTGTACGGAGAGGACCAACGGGAAAAATGGGAAGACTGTCTACACCAACGCTTCGAAGCGCTTCCTCGTGTCCAGTCCGCCGGCTATTCTCATCCTGCATTTGAAGAGGTTCCAGATCGGCCCGCGGTGCATGTTTCGGAAGATGTCCAAACACGTGGACTTTCCGACGATTCTCGATTTGGCTCCGTTCTGCGCCATGGATAAGCTGAAGAAGCTCCCGAACGTCAATCGCGGTCAAAACGAATTGCTGTACTCCTTATACGGGATCGTGGAGCACTCCGGGGGCATGCACGGGGGGCACTACGTGGCGTACGTTAAAGTGCGTCAGGCCGTCAAACGGGACGATCCGAAATGGTGGTTTTTGCCCAAGAGTGCTAACATACCCGCTTCGGGGAGCGGCGACGGCGACGGCGATTCGGAATCCGATCTTTCGGGTTACGAATCTGGCGAAGGAGCTACTCCGAGCGCGGAAGCTCCCGCGGGAAGATGGTTCTACGTCTCCGACAGCATGGTGTCCGAAGTGACCGAAGACAAAGTATTACGGGCCCAAGCGTACCTTCTGTTTTACGAAAGGATTTTATAAATCAAGCCCGGCCTAAGATTTCTACGGATGGCATTTAAGTGGAAGACTGACGCTTTGTAGGGTCGGAATGAGTAAGATTTGTTAAGTTTAATGTTCTGTATATAGTTTTTAAAGGCTTGTCATTTTCTCTAATTTGTATATTAATTAGGAGTTTCATTGATTTTACTTTGTACAATAGTAATTATTTGTACATTTGCAGTTAAAATTCAACTGTTCGATATGATTTGAACGGTTTCCAGACGGTTCCTACATTTTTTCTTTGTAGCTTCGGTCTTGTCTTATATTTAAACATAGTAAAATATATGCTGTATAATATTATCATTTTCTCTAAAGGTGCTCCTACATACTATGAACTGTATCACTTTATCATTGTAGATGCACCTTTATTTTTATAAGGGATCTTATATTACCTTCTCGTAGTCAAAGTAATATGTTATCAAAGATTCTTTCATAGTAATTGTGGATGTCAATAATTTTGCTTGTCGGCAAAAACGTAGATTTTAAACGTTTGGGACTCGTAAAGGGATAGTCTTCCATTGGTTGTCAAAGTCTTTCATACCGTTTTATTGTATTTATAATTTAAATGCGTTTTTATTTAATGCTATTACGTTGAATCCTGTACTGTATTAATTTTTTATGCTTCATTACTCTAATAAAATAGTTTTACCTCAATTAATCTTTCAATGCCCTGTTCTTTGTCGAGGTTACTTGAATAATATTTCTTATTGATATAAAGTCAACATTTTTCTACGAAATAGATTAAAATAAGAGGGTAGTTGCCGCCAAGTTATGAAACCATTGGAGTATGTAGTGGTATTTTTGTAGTGGAGCAATGGCCTAGTGGCTTCAATGTGCGACTCTCAACCCTGAGGTCGTAGGTAAGATTGGCTGTGCAGTGTGCACCAATGGAATTTCTATGTGCGCATGTCAAATTCGCTCGAACGGTGAAGTAAAACTTGCCTATTAGATTGACAAATGATCATGAAATCTGAGGCCCAGACCTAAAAAGGTTGTAGCACCACTGGGTTTTGAAGTTATACTTCTTTAGGCGCGTTATGAAAAATTTATGAGAGTGAAATTTTACGATGCGCGCGCACCGTGACACAAAATTATCAGTATGAAGTTGCCCACGGAAGATGCTACGGCATTGGACATAATTTAAAAACAACATTCGAATAATAATAGAATTTATGTTACACTTAATGTAAGAGAATAATAATAAATATTGAATTTTTCAAATGTAAACTGAACTTTATTGACTATAGTGACTCCTTTTCCAGTCTTTGATTATTTAATTGTAATTAATTATTTGCATGCAATCAAAAACTATTTTCAATAATGCCAAAGAAGTATAACTTCTTACGCGCGGGTTTTTAGTAGTATTTTGATATATTTTCAATAAGGTTTGTAAGAATTCGATGCGGTCTTTTTTTTTAAATTTGTGGTGAACTGTCTCCTCTTCCAATTCAAAACAATATAACTAACAACTTATTGAAAAAAGTAAACCACATTAAGTAAACAAATCTGTTTTGATTTGAAGACGGTTTACACTCGTAGGTATAAAATTATTAAGATCAATAAATAAAAATTAAATTTTATTATAAACAGATAACAACAATATTTTTTCTTAAACTATGGATTGTTGTCTTTCCTTCAGTAAATGAACATGTCGGCTGTCAAATGGAATGAGCTGAGTAATTTTTGGTACATCAAAGAAAGTTATTTCTATGATACAGTATAATGCTTGAAGTGAGTGTTTCGCTTTTTCTAGGGCCTGAAAAAAAATATATTTGTGAAATCCAAAGTCTATAAAATTTTAAAATTATGTGTGGCAGAGTGGGCTTAATAATGGCAACATTTCTTTGCTATAATCTAAATAATGCACACACTGAAAAAAAAATGCCAGAGGTTCCCAAAATGTGAGATTTAAAAATTTATTGTGTTTTAATGTTCAGTTATAAATCTGGCGCAGGCCTTATAATATGGATCGTAACTACAAATTAATATGGAATAATACTAACCAGAGTCCGATCATTAGGCAAGACCTTATAAGAAAAAGAATAAAATATACCCAACGTGATTTTATTAAGACAAATATAGAGTACGGTTACATTTAAAACAAATTCTAAAAGTGGAGATTTTGAAGTGAAACTACTTTAGGCGCATGAGGGTAAATTTTTTACGGAACGTCACGAAGATGTGCAGCGTTTTTGTCGAAGAAAAGGGAGAGAGCGATTAAAAGGGCGAACGTAGCATGAAGCAAATAGCCATGGAGCTAGAGAAGGGAGCAAGCAAGTGAGAAAGATCAAGAGAGTGAGATAGCGCGAACCTCGCATCACGCACAGTGCCATGGAGCGAGAGGAGGGAGAGAGCTATAGTAAGAATGATTGAGAGAGAAAGTAAGGGAGATCGAGAAAAAATACACGCTATTGGTTGATGTATTCGTTTAGTAGTTACGTATTAGAACTTTAGATGGCAATTCTGTCGCATAACGTCTTGTGCAGTAAACGCAGATTTTTTTATTTATGTATACTATCATTAGCAAGTATACAGTGTGAATATAGATATGCAAATACATGGAGTGATCATATTCTGGTACATAATCATCTATTGGGGCTTTTACCTTAGTGATAATTAATTTATAAAGAAGTTTCACTTCTGACATGTGTACTTTGTACGCACGCACTTATTTTTATTTAGCCAACGACCCTCATAAAATTTACTTACCGATATAGCCTTCTCTTTCAACTCTGGCTTCTTCGCTATCTCCTTCTTAATATCCGCCATTTCCTGCGGTGTTATCCCCACAAGCTTTGACAGCACATCACTAGTAAACTCTACATCTATCGCTCCGGTGCCGTCGACCAAAGTGCATTTCAGACTCCACCCCTCTTTACCCACAGACAACTTTGACAGTAATTTCATTATTTGCCCTTTTATTTGAAACGCTTTCCCCACTTTGTCATAAACACTCAATTCATTAATTTGTCTTATATAAACGAATGGCTCCGGCGAGACTTCAATGGGAAGCTTCTGCATCTCCTGCTCATCCAACTTCAATTCTAATTCTTTCAAATAGTCTTCATCTTCAAACAGATCATCCTCTTCTGGATAGTCATCTGCCGTGTTCAATTTGAACTTTTTTTCTGGTTGAGAATCAGTGTTATCGCTAAGTCTTTTGTATGGTTTATCGCTGTGCACTTCTCCGGACATAGTCTCAGTACTGTGACCAGCATATGGTGTTTTAAACATTCCATTACTATGTTGAGTGTTAGTATTTGGACTTTCACTAAATTCTGCTTCTATAGCTGCTAGTTGATCTAAGTCGAAATCATCATCATCATCATGTACTTGGATACTTTTGACTCTCGCAATGGGCCGGGTGGTTTGATCAAATTTTGGCTCATTTGGTGGTGGAACTTGCCTATGTGGGGAAGGTATGTCAGTATTTCGTCTACTTATTGTTGTGTTTAAATTTGATTCTGAAATAGATGTTCAATGTTTATTATTTATTTATTCACACTTCGTTGCATTAAAAAAGCAAATAACACAATAAATAAAAATTATAAGGGATACAACGGGCGGCCTTATCGCTAACAAGTGATCTCTTCCAGGCAACCTTAGTAAGGGAAAAACTAAATAAATATGCAAAGTAAGTTATATAAAAAAATATAAAACCTTAAATCTAAAGTAATACAAAGAAATATTAATAAAACAAACTAAAAAGCTAATCTCGCGGATTCATGAATGGCGATGCAATACGAAAGAAAAGGAAATAATAGAGTTACACAAGTCACGATTGATCAGGATAGGATAAGGTTAAGAAATGTTTATGCAGAAGAGTTTTAAAAGATGATAGGAGCCAATCATATGGAGTCAGGCAGCCTATTCCACAACTTAATAGCGGAGATCCAAAATGAATTGCCTATGAAGGATGAGCCGTGGGATGGAAGTATTTAATTCATTAATGTATGTCACTTATTGAAGTGAAACTTCTTTAGGCGCATGAGGGTACGAAAACGTCACGAAGATGTGCAGCGTGTTTTTGTCGAATAAAAGGGAGAGAGTGAGAATTACCTTAGAAATCGAAATTCTATTTTTAAAATTAAAATTTCGTAAAGAGAATTTATGAAATATTATTTTTTTTTTTTTTTTTTTTTGTTGTATCTGCTTCATGGCAATCTGCTATCCAGCAATAAGCCACTTGTTTGTTTGATTTTACTCAGTTCATGTTATCCTCAAGAGCCATACTCGACATAGAGCCACGACTCTCTTGATGTTAAGAGGTAAATCTTTTATATAGGCTCGGTACGTCCCTTCTTTTTAGCCGCTTATGCTGAAGACCGCCTTCTCCGCTCAGAGCGTGTGCCAGTTTATTTACATGGGAGGTCAGCTTCTCCTGGTATTTCAGGCTGTTTTGAGCTATTTCCTGTCGAACTGTTTTTAGGCCGAGGTCGAGGTATATGTACCTATTGCTTATACAATGTGGGATGCCAAACATTGTTCTCAGAGCTTTGGTCTGGAATCTCTCCAAGATATCTATGTTACTGTTGCTGGCCGTTCCCCACAGTTGTATCCCGTAAGTCCAGATTGGTTTTAAGGTGGTTTTATACACTAGCATCTTGCTGTTGGGATTAAGTTGTGATTTGCGTCCTAGTAACCAGTTCAGTGTCCGCAGCCTTCCATCCAGTTGTTTGCGCTTTGTCCAAATATGTTTTTGCCATGTAAGTTTCCTGTCTAGGTGCATGCCCAAGTATTTTGCGTTATTTTCTTGAGGGATAACTTTGCAGTTTAGCGTTACCGGAGGACATGTTTCTCTCCTAAGAGTAAACGTTACATGTACCGATTTGCTCTCGTTGGCTTTAATTCTCCAATGCTTCAGCCACCTCTCAACTTCTATCAGGTGGTTTTGCAACTGTGATGAGGCCGTTTCTGGGTTGCTATGAGCCGACAGAAGCGCCGTATCATCAGCGTATGTCGCAGTCGTGGTGTAGTTAGTTGTTGGGATGTCTGCTGTAAAAATGAGGTATAGTATAGGGCCCAATATACTACCCTGAGGGACACCTGATTTTAATTCGTGTACTTCTGAGAGATCATCGCCGTACTTCACTTGGTAGCATCTTTTCTCTAAGTAGGATTTCAATATTAGGAATAGACAATGTGGAAGATGCTTCTTTAGCTTGAACAGGAGGCCGTCATGCCATACCTTATCAAACGCTTGGCTGATATCCAAAAAGACTGCAGAGCAATATAATTTGTGTTCAAGGCACCTGCTAATGGTGTCAACTATACGGTGTACCTGTTCAATTGTCCCGTGTTTTTCCCGGAATCCAAATTGGTGGTTCGGTAATAGTGTACTTAGATGTTCTTTCATCCTGTTAAGCAATATCCTCTCAAACAGTTTGCCAATAACTGGTAGCAGGCTGATAGGTCTGTATGAAGCAGCTTCGTGTGGGGGTTTACCGGGTTTCGGCACCATGACTATATGTGCAATTTTCCATTGCCCAGGGAAATGTTCAAGTCTTAAGCTAGCATTAAAGATGTTAACTAATTTCATGATACCTTTATGAGGCAAGTTTTTAAGTAATGTGGCATCAATCAGGTCATAGCCGGGTGCTTTACCATCCTTGAGGTTCCTAATTTCTTTCACAATTTCTTTTGGGCTGGTACTTTTTAGTGGTAAACACATTTGATTCGCTGACTCGAGGTATTCTTTGATTTCCAAAGTATGTTCGGGATTGTTTTCAGGGAGTGGTTGGAAAACTGTTTTCAGATATTCCGCAAAGATTGTTGCCTTTTCTTTATCTGATCTAGCCCATCCTCCTTTTCCATCATTGATAGGTGATATATGGTTTTTCGGGCGCTTTAGATTCTTGGTAGCCTTCCATAGTGAGTAGTTTGTGTCTCTCGTTGGATCTAGATTTGAGAGATAGTGTTGAATATTATCATTTTCTAGGGTGCTGATAAGAGCTTTGAGTTCATTTGAGTATCTATTGAATGCAGTTTTATCACTTGGATATCCCGTAGTATGCCAGATTTTTCTCAAACGTCGGCGCTCGTGTATTTTCTCTTTAATATCTTTTGGATATGAGTTATGTTTCAGAGGTTGTCCATTACCTGTCCTTTTTGGAGTTGCAGAATTGGCAGCAATGTGAATATTCATATTAAGTTGTTCCAGTTGTCTTTCAAGTTCTTCTATTGTATTAATTTTGGTCTTTAGTTCTGTCTCTGTTGTGATTATACTTTTGTAAATTGTCCAGTCTGTAGTGTTCGAGTTGTATATCCTTAGGGGCGGTGCTACCAGATTAACTGTTGTAGTAACATTCAATATAACTGGTGTGTGGTCAGATGTGAGATCTATTCGAGGTTCTATGTTTAAGTAGTTACTATCTATGTTTTTAACAATAAAAAAGTCCAATAAGTCTGGGATTCTTTGTCTGTCGGTAGGCCAATAGGTAGGTTCTCTGCCGGAGTGACATTCTAATTTCATCTCTACTGTGGCTTTATAAAGTTGCCTTCCTCTGGTATTATTCAGCCTAGATCCCCAATTTAAATGTTTAGAATTCCAGTCGCCAGCACATATAAATCTGTTACCCAGTGTAGAAAAATATTTCGCGAAGTCGTTAGAAGATATAGTATGTTTTGGAGGACAATACACAGCGGAGAATGTAGTTTCTAGTTTTCTGTCTACAAGTTTAATAGATGTAGCTTGTATTTTTTCTGTTCGGTATTCCTCTATTGGGTAGTGTTTAATGTTGTTTTTAATAATTACTGCTGTTCCTCCATGGCTGTTCCCAGATGGATGATTGGTTGTGTATACTGTATAATTATTAAAGTTTATGTGTGTTTTCGGTGTGAATCTTGTTTCAGAGATTAGTGCTATGTCAATCATTTCTGTTCTGAGAAAAGTTTCTAATTCTTGACGTCTTTCGGTCAAGCCGTTGGCGTTCCAAGTTACTACTTGGAGGTTTCGGGTCATTTTTTCACCAGGCTGCTGACTAGCTGGACCATGCGGTCCATCATTTTGTCCATGAGTTTTTCCATCATTGTCACCATTGAATGTTGTAGTTTTTCAAACATTATGTCCATTAAATCAGAAAAGTCGCCCAAGTCGTTCTTTGTGTCTTGCTGAGTATCTTGTTCTTTGGTTTTTGTTGCTTCTGAATAAGTTTTGGTTAAGCTTTGATTGTCTCTGCGGTTAGTCTTAGTACCCAGGCGGGGATCCGGGTTTTTGGTCTCTTTATTGTTAGGCATTGGTTTTTCTTTTGACTTAGGATCTAATTTAAGAATTCTTTCTCTATACCGTTTGTACACTTTGCATCCTTTGTAGCTAGCGGGGTGTTTTTCATCACAGTTCGCGCAAGTAGCCTCAGTGTCTGGTTTTTTTGTACATGTTGTTGTGGGGTGAGCGCTACCGCATTTAACACAGCGATAGGGCCTAAAACATTGGTTCTTGGAATGCCCAAATCTCTGACATCTCTTGCACTGAATGATTTCCTTTTTCTTATATGGGGCTTCAAAAGTAATCTTCATGTTATTCAAGTATTTCACATCGAAAATGGCTTTGTTGTTTGGCTTTGGTTCTAAATCGACATAAAATACAGGCAACGGTTCCTTTGTAACACGATGTCTGATATTGACTATTTGTCTCACTTCATGTCCAATTTCATATAATTCTTTTGAAATTTCTGTGGTATTTTCTGATGCATGGAGTCCGCGTAGTACTATTCTATATGCTCTCTCGCTTTTAAGCTGGTAAGTGTAGTGTGAGATATTATTGGCAATGAAGTTCTCTCGGATCATTTTGTATGTCTGGATGTCTTTAGGTATAATTTTTATAACGTGTCCAGATCTAAGTGTGGTCATGATGTAAAGTTCGTTCTTTATAAATTTGTTAAGTACATCTTTAAGGGAGTTTACGTTAATTACGCCAGTAACAAAGATGGGTTCTGGCTTTGGTACATACACTTTATCTGTATTGCTGGTTCTATCCGTAGGCTCCGTATCAAGTAGTTCAAAACTATTGCGTGTAGGGATCACAAAGTCTGGGGAATTTTTCTGTTTTTTAATCCCGTCGTTGTGAATTGGACTTGTTTCTTTCCTTTTCTTTCTCCTGATGGGAATTTCATCCCTTTGCCATTCGTATGACGTTATGTTGTCACTGTCAAATTGGGTCTCGGACTGTGAATCCAGGTTATCTTTTTCCTTGTTATGTTGGTTGGAGTCTTTAAGCTTTGCTGGCAGAGACGATGTCGAGTTGCTTCTGTTCCGTATAAACATGCTTTCATGCAAAGTTTGTTGGATCATGTTATTAGGGTTGGTCGGTTTTTTAGAATTTGGTAGGGTTTGTTGATTATTTGTAATTAATTGGTTCATTTTAGTCCCACGAGTAAGGCCGATATAACAGGTCACTAGGAAGGTGACGCCTATTCTCCCTAGAAGGCTAATACAACGACGTTTGCCAGGTCCGTCGAAGTGGATCGTTTGCGACTGGTCTCCCACCAGCCATGCAGTCTCTTGGCACGAATCTCACCGTAGACTTAGGGTGATTTTTTTATAGAAGTTGTCTTCTTCATAGTCCGGGCAATTAAGCCAAGACTACCGATCCTGCGAGCAGCGTTAACAGGGTTGCGGTTTGTGGGAGTCATTTCCTACTCTCACTGTTAGACCAAGCTGGTTAGGCTGGTTTGGTCGGGTTAATTTACCGCCGCCCGAGACCCGGCGTTGTTATTCATTTGGCACCACCCAGGGGGCACGTGTAGGGTAGTGGTTAGGTAGTTCCTACGGACGCGAATAACTAGACCCCCTATATTTATTTTAAAAAAAAAAAAAAAAAAAAAAAAACGTGGAATTTTAATGTAAAATTCGTCATTTAAGATTTCAATAAATTATTTTGCATAAAATATAAAATACTAATATTTCATACTGGTCAAAAGTATGAAATATTAGTATTTTATATTTTATGCAAAATAATTTATTGAAATCTTAAATGACGAATTTTACATTAAAATTCCACGTGATTTTTTTAATGTAAACTAAAATTATGAATTTATTTATGTTTTATTTTTATTATACTTATTTATTTATTAGTTCCTGATTATCAAACTGACGGTGTTTTAGTTATATATATTTTTTTAATATTTATTCATATTGTAACTACTTGACCCGTAAACTATATTGAGTAAATAATCAGTTTTTAGTATACTTCTCAGGCCTTACCTTGAGTTATGGGAAGACCAAGTTTTGTTGAAAGTAATCCAGCCAACGAATTAGAGACTACTATTTCCTGCACCTCACCACCGAGTAGTTCTACTGAGCCCTCTGTTAGTAGCATCATACCACGCCGACATTCTATTGGACCTGTAAGATTTTAATAACCCAAAATCAAATTCAAAATAACTTTACTCATATAGGTAACCAAGTACACTTATGAACGTCAACAGAATATATGTTAAATTGATTCTAAATTTACATTTACTACCAGTATGCAAGACAAGTCGAACTATTTCCGAATCGTTACGACTTAGGCGTAGTGTACCACTACCTTAAAGGCCGGTTTCGCACTTGGATATGTTGTCCATTGGCGGCGCTAAACATGGCGGAATGGAATGGTCTTAAGATCATCTTTGGAAAAACAACAATCATGATTGTCGATCGCCTAAATAACAACTCTCCAGAAATCACATCTGTTGCAAACTGTGATGTCGTTGGTGTATTGATGAGATGTGGTTGGCAATGGATAAGCAGAAAAACAACAGGAACATTTCAAGAAATGCAATAGTCCGAATGTCTTTTCCTTGACTTTCTTTCGACTACGAAATTTGAGCCATCGTATTTCTTATCTTTCTTTACGCCGCTAAGACTATAAGAAAGATCGAGAAGAAGAATATAGACGCTTTCGAATTAAGAGCTCGAGATGAATTCTTGTGATATCATGGACCCAATTTAGACCCAAGCAATATTGATGAGTTAAGCAGCGTTCATGTTCCAATGTTCAGTCAATTCCTCTTTCTTTGGTTAGGAAAAGAATCTATAGAAGGTCTGGTGAGTCAGGGAAGGGTGGAAGGGACAAAAGCAGGAGCTGGACTGATCAAATTAAACCAACCTCTCTATAAAAGCACAAGACAGCTACCTGTCATGATTGCCACAGGGTTGTCACGAATAGTAACTCTAAAAGTATCAAACATGACCGCTCACATCGAGCTTCTAGAAGAAAATAGGCTGGCTGAATTAACTAGGACATACCTTTTACAAGAACCTTGCAGCCAGGTGTTATGTCACAGCTTAAATTTCTCATAGGTCTATACTCTATTCCCGTAACATCCTGAACTCCATCTGTCATGTAAAGCTTTATCATTCTGAAAATCAATAAAATAGTTTTAAAGAATATTGTATACAAAATTACAAGCTGATTTTTGAATAGCATAAAATTGCCTAAAGAAGCCTCAATTGATATGTGCCTAGGTATACTAGGAACAACAAAGAATTGCATGTCATAATTTCTTTTTTTCTTCTATATTACAATATCATCTTTATAATGTAGTTGTTTTTATGGATAGTAATGATTTAAATTATTATTATTGATAACTATGATATATATCAATCAGTAATATCCTGAGCTAATGCTTTAAGTGTTAGCAATAACTTGCCAAATTAGAAAATTGCAAATAAAACTGATAAAGAAACACCACTACATTAAGCACTTTAGTAAAAGTTGGTACATTTTTGCAATGGATTCTATAGACTTTTAGGATTTAGAAGAGATTTTAGGATTATTCTTGGCAAGTCTATGATGACATTCATCAATTTCATAAATATTACCTGTGATTAGAAACTTTTTCTTCAAATTTAGTTGTTGCATCAATGTTTTCAGTGTTAACTTTCTGTAATTTTAAATATTGTTGATAAGCAGGTGTACCTGAAATTTTTAGGGTATAAAGTGAAAACTTATATGGGTTTATTAGGTATATCCATAGAAATTTGTTATTTTTAATCATAATACCTATATCAACAACTGCATTTATTTGCAATATAAATCTGCCATTCAATGTTGTTTTGTGTTGATCTTTAAGATTTCCAGGAAGTGAGCCAGGACATATATCTTTCAAATCATTCAAGAGCCATTGCTCTTTTGCTAAATTCTTGATTTCTGTCTCAGTATGGCTGTTGTCTTCAATTAAAAACTCAACACATCTGAAACGAATAAAATAGATATAAGCTATATATATATGTTTTAGAATTTTTTTAATTGTATTAAGTATAATACAATATTTAGATTATCTAAATAGCTTACCCTGATAGCCATTCATTATCAACTAACATATGATTAGAGGCTAAAAACGCTCTAACAATGTTGATGGTACAGTTTAAAGACATTTTATTCGGGTGACAATAATTCTAAAAAAAAATTATATGTTTTTAATATATTATCTAATCTTAAATAAAAATTCATATTTTATTATTTTCCCTCTATTAATCTTATAAATCATGTCGAATGTCGATTGTCGTCTGTCGATTCAATCGTTTACATGTTAATTGTCAAAAGTCTAATTGATTATTTACTTTTTACTGTAAGAACTATTATCGAATATGATTAATGACAACGATTAAAACATAAACCTTTTGCAGTTCCGTAAATTTAGGAATTTATATGAAAAAACACTCCGTTTAAGTTACTGCAAGATTCATCATTTTCAAAACCACCTATTAAAATAGATTTTAGTATAAATACTAAAATCATTATGTTAACTCTATGGGTTACATTTATTATTTAATCTGTACTAGCCTATCATTTGGCGGCTGACAATGTTTTTGTGAGTCCTTAAATAGCAACATTATTATTTTGTGAACGCAAAAAAAGAGCTTGCCGAATTTTATTTCATCTCCCTCGTAAATACCGTAGGCTTATTGACAACAAAAAGAACCACTGAAAACATTGTAATTTAAATGTTTAATTTTAAATAAGTGTTGTTTAACCGGAGCCAGTATTTGTGATTAACACAGTGGAGGAAAAAATATGAAGAGACGAAATGCCGAATCTGGCAAAATGCGGCGCCCAATAAAGCGCACAAAAATACCCGAAGGAATGTATGGAAAGTAAGTGTTTGGGTTTTTTCAGATTTATGGAGTGTACCAGCTTTTTAAATATACATTTGTATCTTGAATAACATTATCATTTCATCAAGTAAACCATAGCATCATGCAGGAGGTTTGAAAATGTGTGGGTTGTTGAAACCATCTGGTGGTCGCGGCACTCATGTTCTTACTTGTATGATGACAAAAAATAAAAAAGATCAAACAAAAACGTGGGAACCTTTCCTTTCTACTTATTCAATTCACTGGAGAGTTTTACAATGTCATTCTATTTCTGTACTATGTATTTTAGTCTTATTTGTAGTAAAAACAACATTTTGATTATTCATTTTGCATTAAATAGGTAGAATATATAACAATAATTTTAAATAATGTACAAATCATAGATTTATATGATAATGTTTTTTAAAATACTTATTTATGTGTATGTTGTTTATAATAAATAGTAACTTTTTAATTAATTAATTCTTTTTACAGTTCTGTATCATATGTAAAGTTCATAACGGCGTGGGCAGTTATTGTTGTGGCCGACTACATGTTGGAATTTAGATTTGAGTTTCTGTATCTATTTTGGATATTGATTGGAGCTTTGTACGACTCATTTAAATTTCAGGGCCTTGTAAGTACTAGGTTTTATTTTAATAAACTATTTATGTCAATAAAAATTATAATAAAGTGTTTTGGCCGTATCATAATGCTCCAGTTGAAAGTATATTAACTAATCTTTTATATAAATTTAATCATTTATAAGTAAATGGATATTAGTTCTACTGCCTTAACATTGGACAATTTTTTTAAATTGCGATTACAGAAACCACAATCTTAATATAATATAATAACCATTTTGTTTCAGGTATGCACTATTATATACCTATGCATGGTTCTGATATCAGATATGATATTTTTTTTTGTGATACCAATGCAGTATTTATATTTTGTAGCTGGTACTTATGTATGGATTCATTTTGTATGGAGCACAGGTTAGTATGATTACAATTATTAAAGATTTTAGATACTTTTGTAGATACTGATTTTAGACGTTTTTAATATGGACAAAGATTCATCAAATAACATAATCATTTACGTACTTTTAAAGCGTGTTTATCACTCATATAACAAATTTTGTGTAACAAAATATGGCAAAACATTTGTACATATATATCTATATATAATTTATGAAAGGCAATTTATATGTGGCTTAGCTTTTTTGATAAATTACTGAAATAGATAGTTATATGTGGGTGACACTGAAAATGTTTGGAATTGGTCAGTTAGAACATTCCTAATGAAAACTTTTTTTGAATTTCAATTCTAGAACTTCAGTAACCTAATGTAGTATATTGCATTCATTTGTCATTTGTTTTTGTGAATTGGCGGCAAATCTAAAACTCTTGTTACGCGTGAAAATGAACCTAAAGCGAGAAAATTTTCGGTCTATGATTTATTATGACTTTCGTTGTGGGCTTACTCAACAACAAAGCCTATCATTAGGCTGCAATTAGCATTTCTAAATGAACATCTCGTGCCACTATTTACAATTGGTTTAACGAGTTTATGCGTGGACGTAGCAATCTCAATGATAATGCGCGTGAGGGAAGTCCCTTAACAGCGACTACTGAAGATAACATCAGTGTGTTCGACGCATGATAGCGAAAGATAAGAGAGTCACCTCGCAGATACGGGCAAGCCTAGGCATCGGTATGAGTCAAGTTCAAAAAAGATTACACAAACATTTAGGCGTCAGGAAGCTTTGTACCAGATGGATTCCCCATACTTTAACTGACGATCAGAAAAACCTTCGCATGGACTGGTGTCGCCAAATGCTGGATAAGTTCAATGGCGGTGACTCAAATGCTGTATTTGACATGATATATTGCTACGAACCCAAAACTAAAGATAAAATTCGAGGTATTCGCTTTACGAGCTCTGAAGATGCGGTGAAAGCGTATGAAAATGCCATAGAAGAGACCCCTAAGGAAGCATGAGCCCAGTGCTTTTCTCATTGGTTCCATCGAATGCGACGATCTGTAGAGAGGAACGGAGATTACTTCGAAAAACAAAGTAGTTGTCAACTTTCTACATTAAGCCGTTTTTCATTTTTTAAACATTTTCAGTGTTACCTAGGTATTTCTAGGATGTCTAACTCTAATAGTCATGACATTAAGTGTGACTCCTGCATGTCAAAAATGTATCAGTATTGACATGCGGGAGTCGACCTAGCAGGTTGTCGTATAGCACATTTCTACCAAAATATATATTTTTTTCAAGGTATTTAATCCAATTGGGGCTATGACCAATGTGCTTTGAGTATGCCGTTGTGTTATGAAATACATAATATATCGGGTAGAGAAAAAGCTGAAATAATAATAGAATATCCCAAGTTTTCTTTAATAATTATTCACATACATGCTTATGATATATATTTTTTTTTATGGCTCTGGCACGGTTTGTGCATTAGCCAGTGTCAAGTATGAGGTTTTTATCATTCTTGCTTTTTGCCTTAGAAATTCGACGATGTCCTCCATGTACGGTTTAGGCACTCGCCCGGTACCGCACAACCCTCCCAAAGGCCGAGAACAAATTTAAATTAAATTAAAACTTGCCCTCGAACCGGGAATCGAACCCGGTGCCCCTCACCTAGCTGCCACTTAATAAGACCGCTAGGCTATGAGGCCCCCAACTTATGATGTTAATCATAAAATTATCTCTTTCCTTTATGTTCAAAGTTTATTTTATTTCAAAATAATTTGTGCACTCATTTCACGTTTGGGTCGAGCCTGCTTTTGCTTGCTAATTATTATTTTATTTTTAGTCGGCGAAAGAGGACTGTGTGTACAAACTGTAGCATTATGCTGTCTCATGATATATACAGAAGGCAGTGTGAGAAATAAAACAGGTCTTCCTGAAGTGTGTCGGCCGCTCGCTGCACATTGTATTGGTTATCCTGCTATGACCTACGGGTTTGGAATTAAGGTATGTTTAACTAATAATGTCTTAACTGAAATTTTATATTATGCTGATTGATTAATATTATAGTATCGGGAGTTTGGAAAAACATACTTTTATATACTTTTCGCCGCGCACCACCACTATGTGGAACCAGCTGCCCACTGAAGTATTTCCGAACCAATTCGACTTAGGGTCCTTCGAGAAAAGAGCGTACCAATTTTTGAAAGGCCGGCAACGCACTTGCGAGCCTTCTGGCATTGTGAGTGTCCATGGGCGGCGGTATCACTTAACATCAGGTGAACCACCTGCCCGTTTGCCTCCTATTACAAAAAAAAAATATATATATCATATTAATGATTATAAGAGTGGCGGAAAGTTTCTTGCCAGTCCTTCTTGCCCGCTCTACGCCCTTGACTTGCGAACTGGTAGTAAATGTAAATTTACAATTAATTTAACTTATTTTTTGGCGTTCATAAGTGTACTTGTTTACCTATATGAATAAAGATATTTTGAGTTTGAGTTTAATAATAGTATAATGGTGAAAATCTGGTAAAGTGTTTCGTCGATTTCCGAATCGGTATGATTGAATGAATACTTACTTTCAGGCATATATCAATCAGAGATTCCGGCTACGGCGGCAGCGGCAAGTTCGCGCCGAAAACGAGTTTTACTTCCAATTACTTAGGGACGCACTCCCGGAGAGTGCGCTGGAACAGGTGAGAGTCATGCAGTTTTACTATAACCTTTTTCGATAAATTCATATCAAAATGATTTTTTCTATATATATTTTTATTATGTGGACTACACATGATTCAACATGTATTATGTAATAATACTTAGTAGAAAAGTGTCTTGTATACTCCTACTAAAGGCTAGTTCCAATTACTTAGTATTTAAATTTTAAACCTTCTTAATTCATCTAGAATCAACAGGGAAGTAAAGAAGACCGTAATGTGAACGGTCCAGAGTTCGTGTCCAGTCCAGAAACGAGACTCATGAACGGGTCGGTCAAGAAGAGGTTTAAAGAGAACGGCGTTTGTCATAGCGATCCAGTAAGTTTGAATTTTAATTTTTTTTTTAGATTTCAAATACTGCAGATAGAATATTTAAAAAATTTCATTTCCATTTTTTCCTTTTTGAACAGGTTTTTTATTTAAATTTCAAATATTTATGAAAATTATATTATTATTATTATTAAGTCTTTATTGCTGAGTAATTATATAAACACCCGTTTTGATAATCAGCGTCTTGTGACACGTAGGCTCTTTTCCGATGTTAGCTCTTGTTGTCCAAGTCGTGCCTCCTATTCTCTTTATATCGTCTGGCCATCTCTTGCTCTGTCTCCCTCTATTCCTTTTTCCATCGCGTGATTGCCATTCTGTAATTATTTTTGTCCATTTCAACCTGCCATCTTTCGTAAAACCAGAAGATTATTTATTGTAACACAGTATTTATTCTTGAATTAAACTTTTTAAATATGTAAAGCTGTTACAATCACTTATTAACAGATAGAGAAGCCAACAGCGCACAAAGACAAGCAAGGTCTCAACGGTGTACACACGCACACCAATGGGTGCGCGAAGGGTCCCGGTGCGCCCCCAGACGACAGGCAAGAGCCGAAAGGTAAAAAAGAATTCTAAATAAACATTGATCAGTATTTAGATAATGGACTAGAATAATAGTCATTTTGTGCTACTAAAATTAACAAAATATTACAGTACATATGTTTTCCGGGTTAACGTTAGGGTAAGTTTGGAAGAGTTTCTTGCCAGTTCTTCTTGCCCGCGCTACGCTCTTGATTTGTGAATTGGTAGTAAATGTAAATTTAATATTGACGCTCATAAGTATATAGTTCGCAATATGAATAAATGATTTTTGATAGTAATAGTTAAATACAAGGATTTTTTTTAGCTATTATTATATCTTATTTTGTATATAGATAAGAGGATATTACTCTATCCCTTAATCGCCATGTTTTTCTATTCAATCTAATACATATATAAAATTCTCGTGTCGCGGTGTTTGTACTTAAACTCCTCCGAAACGGCTTGACCGATTCTCATGAAATTTTGTGTGCATATTGGGTATGTCTGAGAATCGGACAACATCTATTATTATTCATCCCCCTAAATGTTAAGGGTAGTCCACCCCTAAATGATTTTTTTTATAATTTTAAGATAAATTTTTATTTTTTTATGATACAGCATTAAAAAATACATACAACCCCTAATTTTCACCCCTCTACGATCAACCCCTATTTTTTATTATAAATGATATACATGGCAAAACGACGTTTGCCAGGTCAGCTAGTAGTCATTATAAAGTTCAGTACTAACTAATGAGCTATTTGACAAGATTAAAATACATTTCTGGGATAATTATTTATTAGTGAGTATAGAACCCGTATAAATTGTTATGTTTAATTATGTTAAGTAAGCGATAAAATCAAAACGTTAATTATCAATTTTAAATTACACATATATTATATTCAAAAACAGTCTCCGACGAAGTTAAACTACAAGGTTTGACAGACGAAGACATTCTTAATCCTTTTTGCAAGGACCTTTTCAGACCATTCAAAGTCCACCCAGATCCAGATTAATGATTTCGTTCATAATATAATGTTGTGTAAACCATTTTTAATATTCCCGTAACATTTTTACAGGTGGTACTAATTCGAAAAAGAGTGAAAAGAAAGAGGCTAGCTCCAGAGAAGAGAAGAAGAAACACAAACATAGAGATAAGGATAGCATTGATAGTCATAAGAGTACAGAACACTGTAAGTATATTATCCTTCAGTAGCTAATACTTAGGGGAAAGATTTGTATTTTTTATCTATAATAATAATAATAAAGCCCGTTTAATTTTCAATCATGACAAGAAAACAAATTGTAATAAGCTTAGATTATTTTAAATTTTTTTTTTTTTTTATCCTATATCCTAGCTTCCTTCAGTACCGTCGATCGGAACCCCTTCACGGGTAAAGGCCTCCTCCACCTTTTTCCAATTGACTCGGTCTATGGCTCTCTTTCTCCATTCGTTTCCTGCTACCGCTTCTATTTCTTCTATCCACCTTTTTTTGGGCGACCTATTCTCTTTCGCGGGGCGGGGCATATTTTTATCTATAATAAACTCAAAATTATTGCACCAATTTCATTCTTTAGAAAACTCTTGGTAATTATCATAATGTATTAAATACAAATTTTATGTTTATTAGAACTAATGGTTTATAAGAAATTAATAGTTTCTATACCAAAACGTTCGATAAATTTCAATTCCTGTTGGTCTATTATTGTTGAAATAAATAAATTATTATATGTTTAATTTTTTTCAGCAAAAGAACAAAATAACATAGTAAAAGATAAAGAATTACAAATAAATACAACAGAGTGTGGGAAAACTATTAGAGATAGTAGTAGTAATAAAGATAAAGAACGAGAGAACAGAGAACGGGAACGAGAAAGGGAGAATAGAGAAATAAGGGAAAAGGAGAAGGAGAGGGAGCACAGAGAAAGAGAAAAAGAAAAGGAGAGACGGGAAAAAGAAGATGTAAGTAATTTTTTGTAAAATGCTATATTATGTCTATTGCAGAACTTAAAAAAACTTTTTAAAGTGAAGTGAATATTTGATAAAGAATTAATTAAATTTTTCTTAAATCTAGCCTAGCGTGGTTGGGTGTACTCAATACACACATAGTTGTCCCGTCCCGTAAATGAGATTTTTTAAAGATTCAAAAATTTGCGTTTTTTTTAAATAACAAGTAATAATATTTGATTAAACATAAAAGATTTTGATCTCTTTTCCAGCGAGTTACCCGCGAACACACAGAAGAGTTAAAGCGAGTGAAAGCGGAGCTGTCAGCGGCGCGCTCCAGCGAAGCGGAAGCGCGGAGAGCGTTAACCGCGGCCGCAGCCAACGAACGGCAGAGACGGACTGAGCACACGCAGCTTAAACATGCGCATGCGGCGCTGCAGCACAAGTTAGTTTAAACTTTGTCATTTTGTAGAATCGACGTAAACTTAATACCGCTAGAAGTTTAGCAATCATAATGGCTAGTGTTGTTAAGTATAGCTTTTTTAATACAAATAATTATTTATCCGTAATGAGCTTCGGCCTGGACACAATTCGATTTTGCTTGTTGCAATCCCGATACTTTTATGGTTCGGTTCTTGGGTCAGGGAGCGTTCAAGTATTACGTAACGTTACGATGCGGGACGGCGATTGAATTACGCGTTATTGATAATATTATTTTCGACTTTCCAGTACTTTACACCACATAATGGTAACTTTTAGGTATAAAGAGTCACTAGGTGGTCACGAAACGTTTTACTATACTTGGGTAAAGAAAAACGTTACGGCACGTTACAGAGGGGGGAGTCAATAATCTCTAAAAATTGCGTAAAGTAATACTTGAACGCTCCCTCACCTGGGTGCTATGAATAGAGGATTTTATTTTCACATGCAACATAATTAAATGCTACGCTATGCTTATAATGCTGAAGAGTCTGGCTTTTCTCTCGGAGCGTAACTCTTACGATTTAAGTAAGGGCCACGCTTGTAAAACTAAGAAATTCTGAGTGACCAAACTGTACAGTCTCGGCTGTTACGTAATCACAAAACTTCCAAAATATATAAGATACGCGATCACTTGACACCCTTAAATCATAATTTTGCCATATATAAATTAAAATCTAATTCTAATTTAGATAAAATACATTTCAGAATGTCAACGTGGCGTAACAACGAACGAGCGGCGCAAGAGCGTCGGCTCAGCGAAGAACGACGCGCACAGACTCATTGCAAACACTCGAGGTAATAAAAAATAATTATACACCCTTACAGGCAAACACAAATACAATAATTGTGTCACTAAAAATATTTTTTTAAACATACTTTGTGTATGCCATAGACTCATTAACTACTTGGTGAATTGTGTTCATTTAAATTCAAAATTAATATTAAGGTTAGCAATATATTATATATTTGTGTATGAAATAACGAATTATACGCGTTTTAAAATAAATTTCCGGCTCGAAGGACCAATACTTGAATGAAATATTGCAGTGGCGAATGCGACGACGAGTGGTGTAAATCTCGACTAAGCTCACAAGAAGCAGAGACTGCGTCTCTTCGGCGGGAGCTGCAGAGGGCGAGAGAGAGGGCCGACCGACTTCAGAGGGATTTGGCCCTCGCCACTGAACAGGTTGGTAGAAAATATCGTCGCATATATACACATAATATATGTCGCAGATTCAACGCGATTAATAATTACAAAATTGGTGTCACTACCGTCGTCCGACATTATTATTTAAACACAGTCAGAGCGCACGTCCGGCGAATGCGCCGATCGGAAAGCAAATGAAGCACTTCACGACCGATTCTACGCACTACTGATAAATTGACTTTGACAATTCACACTTTACAACCTGTAAGATGTCTATGATATTGCGTGGAGTTGCCATTGTAATATAACAAATTACATCGTGTTCTATTAAAACCTAATCTATCACACTTTGGTATTCCTTGAACTTTTCATCCTAAAATGGCTAAGCGTTTGAAGGTGAAGTAAAACATGGTGATTAAAAAGAGTTCCAGACCTTCTTCTTGCGCGCTTCTTTATCTTAGTACTGACAGTAAATGTAAAATTTTTATTAATAATGTTCAGAAACTAATTTTTTTTTTACTAAGGTGCGAACACTAGAAGTGCGTCAAGAGGAAGCCGAAGCGAACGCGAGCGCTTGCTCGCGAACGAACGCGAACGCCGCTAGTGCGTGGCAGGCCTTACAGGAGAGGGCGGCCCATCTGGAGAGGTCTCTTTCTGCCGAGACCCGGGTCAAGTTGGACCTCTTGTCCGCCCTGGGAGACGCCAAGAGGCATATGCACATTCAGGAAGGTGAGTGGGTCTGATCGCGATCAACTCAAAAACTACTAGTCTGATTTATTTACGTTCTTTTTGCTGGTAATTTATTTATTTAAATAAATTTAATACAAACACAATTACAAATGTAACGGAACACAAATTGATCACTCTTGATGATTGATTTCTCCGTCCACCGAAGCGTCGACATTCATTACAATAAAAAAATTGGTTCTTAACCATAATTGCCACCATGCGTGGGCATGGGCAAAAAAAAAGAGTTCCGCAGAGTTTATTGCCAGTTCTTCTCTTCCGTTCTACGACTTTGATTTGAGAACTGGCAGTAAATGTAAAATAAGAAAAATTTAGCATAATTAATATGTATTTCTTTATTGACGTTCATATAGACACAGATTATATTTGATATTTCTGTTAGTCGGTTTTTCATGTAGCTCATTTCGCTTTTCTGATATAATCTTGTGTTTCTTTTTTTTTAAGTGCTATATATATAGCGTATTGGAACTATCCTGTTTACTACGAACTATAATGACGTAATTGTAAAAAAAACGTAATTTAGCACACTAGCGACCTCCTAGCTATTTCCTATATGGCAAGTATCAAACATTTACATCGCCCCAAATTCTCTTTCAGGTCACATATCGCGACAAGAGAAAGAGATAGAGGAGCTGAAAGCCCAAATGTTGGCAGTGATGCCCACGGAGTTCGTCACACCAGTGTCAGCCGGGTCAGTTTCGAAGTTGCGACTCTCGGACGGGTCACCGTTGGACCCCAACGCCTGTGTGTACACGCCCAAACAATTATGCTCCGATGCTTAAATGTCAGACATATTTATGTGTTTGTTTTTACGCGCAATAACTTTTCATACATTTCTGTTGATAATTTTTTGTGTGTGACATCCATAAAAGTCTTAACGCCGAACTTTAAGGAACTAAAAGTCGCATCTCAAGACACAATGTCATGTGTCAAGTGTCAAACTTCGTATAGAAAAAAAGGGATTGACAGCTCTTTAAACTAGATTCGTCCAAGTGGTGGTGGTGGTACCTCGAGTTTAATTCGTTCCGTAACATCGTATCTCAGTTCAATTTTCCCTTAGAAATAATTGAAATGCCATTAATCTGTTCCAGCACCCAAAACACTACCTCATTTGTTTTTGAATAAGAAAATGATTTCACGCTTTAATTCAATAGACATCATCTTCGGACCCATGGTTATAAAAATAATTGTGATAATGTCCTTAGTTTATTGTGAAGTGTGCGGTTCCTCGTACCTCAAAGCTTGCTCTCATCTCAAAGCAAAATATCGCTCGTATTTGAAAACACTCTTATATCGAGGTACAATACTCGTACAATACGGGTATTCCTATACGCCGAAACGATTTTGACAGCTCAAACGCACCCTTATATAGTCTACTTCTCTAATTCTTTTCGTTCGTCTAACTACGTTCCTGCTTTTGTTTTGTTCCAAAGACTATGGAAGTTCAAAATATTCATACAAATTTGTTGCTAAGTGTATTTATTTTGGTGAGTTCATTGAAATTTCGTAAAAAGCAATATTTTTTATAATTTTTAGACTCAGGCGTCGCCATATATTCTGACAGTTCGTTTTAAAAATTGCCTTACAAAATATTTTTATTGCGCGTAAAAACAGACAGACATATGTAAATTTAAATCTTGCTAAATGACCTTATGGAATTGGTCATTGGATTGGCTTGAACATATTTTTGTGAATGTGATTCCAATGAATAATTTTAATTTTATAGATTTATCAGTTTAATTACATAAAATAGATCTTCTTAAATTGATAAAACTATTGAAAGTTGCTCAGAATTGACGTTTAGAGGGTCAGACACTGAAGCCAAGAAGAAATTCTTTTAAAATGTATTTTTAAAATTTCCCATTTCGAGAATAATAAGTTTTAAATTAGGTAAACAATTCAAAAGTCTAACTTGAGTTAGTTATTCTTAATTAAGTCGTTAAAAATTTGGAAACAAGGAAGTTAAAAATAAATACAGAATCTTTTCATAAAGTTATTTTATCTATTAACCGTTGACAATTATTATTCTCTCTAAAACTGTCATAAATGTTAACCTACATCAATGTGTCAATGTCAAGGTCGGATCCGTAGATTTGAATTTGGAACCCGAATTACTCATTCTTTATTTGAAACGTTACGGTAAATTGAATTTCAAATTTTGGAACACTTAATGAAATTTGAATATCGAACCTGAATGAGCGAACAACAACACAAGTGTTTATTTTACAATTTTAAATATCGAACACTTTTTCTAATCTTAAAAATACCTTAATTTGAAGTTCCTTGGCTTCGATGCGACCCGTTCGAGCTTCGACCGCCTCAGAAACTTGTATGGGTTCATTGATCTCAATTTTTTCACTTCCATACATCGCTGAGGTTTTCTGTTTTATTTATATACAACGCTATCATATTTTCACCTATGAGATTATGGGCTAATTCGAATACTTAAATTCATAATAACAGAGCTGGTTTCAGATATGGTCCGAATATCTGGCTTTAAATTTAAGTACATGTACGTATTAATGTGCGCTAGTCACTTTTTTTTATTCAGTCCTTTCATTCGCTTCGAATGTGATAGTACAAAATGATCTGATTTGTGTGTTTAGCGGCGTAGCGTCAGTCAAGCACTCGTTGACTTCTATTTGCTATGTTTCATGTGTGTTTGTCTAACAGTCTCGGAATCTAGTCATATCGACTTGTTTTATATCTAGTTTATTCCAACTGGGAATTGTCCAATTCCATGCATTTAGAGATTTGAGAGACAATTTGAATTATAAAAAAAGATGAACGCGCCAATATCTCGTTTCTTTACAGCTTAAATGTAATTCAAATATTGTTGATGTATCATTTGGTGACGTCATATTTTTTGACCAATCACAATTAAACGGAATGCTCCAATGTTTATCCAACAACTAGATCCTCTTCATTATTTCATGTTTTTTCTCTTCCTGAAAGCAATCATTTCAGCATAGCGATATTTCATTTAACTCTTTCCATTTCTATTTCATTTCCTCTAACTAACTCTTAAGTTACGTCTTCTTACACCGTCTTTACTGATGCTCTTTTGTCTATTTCTGACGCTGAATAGATATAATTTACATTTAAAACACGTGCGTATGATTGTGATTGGTCGAACGGTCATGTCACGTCAACGCGAAATCTGGCTTTGTTCATTTGCTCATTAAGTTCATTAAAATTATCCACCTCCAGGTGACACACGCCAAAAAGGCAATATTGTAATAATGCGAAAATCATTTTGAGAAAAGATCATATCGGATGGATACTCTTGACTATTCAGAATCGAACAGAGCATCTCAAAATAAAAGGAGTAAATTAGTTTATGCAATTTGAATATTGAAGCCTAGATGGAAAATGTCGCAGCCAACTAGCTTAATTAGCCTTTCAATTAACAGCCTCTTAGCTAAACATCGCTGTTAACTAGCGACCTGAAAGATGTTCAGCCAGAAACATCACATATAGAAGTCAACGAGCAATGTTTCGTATAAGTCATAGTATAGTACAAATTTGTTTAACTCTTTTAGAGGATGAAATTTTCATGTTTGAGATTGTTTTGTGTTCGTTGACGTTTATAGACGTAACTGAAGCTGGTAGCTGACGGCTTAGCGGATAAAACCTAGCAATGGAAACTTGATAACTCGCACAAACTTGCTTTAAAGTCTGAGAAAAAGATACGATTTTACATTAGATTAAAAAAAGGGTGCGTGTACTTATGTACGCGCGTTAGAAGTTATACTTCTTTGGCTTTCTTTATTTTTTTAAATATTAAATAATTAATAACAAATATTTTACGTTAATAATTTAATAATATTTAATATTAAGTATATTATTCAATTATTAATTGATATTAATAATTATTATTATTTATTATTTTATTATATTATTCATTCAATTTAATAACTACGTATGTTTCATAACCTTTTAACTAAGTAACAATGGGTCTTTGTGAAAAAGCATTGCTAAATTTCTTTGAAAAAATAATAAAAACACCTTTATTTGTTTAAAAGGTAAATGTTATTATGTTCATTCAAAATTCTTGGCATAGCTAACTTCACGCATATTCTATTTATTTTTACTTGTAGATTGTCTTATTCCCATTTCGCTCGCGCACGCTATAATCACACTGACAACTTTGTGTCTCAGGTGCGCGCGCATCGTAAAATATCACTCTCATCAATTTTTCATAACGCGCCTAAAGAAGTATAACTTCAAAAATTGTTTTCGTATCCAAATCTATTTTCAATTGTTTTAAATTTTTATTTTTAATTGTATATCTCGTTGTATATTTTCTTATCTAGGTTTGAGATGCTAAACCGTCAGCACATACGTACGTACGTACGCGTTCGTAACCGAATCGTTAAAATGAGCTTCTCCTTCAAGATAATATAAATTTTTGATAGGCATTTTTGTAAACCTAGATTCTTAGAAGAAATCTACATACGTTGTTTAATGGGCTTAATAATTAAATTTACTCAGTGTTGCCAGCTGACTTAAAATTTGTCCTGTTCGTTCCATGTTACGCATCTTATCTTTGAGTTCCTTGGAAAACAGATAATGCTCTATATTTATATACATTTTACGATAGTAATAGATGAATGGTAAATGCCCTGAATCTTTAGTGGCCTTTATTACTTTAGCTTAAGGTCCATTTTACACAATTGTCTACTTGTATACAGTACCAGGCCATTTATAAGTCGCATCGTGCTTTAGAAAGAGATACTCGCTTTGTAGAGCGTCATCTCTGTCACATGAACACTAACAGTCCGGTAGCTATTAGGAGACAGAGACGGCGCTATACGAAGCCGAAGCTAGCCGAGTATCTCTTTCTAAAGCACGATGCTACTTATAAATGGCCGGGTACTGTAACATATGTGTACATTGTAAAATGCACCTTAACATCGAGCAATAAAGACTAAATTGAAAGTAATTAAGAATACCTATATATTTCTTTTAAATTTAAAAAATTATCTTGATGGGACGCTACGCTAAATTTAAGTATTAGCACACCATGACAGAGTTTTTTTGATCAGGGTAAATGTTTTTGGGGATAATTTGATTTTCGATCTGTCAGGACTCTGGTCTGTTACGGATTGTTATAGCGCCATCTAGCGGCGTTTTCAAAATTAAAAGTACCTGATATGTCATGACGCCTTGAAATTTTTACACATGACTCGAACGTTTAGTTTTTAAGTTTCGATTGGTTGTTCAAGTTATATTTTTGCCAATTGCGTAGTTTTAATGTCGTCACAATTTTAGTTTTTTGACAAAATGCAATTAGCAAATCTGTGTTTTCAATTTTTTAAAAGTATTTGTGACTTAACACAAATTAACAGAAATTTAAGTTCAATACATTTTGCCCAGATTTTAACACACAATTATTTAGATATAATTTTTGTAACTACTTCAAATGTAGGATTATAACGTTCTAACATTGAATACTATTTTTAGTTGCATCCAATAAAAATGAATACTGTTTTAAGACTAAAATTGGTTTTGTGTATGGTTTACTGTGGCCATATATATGTTAAATACTCCAGAAGTCTACCTGAACCCCAAGTCATAGTTTAAGCTTCCAAAATTATCTTCCAGTTGTGTTTTGCATTTATAAAGTAGACTTGTGTCATTTGGTGTAAGTTTTAGGAAAATAGTATTTGTTTAGCATCTTCCAAATTGTATTTGTTCATAAATTTTAATGATGTTGTTTTTAACTAATGTATAACTCATGCGGTTACTAGTCAGTTAAGCTAGTAACAGGATTTACATAAAGCCATGTTCATAACATTGAATATATTATATAAAAAAATTCTATCAAGGGCCAAATTTATTTTTGTATTGTATGTATTGTCCACAATATGTATAAAAAAGGTGTTTGGTAGACTGCAGTAAATTGGCAAAGATAAACTTCTTATGTTAAGTTCTTTAATAAGTTAAACAGACTATTGTATGCCCCCTATACTATAGCCCCGAGAAATTGTGACTTCTGCTCTAGTCTTGACTCTCGCCAATTACATATAACGACAGATCGTGTCATAAATTGGCTTTAATATAAGTTTAGAAATATTTTTTACATCAGTGCACTGCCCTCCCAAAACAATCATTTTGATTTTATTTTAAGTACTTAAATTAGTTTTTAAGTTTGTTTCGAAAGCGGAATCGAAGCCCGCATAGACACTATATTTTTTCATGAATTGACCTGAGCGCGGAAAAAGGAATACATAGTGACTGGATCTTCACTGTGAAGTAAGCGGTATGTTTGTTTGTATTATAAACTGCTGTAACAGCAATAAAAAATCAGACCTGCATATTTTGTTTTATTTACTGAGCCAACACATTTTACAAAATTGAAAAAACACAATTAGGTTAATAAAAACTGAAATCTATAAATCTTCATTTCCAGAATATTTCTTGTACAAACATCAACCAAATCAAAAAAGAATTTATCGATACAACAGACAAAGTTGAAACATATTATATTCAAAACATTTTATTAGGCAATATAATCATTATTTGTAATTAAATTATGCACTTGTTGCAAATTAAAATATGTGCTACTAATGTAAGCATAAATCAGGTACAGCTGTTCCAAATAAGTTCATAGTTAAATTAAGCTACATTCTTCCAAGTTATTGGGAGTATGGATTAATTAGTACTTAAATTGAAATGTTTTCAATTTAAGTACTAATTGGCACATATTATTAATCATAAATAACATTTCAGTATAAGCATGGCCTTCTAGTATTTAAGAAATCAGGTAAGAACAGTTTAAATGTGCTAAAAATGTAACATTAAATAAAAAAAATATTATAAATAAATATTCTAGCCAGTAGTTATATTTTGTGAAATTATAAAAATTGTCCTTAAAATAACAAACCCCACTGTGGGATGCCTCACACTAAAGAGATACTTTGATTATCATTAATCTTAAATTATTATTATTTTTTTTTTTTTAAGCCTTATCTTATTTCCTAATACAAAAATATCTAATTATCTCATGTGTTAGTGAGTATCTATTACAGTTAGTAAGTATCAGGAACCCTCTCCGGTAAAGGCCTCCTTTACCGGAGAGGGTTCCTCCATTAATCTTAAATATAGAATTTTAATTATAACAGAAAACAAGAATTTTCTTAAATACATTTTTAAAATTGCACTACATGGCAATAAGATAATTTAATTCCAGAGTGCTTTTCACCATTCAGCCTACAAGAGATATCTTCTTTACAGATCTAACTAGATTTTCAGTAAAAAGGCTATAATCCCATAGCTTTTTTTACCATTGTTAAATATTAATCCAGTTAATTCTAAATTATCTGACTAGTCATTTATATCAGCTACCCTTGCCTCATTGACTAAACTATGTATTTCTAGCTGCAATCTTAGAGCTTTGTGCAAGTCAATAGTTCTTAGTTGTGTTGCAATATATTTACCAAAAATATCAAACTCATCCTCTTTTGTGCAGTCAGTTTGACTTTCTGAAATTGATTTAGTATGTTTGTATTTTTTCTTTTTGGTTTTCTTAGGCGGATTGGATGTTTCCGATTCTTCTCTGTTAGAATCCTCTGGTCTAGGAGAGTCACAATAATTATCAGTGTCTGGTATTAAAGGATCTGGGTCTATTTCCTCTTTCAGATTTTCTTGTACTTGGTTAACCCAGATCTGACTTGAAGAATCCACTTCCTGAGCTTGTTGTATCTAAAAATAAAAAGGTTATTTTAAAAGTTATTCCTACTACGATTTGAAAATTGAAAAAAATTGTTCAAGCTACTCACGCTTGAATTACGTTTCACGTAAGTATGTTTTAAACATCGATCCATCTCATCAAACCAGACCAGCGAAGGTTTATAAATGTATTCTGGACTCGATTTCTGTAAGACTTTATTTACTTCCTGCATGTATGTAGATCTTAGATTCTTGATTTTTATCTTAATTTCTGTTGTCGATAAATAAATTTTTGTGTATGCATTGAATTCTTCAGACAGAGAGGCGTAGGCTTTTTCCCTACGTTGTTTTAATTTATAATCGGCATGATTGGTATTCCACAAACACTCATTTTTTAAATACATTCTTACGAAGTCCTGGGTAGTTTTTTCACTCCAACGCATTGTGCTTTCGCAGACTTATCTACTTCTTTTAAATTAATAAAACATTTTCGCTCCTTTCGTTATTTTTATTTTTATTTCAATTTGTAACAACTAAACTAACTGTCAACTGTGAACTGTCACAAATTGAGAAAATCAATAAAAATAACTGTCTTATGTCTGATGAGTGGTACTATCATCTGCCAAAGTCAAACACTTGCTTGTCCCTGGTGGGACTGGGGACACGAGCTGCATGATGCATTCATCAGCATTGATAAAACCTTACTGGAGATAGGTGGGCCAAGTTCAGTATGGGTGTGAACTGTGGAACATAAAAAAATACTGACAATTATTCGCGGCCTTTGAGATGTGGACTTTCCGAAAGGGTTGTGTGTTGAATACCACCGCACTTTTTTGACGATACTAATTATCTAGGAGTGTCGGGGGACCTTCATTGGAACACCTCCAAGTGAGTTTTGCTACGGAAACGCGTCTAAATATTTTTATAAAAAATTTAAAGTTTTGTGTAATGTATTAAAATTTGTAAACAATCCGCCATTTTCTACTTTTCTATTGGTTATAAGTGATGTGACGTTCACTTAAAAAAATCGTGTTTTTAATTTATCGATTGTTAATAATCGTTTTATTTATTTATCGATTATTTCCTCATTTTTTAAATTTAAAGTTATAGAATAATCAACATTAAAATTAACCTAATTTCGTGTTGATAGATTATAATTACTACTTGTATTTCATTGTTTGCAACTTTCTGTATTATTTAATTTTTACTAGAATAAAGTGTTTACTTTGATAGCCAAAAAGTACCCAAAACCGAATCAGAGCACCCCACTACCCACGTGGTCTTGTCTGCCTTACCCCTAGAGTGTATATGTTAACGTAAAATTGTAAATACCGTTAGATTGTAATCTATCTCGCGAGATTATAAACTGTCGAAAGATTGTTAACTCAACGTACTGCTTACAATTTAACGTATTATTATTCGGTAGATTATAATCTATCGAAGTGAAATCGTCAAATTGTGAAACGGTACGCACCTCGCGCGCTGATTGGTCGGCTTTATAGTAGACCGTTATATGTCCATAGAGTTAGGAATGAAACAAGGGTATCGGTCAAATAAAATGAATGCACTTCAAAAATTAGTATTTATTACTTAGTAGGTAATTCATTCTGACATCACATGATGAAAAAAAAAAATATATCAAAATAAAAAAATCAGAAACGTAACAATATTTTCTCTTAAAACACAAATTAAAATTGAAAAATTAATGAAATTTTCTTTTAGAAAAAAACGATCACAAAATAAAATCAAAATTAAAAAAAAACATATGAACGTTTTTGAAAACAACAAAATTGTCTATTATATAAAAAATAAGAAAGTAAATTGCACCAATAAAAATGTGCAATTATTGTTGCACGTCAACGAGTTGTGGCGCCTGGAGTTACAAAGAACATTAGCTTTCTTTTTATTTTTTGCAATTAAATTTTTTACTATTTTCATTATGCCCGCTGTAATAGTTTTGTAACTCTATGGTAAATTCTTCCTTATTAACAATACCTAATATTTCTGAGTTTTGTTGATCGACAGGCTCAATATCCGACATTGTAAATACGAGATCACAAAGGTTCACGCGAATTAAAAATATTAAAACACGGAAAATGTATGTAATTTAGACTATGTTTGGAGACCAACACTAACTTAATTATCATTCAAACTGCACTTATTTGGTCAATCACAGATTAATTTTACTTCCACAACAATTTCATATAACTTTTCACGTTCACTTTCAACATCCTAAAGCTGTGAGTTACTTTCAAGACGACATCAATTTACATTTACCAAAACACCGTTTGTTTACATTCGACAAGAAACGAATTAACAAACAAATATGGTCGCCACCATGGCATATTCCGTTCAACCAATCAGCGCGTGGCATATTCCGTTCAAGCAATCAGCGCGCGAGGTGCGTACCGTTTCACAATTTGACGATTTCACTTCGATAGATTATAATCTACCGAATAATAATACGTTAAATTGTAAGCAGTACGTTGAGTTCACAATTTATCGACAGTTTACAATCTCGCGAGATAGATTACAATCTAACGGTTTTTACAATTTTACGTTGACATATATGTATAAATAATCGGAGGCGCGGAGGAAGAGCTGCATTTCCCGTAGCGCCGGAGCTGTCCAAAAAACAAATTATTATTTAGATCGGTTAGGTTAGGTTAGTATATTAATATTTATTTTTAAAATAACTGTTCAACTGAAACTGATCAACTATGATTGATTTTCAATTATTTTTAATATTAAAATCGAATACAAAAATCGATTTTCACTTTGAAAGAAATCGATTATTTTTCACATCCCTATTAATTTTATAAACGTAAACGGCCATTTTGAATATGGATTTTGCTAGACTAGTGTATAAACAGTTTTACAGTGCAAAATTTCCTTTAGAAATCCGTTTCTTTTTTATTTTCACGTGAATGTTTTAGACGCGTTTCCGTAGCAAAACTCACTTGGAGACGTTCCAATGAAGGTCCCCAGACACTCCTAAATAATTAGTATCGTCAAAAAAGTGCGGTGGTATTCAACACTGTTACCTTTTCTAGCCTCAAATCATTGTTTGCCCAAGAATGGTATATCTTTATTCTTTAAATAAAAAACCCTGACTTTTTGATTTGTTTCATTCGTAAATTTATTCCATTACACTCCTCAGACAAAATAACGGATCTGGTTCGTACCTACACTTTTGAGAAGCAATTTTATAAAAATACCAATTTATATCCAGCCTTTATCATGGTTCAAAAATGTTCTACAAATCGTTTATGTAAAATAAAATTATTATTAATTTTATAAAACAAACAATATTTATCAAATTAATGCGTTCTGTAATCAAAATATCGAATTGTTTTATTCATTCACAAGTACCTAACGTGTTATATGACGTAAATTATCCGTATTTCAGAGATTTCTAAAATCCTCATACATTTATGCGCAAGTTTCGCGTTGGTTGTTTGCGAAGAAACAACAACTCTGATGTATTTAAACAGCTACTTGTGTAAACGCTATTACCACGCTTTTAGCGTCAACTGTAGTCTATATTCAAAAGGTATATTAAAGAACTAGTTAATGTAATGTAATTGATAAATACTGGGTCCGTTGTTGTTTAACGCTTATCTATATGATATAAAAAGTTGTTTCAAGTATTCAGAATATCTTATGTTTGCAGATGACAAAAAAATATTTCTAAAAATTAAATCTATAGATAACTGTGTTCAACTTCAACAGGATCTTAGTAGATTGGAAATTTACTACAAAAAAAAAATAAACTATCCTTAAATATTGGAAAATGTAGTAAAATTACTTTTACTCGCAAACATAAGGAAATACAATTTTGTTATAAAATAAGAGATACATTTATTATAAATACATATATTCTTTGTATATTTTTTGTATTTGTATAGGTGAAATTGTGCTTTGTGTATGTTTAAATGTGTATTCCGTTTTGGATATTGTGTACAGTGTAATTGTTTGAATATTGTTTAATAAGTAGCTGTAGGAATACCGTTGATCAAATAAATAAACTTGTACATATACATATATATGATCGAATTAACTGACCGTTGATTTTTATTGTTGCTTTGGCTAATAATTGAGATCCTTTTATTTATTTTAAGAATCATAATTTAATTTGATTCGATTTGTTTTGTTATTATTTAATTGTTTCATAATTAAGAATCATTATTAAAAGAATAAAAGTACGAATATTGTAACGACCAATGGCAATCAGAGCCGCCATCGAGGCGCCATCTTGACTTTGGACAGCCCGTTCAGGGAACGCAGGGTAGTTCTGATGAGTATGTAGTGGAACATTGTGGTGATGAGACGTTGGACCGAGTTGGGTCTATGTGATTTGTGGTTAAGTAGATTATGATTGATATGCGGGACCGGGCCCATGACAAGTGATAGCAGGTTGAAATGGACAAAAATAATTACAGAATGGCAACCACGCGATGGAAAAAGGAAAAGAGGAAGACAGAGCAAGAGATGGGCAGACGATATAAAGAGAATAGGAGGCACAACTGTGCTAGTTGTGCCTCCTATTCGAAGAATCTCCTCCTATAGAAGAGCTAATATCAGAAAAGAATGGAAACAGCTGGAAGAGGCCTACGTGTCACAGGACACGCTGACTACCTAGACGGGTCAAGTGACGTATTAGATTAAGTTTGATTTTTGTATTAGAATTAAGTTTTTTTTTATGTAACTTAAATAAGTGTTATAATGTTGTACTGGGTGCCAGCAATAAAGGCTTTATAATAATAATGAGATTATGATCAAAAGTGAGAAGCTTAAAGTGTTATTTCTAATGTTAATAGGAATCAATATAAATTAAATACTGTACGATAATTATTCGTGTCTTTTGTGCTCGCACTGTGACCACAAGACGCCCACGAAGCCCGCTAATGATTTCCATATCGATGGACTGACGATATATTTCTCCGACATATAATATATTGCATTACAAGTATTTGTTGCGTTATGAAATGTGTTCTCACCGCAAACCAGCCTTAACTGAGGCGAACTGAGCGTTAAACATATTCCACAAGGTGCTTTAAAAGTTCTGTATATTTCTTTATAATTTCAAATTCGTGCCAGACTGGATTAAATTGTTTACATTATATTTTATAATAATCAGTGGTATTCCTTATAAAAGCAGTATTGGCCTAGTGACATCAGCGTGCGGCTCTCATCCCTGAGGTCGTAGGTTCGATCCCCGACTATGCACCAATGGACTTTCTTTCTATGTGCGATTTTAATAACGGTGAAGGCTGAACCGGCTTGCTTTAGACCCTAAAAGTGTGTCAGGCACAGGAGGCTGATCTATGAGGAGGCTATGTTTTACGAGAATTTGCATTAAATTAAAAAATCTCTCTTAATAAAAAGGATTTCACAATCTAAGTTAAATTATCTGTAGGTTATATGGTTATAAGGCAAAGCTTGAATCTTGGTTTTGCTTCATGGCATTAATAACAAATTAATCATTTGTGTACAGCCGCTGTCAAACGCAGCTTTGATAGTTATTTATCGAGTTGACATCAAACAAATATCGTATTAGAGATTAATAGGCGCAGCTAAATTATAAAGCTTTTTGTTGTTAACGTTTATCTATGGTATATTAGCAGTGATAAAATTTCAGGAACAAATTATTATACACAATATACAGGATATTTAGGTAAAATAAAATGCACTGGCCCCCACACTAGGATTCCCTGTGTTGTGGGCAGCCTGTCTCTTCCTTTTGACATGTAAACAGTATTTTACTTAATGTTTTCTACACATTTATATTTAAACAATTTTTGCACAATAATAATACTTTCAGTCTCAGCATATGACAGGTCAACACGATATTGTTTGAGTTGTTTAGTAAATGTATGTTCCTATATCAAATATGTCTATGCCTATGTCTGTAGTAGGCTTTTCAATTATCGAGTATTGTTTTGACATGCGTCAATTTACTCATGCTCTGTGCGAGCAAGTGCTAATGTATATGTTAGAGTCTGGCTAATGAAAGAAGATAATTGAATAATTTGAAAGCTTTCGGATGGCAACACAGAATGTCATTGAATTTCTTAGGTTAGTCTGATTTATTGTCTTGATACTTCATGCAATTACTCATTTTTATTTCTCTTATATATTTTTTCCGAATAATAGCCGGTATAATAGCCTTAACTTTGTTTTATTTGATAGAATATTTCGTTTCTTTCGCAGGATTTGATTATTCCGAATAAAGTTGTGTTTTATAAAAAATATAGTTTTAGTTTTCGATGCAATGCTAGTCATTTTAAGTATCAATAGTAAAAGACTAAATACGTATAGTATTTAATTTCATAGAAATAGAGCTACTATCAATGTAAAAAATAATAAAATCAAATCAAGTATCAAGTAAGTTTAATCCACAAAATATATCAAACTTTTAGGGATACCATACTATTTTTTTTTTAATTTTCCGCGCTTTTTCGACATCTTCTTTCATTAGCTAGATTCTACCAGAATATAACAAAATCCGCAAGTTTATGAATTTCCTAGAAATTTATTAGTACGTAGGATTCTAAACGAGAGAAAAATTGTATTATTTTACGCCCACATTTTCGCAAATTGATAAACTTACCGAACTCACGAGTAAAATAAAAAGTAAGCGAATATGTATATTTGTGATGACAGAGGGGTCAAAAATACCTTTACTTGAAATGGCCCAGTGGGAAGAAAGAAGAGAGTTCGCCCACCAGAAAGCTGGGAAGATTGGAAAAAGAAGCCAACATAAGAAACAAATGGAGGAATCGGAAGTCGTGTACTTATTTAAAAGAGCGTATCGAATCGTCGACCACCAATCCCTTTCCGAGCGGCTTGATCCCGTGGAGTAGAGATGTGGGGTCACTCTGCATCTTCTACCGCATTTACCATGGAGAGTGTTCAGAGTTGTTCAGATTAATACCCACTGTACAAAAAATACAATAATAACATAAGATTCATGTAATCCTTATTATAGTACTCGAATGGAGGCTTTTTTATTTTTAACATTTAACCTAATCAATCTTTTTAGTTCTCGGCTTTAGATTTCTGTATCTATGTCATGATCATTTGGTAATCTAATAGGCAAGTAGGTGATCAGCCTTCTGTGCCTGACGCACGCCGTTGACTTTTTGGGTCTAAGTCTAAGCCGGTTTCCTCACGATGTTTTCCTTCTCCGTTCGAGCGAATGTTAAATGCGCACATAGAAAGAAAGTCCATTGGTGCACAGCCGGGGATCGAACCTACCACCTCAGGGATGAGAGTCGCACGCTAAACCCACTAGGCCAACACTGCTCCTAACCATCATTTAACCTAAAGCTGAACAAAAATTAGTTACGTCGCGGTGTTTTCGAAGAACATATCTGTCTGTATGATACAAAGAGACAGGAACACAAAGAAATATAGAAAAGTTGGGAGCTGGTGTCACTGCAGTATTCGTCCGTGTCGCTTTTTGATAGCACAAAGTGTTGTAGGGGGAACGACGCAAACCGCTTTTACAGATGTTGTGAACCCTTTAAAAATTATAACTTTTTTAAAATAAATACTTTTTTTGGCGCGTTAGGGAAAAATGATGAGGGTAAATTTTAACGATACGCGCGCACACCGTCACAAAAACACCGACACCCTGAAGCATAGTAAACATTTAAAAAAAATGGTGCGTGTACTTATGTACGCGCGTAAGAAATTATACTTCTTTGGCTTTCTTTATTTTTTTTAAAATATTAAATAATTAATAATAAATATTTAGCGTTAATAATTTAACAATATTTAATATTTAGTATATTATTCAATTATTAATTAATATTAATAATTATCATTATTTATTATTTTATTATATTATTAATTCAATTTAATAACTAGGTATGTTTCAAAACCTTTTAACTAAGTAACAAAAGGTCTTTGTAAAAAAGCATTGCTAAATTTCTTTGAAAAAATAATTAATACTCCTTTATTTGTTTAAAAGGTACTACAAATGTCATTATGGTCATTCAAAATTCTTGGCATAGCTGCTAACGTCACGCATATTCTATTTCTTTTTACTTGTAGATTGTCTTATTCCCATCTCGCTCGCGCACGCTCAGCGCCCATACTGATAATTTTGTGGCACGGTGCGCGCGCATCGTAAAATTTCACTCTCATAAATTTTTCATAACGCGCCTAAAGAAGATCAATATCTTTAATACATATGTCAATATCTTTAATTATGTAGAAATATTAGTAGATAAAATTTTTTAAAAGATTTTTATCTTGTTACGCCAAAGAAGTATAACTTCTAACGCGTGTACGAGTTCATAAGTACACACACACATGTTTTTTATATCCTACTACAATCTAATGACAATCTAAACCAAAAATGATCTACATATTTATTTGTACACTTATGAAAATGAAATCAAATCTCTCTAAATTACTTATATTTACTGCCAGTTCTCTAATCGAGACGAAAATAACTAGTAAGAAACGCTTCGTCACTTCTTTTAATCGCCAAATGTTTAATTGTTTTGAATTATAATTGTTGTTCAGCTAGTAAGAACTACACGTATCGCTCACAACAATTCATACTTTATTTTTTATTTATATAGCCAACAGCAAAAATATAAATCGAATGTTTACAAACAAATTCCATTAACATTTTGTACATCACTCCTCTAGGTCTTTGTTTTAAAACATTTCTTTTATTTAAGCCCTAATTTAAGTGAATTAATTTTACAACTAAAACGTAGGTAAAACGTAATATTGAGTTAATTTTGTAGTTTAAATTCTAAGTTGTTACAAACTGTTTGCCGCCCCTGCCTTTAGGGCACGATTTACGGATCGAAGGATACAAATAATGAGGACCTGGATCTAGGTTTAGGCGTGAGCTTTAGACTACATCCCATGTTTCCTATTTTGTTAAAACAAAATGACAATTTTAAGCTTTGAATGTATAAATGTTTTTAAGTAAACTGTGCATTCATAAAAAGTGATTATGATTATGACGCAATTATCTTTTATTAAATGTCAATTTGTTTTTCACTGTAGTCACCTTTCTAATATACTATCTATCTATCTATCTATATATATAAAAATGAATTGCTGTTCGTTAGTCTCACAAAAACTCGAGAACGGCTGAACGGATTTATCTTATCTTAGTTTTAAAATGTTCGTGGACGTCTAGGGAAGGTTTAAAAGGCGAGAAAAAATTGAATAATTTCCGGGAAAACCCTAAAAACAGCCCTTTTCTATTTCCCATACAAACGTTTTCTAGAGTCAATTTGAACTTTATTACCGCTGCATAAAGTTCAAATTCAATCATATCTATGAAAATAGTCTTCGCGTGCGCTTTGGAGGATCTAATGTCGCGTTCCGAAAATAAACAAAAGTGAACGCGACAAAAAATGTAATAAACTATTAGTAGTACTGATTTCCAATTAATTTGGTCGGCTTCGGAAACTTCATTTTAGCTAACTTCAGTTGTAACTGTATCAGATTATTTTGGTTTGTATTGATCTGTAAGTTTGATACATCTTTCGTTTTGTCACAAATTAAGTTTCTGAACACAACCATAGTATTTGACATTAGATTTGACAACCAACTAATATGTCAATCATTCTGTCGCACTTCAGAACACGGAGATTTATGGCTTAAAGGTAAACTCCAAAAAAATAAATAAAAAAATCAGAACACGTGTTACGATCATGGTTACGATATTCTATGAGTGCGTCCTTCTATCTTTGTGAGTGACGATTACCGCTACGTGCGCGAAATTTTCTCACTTTGATTAATTACGTTACGATGCCGAGGGGAAGACGACCTGACTTAGGTCGTCGCAGTCAATCAAATGTGATAAGAGCTACCTCACGTGCTAACCGCACTGATGACCAGAGAGAGACTGATCAAGAAAATAGTCGTATTGCTATGTCAGAATTGCGTTATTTAGTGAGTGACAATGAAGTGGATAAGCTTAGAATGCAACGAGTTCGTGCACATCAAACACAACAACAGCGAGCACGACATAATGAAATTGAGCGAATCCGCAGACGCAGGCAGTGCTACTGTTGCAAAGGGATCAACAGTACGACATTGAAGCATTGGCCGAAACAGTTCGTACAAATGTTCCACAATTAAATCAACAACAAAGAATTGCGTACGACACTTTGACAGAAGCTGTGAACAGTGGATCTGGTGGAATTTATTTCCTTGATGCTCCCGGAGGAACCGGAAAAACGTTCTTAATTTCATTACTTTTGGCGAGGATCAGATCGCGAAATGATGTTGCTCTAGCGTTGGCTTCATCTGGAATAGCTGTGACTCTGCTAGAAGGCGAACTGCGCATTCTGCCTTGAAATTACCATTAAACATGCAAATCACCGAAACACCAATTTGCAACATCGCCAAAAATAGCGCAATGGCCAAGATCCTACAGGTATGCAAATTAATTGTTTGGGATGAATGCACAATGGCCCATAAGAGGTCACTGGAGGCGCTGGATACAACATTGAAAGATCTTCGTGACAACCAAAATATTTTTGGTGGGGCCATGATTCTGTTGTCAGGTGATTTTCATCAGACTCTTCCAGTTATTCCCCGATCAACTGTTGCTGATGAACTAAATGCATGCTTAAAATCATCGATTTGTGGCAGTACGTAAAGACAATCCAATTAACAACTAACATGCGAGTATTTTTGCAACATGATGAAACTGCAAATGTGTTTGCGAAGCAGTTGTTAGATATTGGAAATAATAAAGTTGCAATGGGCACCTCGACCGGATTCATCACATTACCCACAGATTTCTGTCACATCACAGATTCAAAAGAGGAGCTTATTCAGCGTGTTTTTCCAGATATAGCGCAAAAGTTCAATAACCATAATTGGCTGGGTGAACGAGCAATATTGGCAGCGAAAAATAAAGATGTCGAGGATCTCAATGCGACCATTCAGAATTTTCTTCCAGGACAGTTAGTTTCGTTCAAATCAGTCGACACCGTTATGAACCAGGATGACGTAGTCAACTATCCCACGGAGTTTTTAAATTCACTGAAATTGCCTGGATTACCACCTCACAATTTGCAGTTAAAAGTAGGATCAGTTGTCATCATGCTGCGTAACATTAATCAACCTCGACTATGCAATGGAACAAGACTGGCTGTGAAAAAGCTGATGAATAACGTCATTGAGGCAACAATCATAAAAGGAAAATACAAAGGAGAGGATGTCTTGATCCCGCGAATACCGATGATTCCAACGGACTTACAATAACAATAAATAAATCGCAAGGACAGTCTTTAGAAGTTTGCGGAATCAACTTGGAGTTTCCCTGATCCGCGCATGGACAATTATACGTCGCGTGTTCGCGCGTCGGAAAACCGTCTTCTTTGTTTATTTACGCACCACAAAACAAAACAAAAAAAATATAGTTTATGAGAAAGCTTTAAATTGATTAACAAACTGTATCATAACAGTGTGTTGTTAATAAAAATTTAAACCTTATAAATAGCCAGTATTTCAGGAAAACTCTGTTTTTGTAAGTAAGCAACATGATGTGTCGAAAATAATAATAAAACTTCATGCTTCATTAAAAAAATGCTTTTTTATTCAATACGTTTTGTTCTGAAATTAATTTATACAAAAGTTTAGGTCTTTTATTTATCGATTGAGGCAGAACGAAGTCTGCCGGGTCAGCTAGTAATAATATAATAATAGCTTCACTTTTTTTAAACGTTATTGTTTTTATAAAAAGGAACCTCCATGATCCCCGATTATCTTTGAATCAAATTGATGTAAAATCATTTTACGATTTTTACTTTAAAAACTAATAAAGACTCCTTCATAGTAAAAATCCGCAGTAACGGAACGGTACCTACAGAAGAAGAATCTACAGATGTATCACAACATCTAAAAGAAGAAGATGCGCTATCGTTTTCATAAGAAAAGCAGGGCAGGCCAGTAAAAGTAATGGCAAATGCACACTACTTGCATGCCAGAAAGGATAGCGGAAGACTTCATTCTCCAGGGCTTAAAAAGTTTAGACACTGTGTCAAATATAGCTGGAGGAATATGATATTACCACTTAATACGTTCATTCTTTCATTTCACCATCAGGAAAACACAAAAATTTATTAAATCAAATCCATACTATTACTTGTATACTATTTTTTTTGTGTGTAACTGCTTTGACGGTTGTAAATATGTATAATTAAACTAGCTGTACCCAGCCACGCTTCGCTGAGGCACATTGTGATTGAATGGTTGAGAAATGAGAAACAAAACAAAGAATACAATTCATATAAGTTTAATTTTGCAACACTTGTGGAAAAATAATGAAAAAATAAAAAAGCAAAAAAAAGATAGATAAAAAGAATCCTTGATGCGGATCGATCGGTGTAGAAATTTTTTGACGCTTACACAAACCAACATAACATTTATATATATATATAGATAGTACAATTAATTGATTATAATGGACGTGGATACATTACATTTCTAATCCTTTTAAGTTTCAAAACTCATTAAAGATAACGATAATGCTCACCAGATGTCGCCAGATCGTTACAATTCAGACTTGAAATTATCAAAAAATTGCAACATTCGCCTTTCATTTTCTTTTAGAGATTATTTGTCTGTATCCATGGGCCCATGGGTAAAAAACGGAATTCTTCATTATATTTATTATCACGTACAATGTTTGGGAGCAAATTATTAAAATAAAAAAACATTATCTAATGTTAAAAGTTTCCAAAATCAATAATTTAAGTCACAGTACGATGTTCATTTAATTTAATCATCAATTCAAGAATTTTAGTATATATATACAATAGATTTTCTTTTTGAAGTGAAACTTCTTTTGGCGCATGAGGGTAAAATTCTTACAGAATATCACGAAGATGTGTAGAGTTTTTGTCGAAGAAAAGGGAGAGAGCGATTAAGACCTATTGAGAGAGAGTGAGAAGGGTGAATTACCTTATAGAAATTCTATTTTCAAAACTAAAGTTTCGTAAAGAGTATTTATGAAATATTAGTATTTTATATTTTTAATGCAAAATAATTTATTAAAATCTTAAATGACGAATTGTAACCTAAAATGCCACGTGTTTTTATTGTCGAAGAAATAAATTAAAAATATTAAATTAATAATTTGTATTAATTTTCGACACTTTTTAATATTTTAATGACAATTAAATTCATTAAATTCCTAACATATCTTCCTTTTTCCCTCCTTCTAAGTCTCGGAAATATAAAGATTTAGATTTGTATAAATATGAACAAGAGTTAAAAATTAGTTTTCAAAGTTGGCAAAGAGGTTAGTTCTGACATGTGTACTTTGTACGCACGGACTTTTTTTATTATAATTTGTGTATATGAAATATATATATAAAGCATTTTGTGAATTGTAAAAGAACACGGATCTCGTCGCAAGTACATAATATATATCATCGAAATACAATTTTTCCTTTTTCATGAAAATAAGTACCTACCGGTAATCCATCTTTGAAGGTCTTATCATAATATGATTGGTAAAATCAAACAGCACAAATCATAACTGCGAAAATAAACCTTTCTTTGCTCAGTAAATATTGGCTTAGATATCAGATAAATCGGATTTTCTTTCACAAGAGTTTTGGGTATACTAGCAAAATCTCTGCAATAACTGTTATAGCATTCACCGCCACGTGGTTGATGAGGGTTGGTGGAACTCGTATGGGGTGCGCCAAAATCAAAATAAATTTTTAGGAAATAAATTATTTTTATAGGTACGGAGGACCTTCAATACGGGCGAGTAAGCAAAATTATTGCTGCTTTTAATTATATTTTAAGATAGCAGATTGTGCAGTTCTGTGTAATTCCGATATCTTATGTACTACCACTATATATATTATTCAATAGAATTTGTAAATTGCGTTTGAAAAAATGATAGAAATAGGATGGAGTATTTCTTATGATGACTTAAGTATTTTCGATAATCATTACCATGAATTAGAATCTAACTGTTAATTAGTATCTAACTGTTTAAATAAATCAGGAGCAGTGTTGGTCTAGGGACCGTTCAAGTATTACGTAAGCACTATATTGGGTCTTATTCGGGGGTCGAATCATTTACTTTTTTACACATATTACCCACACATTGTCTATGATTGAAAACGAAATGCATTTTCGAGGATTCCTACACAGAATTAATACGTTTATGTATTATTTGCTGACTTTTGCTGACAAGAGGAGTGGGAGCGGGGGATAAATTGCAGTAAATCTGCTTACGTAATACTTGAACGGCCCCCTACTGATGACGACTCTCAACCCTGAGGTCGTGATTTCAAATCCCGGCTTAGCACTTATACATTCTTCAATTAATTCTCGCTCGTGACCCAAAAACTTAAGGATCGAAAAATTATCAAATTATAGATATTGGGGCCAAAGGCTAATCTAGTATTTTAAATAATAAATACGAAAGTATTTTACCTAGATAGGTATCTTAATTGCATTGACCACTTATTTTGTGATAGCTCGGGTAATTTTGCTTTTATGTATAAGTGAGCAATTTACGTCAATTAGTTAAGTAAAATTACGTTTAATAGTTCTAATAGCAATTATATTTCCTGCCCTAGTAGTGTAGGTGTAGTGATAAAATTAAATTTTGTAAAAATTGTTTCTCTGGACATATTGCTTGTTGGATAAATAAAAAAAAAATATCACGAACCTCACCATATCATGACTTGGCTTCCTCGCTATTGCAGTGACTCTACAATGTTTGCTTGTGCAGGTGTGGACTTTTTTTATGCCACAATGCACAGCCATGCTATCTCTGGTAAGCGGGGGAGCCCTAAGTACATGCTGGCGATAATAGCGGGAAGGCTGGATTGCCTTTACATGGGTCATTGCAGTGGACTGCATGCCCTTTTTAATTTTCCAACTCAGCAAGTTTTATAAAAATCGTTTCAGTCAATTCTGAGATGTGGGTAACCAAGCATTTCCGTGTATAATATAGAATATCAGTTATCAAACTTTAATTATTTTCATTTGACATCTGTCAATAAACAGCCATCAGACATGTTGTTGTCGTTGATATTGTTAAGGAGTGAACAAAGTTCAAGTGAACTATTAAAATATTACTTAGACAGATTTTGACATATTTCGCGATACTTCTCATTTCTGAATGTCACTCATAAGTCAATAGTCAATTGTCAAATTCATTTATAAGTTTATATGACAGACATGTTACATACCTTCGCTCACACCTATAAACTTAGAAAATAAACAAATTTAAGATAAAAATATTTTTATTTGGTGAAATAGCTTATTATCTTAATTGTGCACATACAAGTGTACGTACGTACGATTCGACACTGCACCAGTGTCAAAATTGATTAGACTCCTTCGAGAACTTCCTTCCTTCGACTCCCTTCCTTTAAAAGAGCAGTACCATCCTTCCTTATGACGTGCTTTAGAAATTTTGATTTTTCATTTTATATTGTTTGAAATCTATGTGTAAATACTATGTGTGTATATATTATTTAATATTTAAGAGTAGATTGTAAGGTTGTGTAGAACGAATAAGAAGATTGAATAACTGACATCAGACATTGAAAACTCAAAATGGCCACTCCGCCGGCCGACAGATTTAGTGTTTTTTGTGAATTCTGCAGCACTATCAAAACGGTTCTCATATTGGTTTTATCGAACAACTCCCATTTGCAATCGTACACCGCACTCTCAAACGTCTCGCTCGCATTTATGATTTTCTGTCCCAAATAACAGTTCATAAAGATTTGGGCGAATGCAAACGGTATTTCCAAGTACGTGTGCTTTATACCGCCGAGCAAGGCTGCGATTAACCCGGCCATAAGGAATAGAAACTCTAACGCCATACTAACACGGAGAACGCCCTCGATTCGTTTTAGCAAGGTTATATTTTCGTTATGAAGTTTTATAATGAATGTCAGTCGTTCGGATATGAAGCTGTTTAAAGCGCTGGATCTTGATTCAATGTCGATATGTTCCGTTTCTTTTTCGGCGTCATTCCATACGTTCAGTAGCTCTTCGCTAAGTGACAGTATTTGCGCTTCGGTGTAACCTAATAGCATTACCATGAACGCGGTACAGTTAGCAACGTAGTAGGTGGCACTTGATATTGTGATGGTTATTATTACTGTTGCGATTTCGTAGTTCGGCGATTCTATCATTGGCTCTAAACCTATAAAAATACATATATAATTTAAAATTCACGCTAGCTATTTATTGTTTGCTTATTTTTCTAAAATACATCACAATTGTGGTAAACATAAATGTTACAAACTATAAATAAATAATAATAATAAAAATATTACACTACCAATTTCAAATTTAAGTAATGTTATATTCACGAAGAATTCGAATAATCCCTGGATTATGGCGGGGAATAGCCGAAAATTTGTTCTTTTGGTTATAAATTTCGTGTACTGTGGCGTTTGAAACCGTTGAGTACCAGTTAACACGTTCACTGCGGCAAGTAAAATCATAATTCTTCATCAGGTGCGGCGGCGGGCCAAAATGCGCCCCCAATGATATTTCCGCCAGTGCGTGGCAGGTCTTTCTAGACCCAACAGCACTAGGATAGATTAACTCTCAGTAGATGCACAGCAGCGTCAGTGCGTGGTAGGTCGATAAAAGCCTGCCGTTATGTTTTGATGGGGAACACCTACAATTTTGACCGCAAGATGAACTATATATTTGTCCCTGTCGAATTTTTACAAACACCTGAGATAATCGTTACGCACCAGCGAGAGGGACATAGATTTCTTCGTCCGCACCAGCTGAAATACCGCGGCAGGCCGATATCGGCCTGTTACGCAGAGAACGTGTTAACTATGTACTTGGATTTATTTCTTGTAGCGGCCTGTCCTGACTAATAAACGCGGAATATACATAAATGATACACAGTGATAATGCAGAATTCTAATAGCGAAATAGAAATCTTTTCCCTTTATCATATTAGTATAGAGACAGCTAATATACCGCACCGTTCGTCTTTTGTTTTTTCTCAAACCCCTGATTTTCGCGTGCATTCCCTTTGATGCCTGGACGTTATTGTAAACCATAGTATATTATATCATATACAGGTTTGTCTCAAGGATTCAATGCCTAATACCCAGTCCGAAACAAAAATTGATTCATATTAAAATACACAGAAGACACTTCAAGAAAAATAATTTAAGCAGACCAATAATTAACGTCGCTCATTTGTACTACGAGACTTTACATTATTATCTACACATACCATAGAGGATATAATTATCATCGGGAAAGTGCCGTCCAGGTAAGAAAAAGGGTGTGAAACAGTGAATTTCAGCAATTATGACCAACGTCAGCCATATTGTGGTGCCACGCTTCTTGACAGTCCGCAGGTGGCTTTGAATGTTCTGATGAAGCCGGCTTCCAGGATCAATTTGGGCGTCACACCGAAGATACCGTTCTACGACCTTTGCTATTAATTTTCTGAAAAATATGTTTTAGCATCGAATTTTGTACATAACTGTAATTTCCGTTGATATCCGTTCAAGATGTTTCAATAACCTTATTTTTATTTGTGTCTTTATTATTTATTACGTAGGGGTATTACAATACCTTTTATGTATAATATTTAAGCAGCTATTTTTTTAAGTATTACAATTGTATAACTGAACAATTAATAATAACAATAAAAACTTTATTCATGACAAAATTCATCTGTCGCTAGTCCTCACACTTGGGAGTCCCTGTGTTGTGGGTAACTAGATAATAATTATTACGTGGGACATCGTACACGTTTAAAACAGTTTTTTTTAGTTACAACTAAGTCTTATTACAACCGACTTAGTTAAACTAAAACAGGTATTTCAATAAATAAATCTGAATGATTTTATTGGAAGATTAAAATGATTTCTCTGTCCTATGCTTCCTTAAATCATACATTTATTAACCAGGCATAGATTACTTACACTATAACAACAGATAAGCTAATCAAAGAGTAGGGTTGTCTATCTAGTAATTAAATCGTTGACCTGTTCGCCTCAAGTGCTGTGTCGGCAAGGAGAGCTCTGACATTTAAGTTCCTCGGTGGAATTAATAGTGTATCATAAATTTTTATAAGTGTAAAAGTTATACTGAGCAGTGTTGGCCTAGTGGTTGCAGCGTGCGACTCTCATCCCCGAAGTCGTAGGTTCGGCTGTGTACCAATGGACTTTCTTTCTATGTGCGCATTTAAATTTCGCTCGAACAGTGAAGGAAAACATCGAGAGGAAACCGACATGTCTTAGACTCAAAAAGTCGACGGCGTGTGTCAGGCACTGGAGGATGATCACCTACTTGCCTATTAGATTTAAAAATGATCATGAAACAGATTCAGAAATCTGAGGCTCAGACCTAAAGAGGTTGTAGCGCCACTGATTTATTTTTTATTTATTTTATAAGTTATGCTTCCTTAACTTATTTTAGTTAGTTTATTGCTTTCTTTGATAGATATAGATAGTTGGATTAAAATGATTTTATTGTTACCAATCCATAATTATTAAGTAGGGTAGGGCGGGGCTAGTTGAGCAATTTTTCACTTGCTTGGATATAGCTCCTCAATGATAAGTCTCAATGAGTTGTTATGTGTCCTGATGGATTAGTAATTTATCCCTTAACAAAAGTGTCCATAGTATTTTTTTGTAACAAGTCCAATATAATAGCTACAGATGTTTAAATGCAGAAAGTCAAGTATGCTCAATGTACCCCATAGGTGGGGTAAGTTGAGCAAGGGTATGGGGCAAGTTGAGCACTAAGAATGTCTAGGCCAAACCATGGGTTCTATGTTAACTTGAGATGAAATAAAATATGTGTTAGACAGTCAGCTTTTTATTTATAGTCTTTTATTGACAGAACAACAAAATTTAAAGAAATTTTCTTTGTATAATTAACCGAAACTAGAATCAACAAAACATGAGCATCCATATCTATCCATTACTTCCGATAATTTCTAAAAAAAGATTACCAAGGCTGGTGGGTTTTGGTTTCTGTATGGATAGCTACGATTTTTTTGTTTTTAAAACATCATCAACCATTCTTTTCCGGAAATCTTTTTTGCAATTCAGCTTGGTGGAATTTCAGCACACTCTTAGGCAAGGCGACGGACGTCTTTTGGAGAAATATGCTATTTGCAGCAAGAATTTTTTCAACAGTTCTCTTGTGAGAGAGGATATACTTCCCTCGGTGTTGTATAGCCCATAAATCATCACCTTCATTTAATTTATTTAAAAGTCAACCAATACCGAATTCTTTAGCGGCGGTATTTACACTTTTTCCCTCATCGTGGACAGCCTTTGCAGCATTATTTAAGTATTCAGTAGTGTAAGAACATCTTGTAGTCTTCCTCTTGTAAGTCCGCATCCAAACAAAAAATAAAAGATTCATTACTCATCAGTTGTTTAAGTCGTAGAGTTAGTTGAGCTATAGTTGCTCAACTTACCCCAACCCGGAATTTTAAAAGAAAAGTAGGATTGTAAATAAATGCCTAGAATTAGACCCAAAACCTATTTACAAATCAAAAATACAATAATCTTCTGAAAGATTAACACTCTCCTGATTGAAAACAGAGAACATTTGACAAAGACAGACGAAAACTTGCGATAAACAATGTTTTTACTTTTTGGTCACAAAATAAACAAAACGCCGTGACACTTCACTCACTCGTCGAGCTGCCACTAGCTATCGTGCGATGATTACCTCTCCTACCACTCCTTCTTTTCGCTATTTGATAGTCCCGCGTATGGTGAATAGTTTCCGAGATATTTCGATTGCCCAACTTGCCCCTATGCTCAACTAGCCCCGCTCTACCCTACCTACTTAATTTTTAGGTAAAGATTTGTTTAATGGCGTAAAAATAGCTTTATATTCAGTAAGGTAGTACATCTTTCTCAATATATAAAGAAAATAACTTACCGGTGTATAATCATAAATAATAATTTAATAGGACAAGTTTCAGTAAAAGCTCCTATTGAGAACATTATAATTGTGCCGATAAAATCGCCCGTCGCCGGATAATGGACGAACACATACCAAACCACAGATACCACATACACGTAGTAATAACAGATTAGACCAATTATTGTTAGGATATAGAATATAACAGATATCGCTGAAATAAGAGACAAAATTATTAAATTCATCACTTTGTAGACAAGAATATAATAAACATGACATTCGATATTCAAAGGCCGAGTGCAACAGCCTTATATCCTAACATATGTGTGTATATATCTATATAACTGTCACTTGCTTGTGTCCTAAGTTTTTGTGAGAAATAAATAAAGATTATATTATTATTATTATATGTGTGTATATATCTATATACCTATCACTAGCGTACCCGACAGACGTTGTCCTATGATATTTTACGCGATTAGGATGTAAAACAAAGTATGAAACTACTGATTCTGGAATGATTTGTGAATCTAAACAATCCAGGGCGCCATCCAAACGCATACAAAAAATCATTCAAATCGGTCCAGCCGTTTTAGTGGAGATCAGTGACATACACACGTACAGTAGAATTATATATATAAAAATGTAAAGAGTAAATAAATTGATTTAAGATTTATAAGTATTATAAATTAGTTGCCCCCGCGAACTTCGCTTCGCCTTAATATGATTTTACACGTAGGCTACCTTTTTAGTAGCAACCAATATAATATGGAACATTTAGCTTTTCTGGAATAAACCTGAGTACTAAATAAAACTAAATGCTTTTATTAGATTTCTCTATAAAAACCTTTAACAAAGTCCAACGAATAAATAAGAATACTCGTATTGGTCCGGCCGTCTTTGAGTTTTGCGTCTAGCAACATATTATATTTTGGGATTAATTTTATTTATATAGATATAAGGTGATACCCTACGACATTATAAAACACGACGTTATTCGTGTTTTTAAGTTTAGATATTTAATCATTAGTTTATAATAATAAAATAGTAGCCAAATATTACGCGAACGCTCTGATTTCGGAGGAATTTCGAGCACAGTATGAGTTGAAATCTAATATACAAAATTCTCGTGTCGCGGTGTTTGTAGTTAAACTCCTCCGAAACGGCTTGACCGATTCTCATGAAACTTTGTGTGCACATTGGGCATGTCTGAGAATCGGACAACATCTATTTTACGTCCCCCTAAATGTTAAGTGTAGTCCACCCCTAAATTTTCACCCCTCTAGATCAACCCCTATTTTTTATAATAAATGATATACATGGCAAAACGACGTTTGCCAGGTAAGCTAGTAATATATATTTTTTATCGTACGCCGCAATAAGGCGTACGCAATAAGGCGTCACTAAAAAGTAAAACGACATCTATAGGAGCATCTTTTAACACTGCATTATGAATAAAATAAAAATGTTTTTATTTATTTGTAAGCATGTGTAAGATTTGGGAACTCTTTTAAGTAAAAAAAATCCTGTGTCAAAGTTCCCAACTCTTCCATAATAAACTTAGTACTTAATTCCATAATATATTTTTTATTATTACAATATTGATTTTTTTTAAACTGTTATTAACAATTTCTTACTAACAACCAGCATTACGTTAGTCTGTGGATGAATCTGAGTGAATCAGTGAGTGTAATGTGTAACTACATGGTAGGTCTCAGTAGCATCTCCAAGTCTGCGGAAACATATATCATCCATTGATTAAGTAAGTAATCTGTTGCTATATACACATTTTACGAGTACAAAAAGTCTACGATTTGGAACTGTCCACTTACGTTTAGTATTTCTCTTATCAATATTAACTGTCAACGCCCTCAAAAAGAAATTAACATTTCCTACCATCGTATTAAGATCACATTTATTTATACTATACGACAGAAAATGCCGCAGTACACGTTTGAATACACCACTATTCATTTTACAGGTAATTGTAAGAATGGTGTCGATAATTCGTCTGAAATATCGAACAAATTATAAGCGATTAACCACTTACAACACCTCAGGTGAGGGTAAGTTAATATGTAGTTTGTAATAAAGAGCGTAGAGAAGTAGATACTGTTACTTTATTCTTTTTGAAGTGATACTTCTTTAGGCGCATGAGGGTAAAATGTTTACGGATAAAACGCTATAATAAAAATATTAGCGCCACGAAGATATGCAGCGTTTTTGTCGAAGAAAAGGGATTGAGACCGATTGAGAGAGAGTGAGAAAGGGCGAACGTAGCATGAAGCAAATACCGAGATAGATCGAGAGAGAGAGTGAGATAGAGCGAACATCGATTCACGCACAGTGCCATGGAGCGAGAGGTGAGGAGGAGAAAGCTATAATGAGAAGGATTGAAAGATCGAGAAAAAATACACGCTATTGGTTGATGTATTCGTTTAGTAGTTACGTATTAGAACTTTAGATGGCAATTCTGTAGCATAACGTCTTGTGCAGTAAACGCAAATTTTTATTTATTTATATTATCATTAGCACGTATACAATGTGTAAACAGTGTGAATATAGATATACAAATACATGCAGTGATCATATACTGGTACATCATCATCTATTGGGGCTTTTACCTTAGTAATAATTAATTTACAAAGAAGTTTCACTTGTCACATGTGTACTTTGTACGCACGCTTTTATGTAGCTTGTGCCTGATACAATCCATTTTTGGTTCTCTACATCAGCAGTATTAACTTAATATGAACTAGTGTTAATTATTGAAAGGCTGTTGTTCGCAGCTGAAGTTCTTCTCATCCTTTTCGGACCAGTATGCGTTCCCCGCACTTAACCACTAAAGTAAAAGTTTTGCATTTTGTAAAATATTTTTGTACCAATAGATGACAGAGAATTAAGACAGTATGGTCAGAACTAAGGTTAGTTCCAGAACTTATTGTAATATTTTTTTATATAACATGGGGCAAAAGGGCAGGAGGCTCATCTGATGTTATGTGATACCACTGCCGCATACTCACATTGCCAGGCTCCCAAGTTTTGCCGGCATTTTAAGAATTTTTACACTCTTTTCTTGAAGGAACCTAGGTCAATTATTACGGAAAATACTTCTGCTGACAGCTGCTTCAACATACTGGTGGTGCGCAGCGAAAACTGCCTTTTGGAAACGCTCAGTTGTGAAACGACGGATATCAAGGTGATACAGGTGGTAATTCGTATTCTGCCTTATATATAACTTTGTTTACTAATGCAATTATCTAAATCTAATTAAATTAATTATTATTATATTCAGAATTACCTTTACTTTGTTATAAGATAAACGCATATTCATGCAATAAGATTTTCTTCACTTGCTACACATAACGCTTTGATGTGTTACAGATAAATAAATATATGGTTCGATCAACTTTTATTTGTACGACGGCAACCTTACCCTGTCCTTGACCGATAATAAAATTTTAATTTAAAATATGTGTTTCACTCTATATTTTTTTGCAATTTATCCGTTGTTGATTGGTTGTCAAAAAGACAAAAAGAGTTTCAAGAGTTATAGATTGTCCCCGACTTGCACTGTTGGTACAAAACTTTGTAAAACGAATAAAACACGATTAGTCAATTAATATTAATTAACCAAAATCATTTATATACCATTAAAAACGTTACAACATTTACTAATATAAGAAAATATGCTAACTTATATAATAATATATTAACCTAGCTTATAAATACAAAAAAACTAACCTTACTAATACCTAATTTATATATACCTAATCGCAATCTAACATTATGTGCAGCGACGGTACGTTGAGGAAAATATATGGATCTCACGAGAATAAGGAGAATCATCCAAAAATCCTTTAAGTTATATTAGCACCGTTTATTCCTTAGGGTTTTATTTAAGGCTATAATTTAAATGTAGATGAGCCGGCCGGAGCCCGCATTAGTATAATTTTAGCATAAATCGTTGAAATGTTTTAATTTCCACAATTACTTTGTGATTTTGATGGACCGCTCAATTCGAACGAATTGAGAATATTAAACTAATTTACGAAATCTGATTTTGGGTAAATTTTCTTAATAATGATAGCAAGTACCCATTTTGTAACTATGCTTTAATATTTTGAGTGGGTTTTGGATTTGATATGCGGAAAACAATAACTGGTTCCTGAAGAAAAAAGTTCGATATATAAGGATGTTGTTGCGTGTTGTTCCCATGAGAATGTAAGTGTGTGCTCCTATTTCACCATGCCTACTGCTGATAGGGGACAAATCTTTGTTTTTATTTTTGTTATTAATTAACTATTAATTCCTTAAGATGTCATGTGGAACATGGTGTAATGGTTGCATCTCCTTACAAACATTGTGTAAAACAAAAAACTTGGCGATTAAAAGTGTGACGGAGAGTTTATTGCTCGTTCTTCTCGTCCGTTCTACGCCTTGAGTACTGGCAGTAAATGTAAAATTATTAGCATTTAGCATTTAATATGTATATCTTTATTGACGTTCATAATTGTTCATTGTTTTACCTAAATCAATAACCTTGACAGTTGACTTTGACTTTGATAAAATTAAACATATAAGCAGATGTTTAACGATTAAACTGCTATATTATTATATGTAAACATCTTAAATAAGGTAATGAATCAATGTTTGTGACAGAAGTGAAAAGGCCTTTTGAATACATCACAAAATAAATATACCATTTTTGGTTTATCATTTTTATTATTAATAAATAAATCAGTGGCGCTACAACAATTTTAGCCTGGGCCTCAAATTTCTGTATCTGTTTCATAATCACTTGTCATTCTAATAGTACGTGATCAGCCTTCTGTGTCTTACAGACGCAGTCGACTTTTGGGTCTAAGCCAAGTTTACTTACGATGTTTACCTTCACCGTTCGCGAATGCACGCACATAGAAAGTCCAGTGGTCCACAGCCGGGGATCGAACCTATGATCTCAGGGATGTGAGTCGCACACTGAACTAGGCCAACACTGCTCTTACTACGACTATTGTTACTACTAATATTCAATTATTACTACGACTAATTATATGATTAGTGCTAGAACAATTAAAGTTTACTTCAAAGTTGATTGTAGAGTAGTGTAGAAAGAGTAACTTGACTTAATAACAGACATTAAACATTGAAAGCTCAATATTGCCACGCCCCCAGCGGACAACGTTAGCGTCTTCTGCGAATTCTGGAAAACTATAAGAACAGTTTTCATATTTGCTGTATCAAAATTCTCCCACCTACATCCATACACCGCCCTTTCGAAAGTCTCACTTGCGTCAATAATCTTCTGCCCTAAATAGCAGTTCATAAAAAGCTGGGCGAATGCAAACGGTATCTCCATATATGTGTTTCCTACCCCACCCAATAAAGCCGCTATCAAACCAGCCATCAGAACCAGAAATTCGAGTGCCATGCTCACTCTGAGCACTTGTTCCAGTTGTTTCAAAAGATCTATGTTCTCGTTATGTAGTTTGATTATATACTTCAAACGCTGTCGAACAAAATTGTTCATCACTTCTGTTTTTGTTCCATTTTCAAACTGGCTGAAGTGGGCTGCGTCATCCCATAGACAAAGCAGTTCTTCGCTTAAGGCTAACAGTTGGGCCTCTGTGTATCCAAAGAGGATGATCATGAGGGCGGTACAGTTCGCTAGGCTGTTTGTTGCAGTTGGAATTGCGAAGCAATACATTACTTGTGCTATTTCGTAGTTGGGTGACTCTCTTATTGGTTCTAGACCTGAAAGTTCACATTTATGGAGTAACAATAATTCTAATTGCTATTCTATCAGATAACCAAATTTATGTATGCAGAGTTCATTATGACCTAGGTAATAACTTTTCACAGCTGTAAATGTTATATACCACTGGTGCTACAATCCTTTTAGGTCCAGGCCTCAGATCATGTATCTGATTTGTGATAATTTATGCTGAAAGCCAAGAAGGATCAGCCTTCTATGCCTGGCACACGCCGTCACAATGTATATTGTAAAAACTACATTGAAAAATCTTCTGGATCGGTATCGTTATCGCTATTGTGAGTGCCTGACAGAATCAGTCATGTGACATTTCATTACGTGCTATAAATAAAAATAAATCAGTGGCGCTACAACCTTTTTAGGTGTGGGCCTCAGATTTCTGTATCTCTTTCATAATTGTAGGTGATCAGCACCCTGTGCCTGATACACGCCGACTCTTTGGGTCTAAGGCAAGCCGGTTTCCTCACGATGTTTTCCTTCACCGTTCGAGCGAATGTTAAATGCGCACATAGAAAGAAAGTCTATTGGTGCACAGCTGAGGATCGAACCTACTACCTCAGGGATGAGAGTCGTATGCTTAAGCCAGGCCAACACTGCTACCAGCTTACCGTAAATAATAAGTCTGTTCTCCGCAAACTGCTTCCCCGGTAAAAAGAAAGGCAAGATCAGGTACGCATATGCATTAACCACCAAACCCAGCCAAATTAATGTTGCTCTCTTCTTCACTGTTTTTAAATGTTCCACGATGTTCTTTGCTAGACGACTACCAGGTTCCACTTGAGTGCTGCAGACCCGATATCTCTCTACCACTTCTCTTAACACTTTTCTGTATGGGAGAAAAATAAGACAGATTTCATGGTTATTTAAAGAAAAATCTTTTGAATTGAATTCGAATTGACTATAATATGACTGATATATTGAAAGTTAACTTAGCTATGAAAATAATAGGCCATTCCTACTAATTCAAATAAAGCGGTTAACATATATGTTATAAATGCTTTTTTTACTATATATCTGCCGTTCTGTTTTACAATATATCGAACAGATGAACAATTGATATGTGTTCGTTTAAAACGTAAAAGCGATGAAATTATAGCAGTGAAAGATTCTTAAGGCCGTTTCTCCACTGCTCCGGTCCGGCAAACGTTAATTACCGATCCGATTTAGAAACTCACAACTTACGTACTTCTCCACTAACTCT